TTTTTTGTAATAATGAATTACTTTATGGGATTAGTGAACGACCAGATAAGTGCGATTAACTAAATGGCCAGTGTATGAAGCAGTCATTATTCTACCACATATGCTATTTTCGGTGTTGATGAGAGAGGGAAGCAAATAAAATTATTTATGGTCACTTCAATGTTAGGTATTATTCATCAGATTATCGATGCTCTACTACTTATAAATACTATACAGTATCCAACAATATATACACCTATAAACGATTAAGATAATGATTCCACGTAAGAAATTATTTTAACGACTAAATTTACTATGAACATGGTGTTGTAGGAACACATTATTTCAGTTGAAGTTTCTCATACTGATATTTGTACGTGTAGTGAGAAGGACAGGTACAAACATAGCCTATATATATCCTACATACTAGACAGGTATAACAAGGTAGCCATACTAATACAATATGGGAAAAGGATATCAGCCTAATGGTCAGATATTAATTTCGTTGGTTTATCAAGTGACCTACAGAAAATCAAATTCTAATTGCATGTGTTCTAATTGGCTCTTATGAACGTGAATTTTCGTGTCTAGTATTTTGTACGGAAGCTAGCATTTTCTCATGATGAGGGATAAGTTTTGTTGACAGTACCTCTATTAACTTTAGGCAATATACATCATAGCATTACAGCTCAGACGTCTAGAGTTTAAATATTCGTGCTTGGGACCGAATATCTTGGGTTCCATTCCCCTTTGGTGAAGTCTTGAATGAACACAAGTATGAAACTGCTGTCAAAATGCTTCCAGGTTTTCAATGGGGACTTAAATAAGATCAGTTCACAATTTAATCGATGAAAATTGACAAAATCTGAATTAGTAAATAGAATACTAACATGTTTAAGCACGTCATTATCATATCTGGCAATGATGGACTATATACTGTGTATTTCATGATTATTAATATAGATGGGTGTCAATAAATATGAGACACAACGTTATTCAACTGTACTTTTTTATGTATTCACTGAATATCGAAGACAAGTTTGTTCATTTTACCATTTAAAATTTAGTGATACTATAATTTATGGACGACATTTGCGTGAGGCTAGAGTGACCTTGACAGTGTCCAAATGACAAAGACTAGATGAATTTCAACGGTTGGGATCATGAATCAATTGAAGCTAGACCACCATGGAAAAGCTGGAAGCATTCGACGGCCGTCTCGTCCTACTGTGAGACCCGGTTGAACTTCACTACAATCTGCATAAAACCCTTTTTGATACTAATCAACATATGCTCACTAGTGACTGGCTTCAAGAAGTATATCCTGGAGTTCTAGTGAGAAGCAGTGACCAGTGGAGTTCAAGTAGGTCTGTTGTGAGATAGTAATTCACTGAACATAATGGTGGATGTGTGGCTGAATTTCGTGGATCAGTTGAAGTTAGTCATGAACAGCATTGGATACCGGCCAGCTCAGTGTTCTAGTTAGTGGTTAAGCGTTCGCGCGCGAGATTGATAGGTCCTGTGTTCGAATCTCGCGAGGTGAGGGGTCGTGGATGCACACTGCCGAGGAGTCCCACAATAGGACGAAACGGCCGTCCAGTACTCCCAGGTTTTCCATGGTGGTCTAGCTCCAATTGACTCGTGATCTCAACTATCGAAATTACTACAATCTCCACAAAACCCCTTCTGAGACTAAATGAATATTATAAAGCATTGTGAGTAATTGGAATTATGATTTACAATTGATGATTAGGGTTAGGAATTGAATTTAGTTTTTTCATCACGAACTGACACCAGCTAAAATGCCAAAACTTTATTTAGCCAAATGAATGAGTGAATTTTGTGCCAAAATACAAGACCTGTTATCCTAAATTTGATTGGTTTGTCTATAAACTATAGTCTCACCTAAAATTTTTATCCACATGTAAAAGTTATTTATCTTCCAGGATAACAAATCAAATAGCAAAATGTCATCAATTAATTTTCTCTATCATTTAGGACATAAATAAATCATTTCTTAGGTAAACTATCTATTCAACATCCAACTTATCAGAAATGATTAACTCAAATTTTAGCAGTGATATTTACTTATATATAAATTGGATTAAACTGAACTATACTAATAAAATTTAGTTACTCTTGAATGATCTTGAGATATTTAAGTCCATCAAGAGAAATAATTTCTTTCGTTTTCTTACGTCGAATCATGAGAATTTGGACTGCTTTCAATTTCAGGTAATTAGTAGTAGAACCATACAGACATAACAGAGGAAAAAAGTTAGTAGTAGAGTAGTGCTTCCTGATGAATCTCGTTGGTTTCCACATTATAAGTGTTCGATTCTATTATCCTCATCAATCTTCATTAGACACTCTACAATTACGTCACATGCTAATATTCAGCTTGGATGCGACCTTAGAATATGGATCTTGACTCATTGGTCCCTCAATAATAATTTACTTCAACCCACAAATTTTCGTAGGTCTATGTAGGTTCCCAGTGAGCTATAATTCGAGTGAGATATATGAAACCTAGTTTCGCTTCAGTTACTTTTTTAAACAAGATAATCTCACTACTTATAACTGCAACTCCTTGTTTAAGAACGATTGAAACGAACTCAATGTTCACTTGTAAGTAGGCATGTAAATTTTTTTCAGTACTGATGACTGAAATCAATCAGAGGTGATAAGTGCTTAATCTGATTTTGAACTCTTAAGCAATGGTCATTCACTGAACCCATATGTAAGATCACATTTATGGATATCAAGATTTTATGTGGGTAAGATAATACAATTGAAACGAGTTTCAATCGAATATCTTGTTAATTGGTCGTAAAATATAAAGATAATAGATGATCTTCAATTACCCCTGACTCAGTGGTTATGTGACACTATTATCCTTATGACAAATCAAAGATCATTGTGAGTTTGATGTCCGATTCTCTATAGTCTTAAAATGACTTTTCAGTTTATTTTAATCCGTAATTTAAAACCTCGAACCTTATTAATTGATTTATGAATAAACTTTGTTACTTGCCTGGTAGACACAACATGCATCCGAACCTCGTAAAGTATGAAACAGATGGCTTAGATTAATAAAGTGAGTGATGAATTCCTTGTTAGAATCACTCTGTGATTCTATACATATTAAAGATGTAATATAGGTTATAGCGTTTGTTTAGTTTTCATTGTCGAGACAAAATATAACTAGAGAAATTTCTTGTTAGATTTATCCTAAACTCATGAATACTAAATTATGTTTAGCCAACTGAGATTCCCTTAATTCCTCTTATCGCCTAAATAAACAATGTATAAGATCGAAAGTTATTTTCATTTCTGGACATAATATGTAAATTGATAACAATGTTATCGTTCTTAATGCGACAGTTTAAAATCACCACAGTTATTCGTATGAAAACACTTCAGAATCTTCTTAACAAGTAATAGAATCAGCTCAAATGGATTGGTTGTGGATGGCTGATGAAGTTCAAACAAGTCACGAGTGAAGCAGTCATCAACACTAGGATTGAATATCAGTCATAAACTGAATGAGTTGGAATTGTACTGTTAGAGGCCGAACAAGTGGTTCTAACAGTTAAACATTTGCTGAGAGACCTGATGGTCCTGAGTCCAATTCCTAGCAGAGTCAAGAGTGCACAGTACTGGCTTTATACTAGGACGTAAGATATGTTTAGTGTCACCTGGTCTCAATGGTGCCCGAACGAAGATTAATATGTGACAACTACAACACCGGTCGATAGAGTTACTATTGATATTGACAAAGGAAGCAACTGCACAGCAGAAGGATGCTGGAGATGTTATTCATTCGTCATTTTAGTTGTAAAATAATGATTTTAATATTCAATACGAAATAAAACTATGCACCATTCCCTTTTAAACAATATTATACGTGAAAATTTGTCAGAAATCAATTTTTCTTCACACAATTTCATTTGACATTAAAATCTATAGTGTCATTTACATTCTAGTGAATTACTAAGACAATAGAGGAAAACTCAACACACACGAAAACCTATATTACTCTAGTAGACGGTATACGGAAGTTTCATCATAATTTATCATGGTACATTCCCAAAGGATTATCGTACATGTAACTTACATAAATAAATAAAAAACATAGAATTCGGACTTCTTTTTTCTTACTAAAATTAACTTACTCTAATTGAATGAAAGTACTAACCTACAATTTTTCATGCACACAAGTCAATTCACACCAAACAACCTTGTTACGGCATATGAAACAACTTGATGCACATGTTCACAGTATCCTAAATTTTGAGTGATCAGGGTGAAAATCTATTTATTTCTAGTCGTGTAAATTATATCTTTCTATCATGTTAAGAACCCTGTAAAATTGAATGTGTGGTTTTTCATAACATCAAAGGGTACTAGTAGTCAGGAAACTGAATTCATAAGGATTTACCTAGTTTTATCATTATGCTAATAAAACTGGTAACTGGCAACCTGTCTATTTGCTGATATATATATTCTAAGATAACCTAAGTAAACTCAGAAACTTGTCAACTGATCACCAGAAACATAGTAAAGTGTAGAATATTTGTCTGATGTTGTAAGGTCTCTTTCGTATCACTAACACTTTTGTCACACTAACTTTAGGTGTGAAGAGATAGAATATTTGAACACTTACTAACTCTGAAGTGATTAATTCCTCATATCTTTGACATATCAAGAAGCTATCTTGGGGTTGGAATCTAGAACAGAGACAAGAATATAGAAGACGCAATATGCTATCGGGGTTAGGGATAATAAAAGCATAAAATAACAGACGTACGCAACTTCATTAACATTTTAACAGTTGACCTTTGGCTAAAACACACATACCTTTTATTAATTCAAATAAATGGAATTTTAGTCAACTAATCAACCTACATTATCTTCTTAATTTTCTTCATCAACTATATCTACGGAGTACAGAAAAATAAGACGATTTACCACTGAACAAGTGATAACCACAACCACAACAACAACAACAACGAAAAATACCGGAAATTGCACTGATTAGATTATTGAATAAGAATATACAGTTTTTTTAATAAAAAAAAGAAAGAAAAATATACAGACCTCTGTTGTTATACAATAGTAAAACGATGAGAAATGGTTGAAGGAAGAGGAAAAATATAATTAACAATAGAGTTTTTCTTTCTAAAGAAAAACAGCAACAACACCAACATCAACAACAACAACAGGAAGCGATTAACACACTTTCTTTATAAACCGAAAAAAATGTATGTTATCCTCGCTATTGCAAATATAAAACAGTTCAGATTAATACAATTTTCGAATTTGAAAAAAGAGAATGAGAAGAACATGATACAAAAATTCATTAATCCGTAAATAGAAATAAGATAAAAATGGTCTTTTGTGATGTGATAGAAAGATACTACTACTAATACCAATAATAATAATAATAATGATTATAGTAAGAAATATGAAAGATTTGTTAATAATATTTTGTCATTTTTATCTGATTTATAAAGCGAACAGACACAACAGTCAATTTTAGTTGGTCTCTTCTAGAGATTAAGGAATGAAAAATGTACCAAAACCTTCCCCATCATGAAGATAATTTACTGTTGAAAATTACAGTGAAGGACTAGATATAATAAATGCGTTCAATACAAGTTCACCATAATATATACTTATGTATATAAATATGTAATAGTAATAATAATACATGCATACATGCAGATGTAAACAGACAATAAATAATTGTTTACCGGATAATAGTAATAATAAAAAAGAAAGGTTACACAGGTATGAGAATATATATATATAAAGGAAATCTAATAATCTATGTCACAAGCATATACAATACACATATAATGGACAGAAAAAGCACAAATATTTCGAGGATTACATAATGTAATTGAGATTTATCTTGATTTATTGCTCTTCAGTTTTATTCTTATTACTGTTATTGTTGGAGTTCTGTGAGGAAAAAACAACAAGCAAAAATGTTGTACAAATGATGTGAACTATATCAGTAAAAGATCAATAGTCTAGACATTCGATACTGACCTATAGGAGTTTTAACGTAACTACCAATGTTTGTAAAGATGTGAAGTAAATTCGACAGCCTGATGATAAGAACACTCAAATACTGCGGCGGGAGGTGAAGGACTGGTCTCTAACCTTATCTACTTTGGTTTAGACAGTTATGTAGTACCGAAAACAGATAAAAATGGCGGATCTCAAATTTAGACGCTTAAGCATGTACATGGTAAATAAGTGAAATGATATATCCAGAAAGTAAGATAGCTAGGCAATACAGATAGTCACCATTATTAATAGTGACAAACCATGATTCTACGAATATGACGTCAAGCTGAAATCACACAGCATGAAAAAGGAAACAAAAGATTAACCAGGATCAAAAAAGTGTTCGTAATTAATGACTGCCTTAGGTTGAGCTTAACATAATCGCAAGATACAATACAACACAGTCAATAAACATTAATCTGAACTGGACACTGTGATTGTTCATACATTGACATTAGAAACCTACAGAGTAACTATAATAAGAAACAATATGACTAGTATATTTCACTGTATTTGATTAGAATACTGTTTTTAAATACTAATGAATAGTGACACAGTTTAATTACTGTCACACCAAAATGTAAATACATATTTCTCAGTAATTTTGCAAATTGATTTCTAGCTATCAGGCAACACATACATAAATGCCGAACTGTTGCGATTAGGCAATATCTTTAACTCTTTGCAGTACTAGCGCAACTTACTTACTAGATATGGGTTTATTCTCTTGATCAGCTGCTACTAGACAGTTCAAACCGATTAAGTTGAACCGGGAATTGAACTCGCGATATTCAGATTGACAACCGACAAGTGCCTACACTTTCAACTATGTACGTCTAATTTCAGTATATCAGTCATTCAGCTTAGAAAGAAACCTAAACTTCGATACAAAGTGATAAGAATACATGTATGATAGAGTTTACCCGGACAACCAGGGTTTACAGATTTATTTAAAAACTAAAGTTGGAAGATAGCAGTCTACTCAAACACGAATAAAGGGAAAAAGCCTCAGTGTGCCACACATGGCCATGTGCATACGACCACTTTCAGGGAAGTCCTACTCACTGCCTTCTCGTGTAGGGAGTGTTGTTTACGAAATTAGAAGGACGAAAAGCGACTGTCCGGCGCTTTAACAGGGTTAGTGGATGTGGAAGATCCACCTAGGACAGTTGGAAACCCTGATTCCAAACCAATGGTGCACATGAGCTCCAGTATTCTGTAGGAACAAATGGCGTATGAACCTATTGTTGGTCACCCGCTACCATGGGACTGCATCTGTTGACGTTGCTCCACTGTCTTGTGGATTAGACCTTTAGGTCTAAGGCTCCGGGTGTGGCCCCCTAAGGAAACCACCTGTTTCTGTTTGGGCACCCGGACAGTATCCCAGCCCTCACACAAATCGAATGATTTATGTGGCGCATATCTATTTGGTGCCTCCTTATACCAATGTTTATGTGTTTAAATAAATAAATAAAACTTGTGTATTATGCAAATTAAGCACCATTAACACATAATTAGCGCGAAAACAATACAAATCTTACCTGTACAGATCTTGGAGTTTTAGGAGGTAACGTCACTGAATGTGCTGATGATAAAGGATAAGTACGTGAGCTTTTAGACGACAGTAATCTGCGTTTGCGTAAATGAGAATTTCTTGTCTGTGACGGCGGACATTTTGGTGGTTTTACTGTTGGTTGATTGGATTGAGTGCTAAGCTTAGATGTATTAGGTGTATGGCGATTAATAGGCTCTAATGGCTGAAGGCAATTTGGTTTGTCCCACGGTTGAACACGATGCACAGTGGCTTTATGGGGTCGGAAATGAACTGATGAATATGCAGCGAGACGGGATTCTAAACGAAGACCTAGTTGGACATCTAAAATAAATTATGATGTAAGCATTAGTCGTCATTATATAGTAATCTCGATTGTGTGAATCATGATGTCATTCATGATTTCATGAAAATTCGCAAATGTCGTATGAATTAGCTATACTGTTGTTAGCGGGACATAGATTGGATTAAATCATGCTCAATGCACGCTTGTGTTGGCGCACGCTGATTGGATAAGAATTAGCCAATCAGCGCTAGTCGATACTTGGAGAATACCCCAGAAATCTAATGTAAAAACTATAAATATACTAACGATTTCCCTATTGTGCTTCTTACTTCCATCTAACCTTGTTATTTGGAATATAATCTCTTTCCTGTTCAACCGTGTTCTGATTTGGGGACTTGTCGAGTGAATTGGTGTCCGAGAATACTAAGCAATGGGAATAGCTGGGTTATAACCGTAAGAGAGAATTATAACAACTGTCAATACATAATCAATGAAATTTTAATTAGTAACAATACCCATATAAACCTAGTGACTAGAATTCTCAACTATGATTTGTTAACAGTTAGATCTAAATAATCGGAGTATACGAAATAATGATAAAAAACGCACTAATATTATCTTAAAGTGTTGCGAACATTGGTGTTATGATGCGAATGCTTTGTCAGAAGCATGAGAAGCGAGCAGACAGCTGTTTATAATATTTTTGCCAACTAGCACAGAATACTCATATATAGAGAAATCTGAACTATCAGAGTGATTTCAGTGCTGTATTGATAGATAAAGATCCCAAATGAAGGTTGGATATATCAATACAGATGACTATTACAACCCTAATTATGTCTCGCAGAAATACAGTCTAGCTATCGATTGATAGCACTTTTATTCAATTATTGAAATTTCTGTTGGTCCAAGCTACGTTGGTAGGTGCAGATTCCTTGGTTGAAGTACATGTAATCATTATGATCATTGGATGATGTCGGGTAACATGGTTCATAATTAATCCCAATAGTAATGTCTTCTTGATGTCAGGTCAAAGAATTCAGTGGTTTCTTAGTGAGTGTAGACAGATATACCCTTATAGTTCACATGAATAACAGACATATTTATATTGCGAACCGCATCCGTTTCTCATACTCAATACTTGTATCAACAAACGTCTTATTACTGATACCTAGTTCTTGACTAAACGGTCGAACTTTGAGTGACTGTGTTCATGTGGTTTAGTCAACACTCATATAAAAAAACTTTCCTTAGATCAGATTCACATTCCACATTTCATTTCACGAATTAATTCTTTCTTTTCGAATCCTACTCTCTATAAGTAATCATTTTTTTTACTACCACTGATACTACTACGACTACTTCTACACTGGTATTCATTCTGATGGCATTACATCACTGTATTAATACGGTGTAGCAACTTGAGCTGATGCTTACATACACCAGGTTTTACGTTGTCTATGACTTGTTGACTAGATTGCTGCCACAGACAACGAATATCCCATAAAAAGCCTAAAACATATGGTAAATAAATAGTTTGCTAGTATGTAAGCTACAAATTACTAAGAGGAATTTTTTTCTACTACAAACAGGATCATCATGAACATTTTCGAATGAAGTGGAATATTTTCATTCACACAATTAAGCAAATAAAAAAGTGTGCTCAACCACAAATGTAATAGAAAAAGTATCACAAAAACAATGACTTTTTGCGATGATACCCCAATTATAGCAATTGTTGTTATGGATAATGAAAAGGAAGATAATAATTACTGAATTTTTTAAGCACACCATATTATAGTGACCTTAGTTACTGCTGTATAACATTTTTTGACAATCACAGGGAATGCATGGAAGATTATCATAAACTATTAATTCAATAAAAAATATACTTTATTCAACAGTGTTATGTCACAAACTGAGTAACATTACCTTTCCATGTCATCCCCTATTCCAAAATTCATCAAACTGCAGGGAATATGAAAATGTTCTTTTATGGAGCTCATATATATAAACACATACCTTCCATTTTTTGATTTGCGGAAATAAAAATATATACTCCACTTTTAGAATGTATTTATGTCATGCAGTGGGATTTGATTATGAGAATCTAAATACTTGCAGTACCAGCAGTCTAAATCCTACAGAGTTACTTTTTACATAATACCTAGGGTTTACTCAAAAATAGGAAAACTGATTAAGGTTAGCAGTATAATACTGACTATTTGGTCGGATACAAACATCTAAAACAGAGGAGTTAGTGAGAATTGATATCCAGAATATCCATTTACACCAATGAATTTATCATTAGTCGATGGACGGAAAAGAAAATGAATATTTCCGAAACTTAGTATGGATAAAAAAGTGACTAAACAACTTTTATTTACATTCACAGGGATACGACTAGTTTGAAAATAGAAATACATGAAATCTGACATAAACCATAAAATAATAAAACCAACCTCCTGGAATTGACAATTTAGGATGAATATGACTACATAACGAGTGGGCTGACATAAGTAAATCACGTTCATCTGATTTATTTGCCAACTCCGTGTGACTAGTACTTGGTTCAGATCCACAGCATAAGATGCATGGTCCAATAAATGGAGGAATGCAAGAGCATTTAATGTGAGGATCACTAAGTGAATGTTTGCCTAAAAAGAGTAGTCGAGAGTACAAGCAACTTACGTAGTTCCTGTATCACACTAGCGCATTTAGGTGATGAGAGATTGTGATAAGTATGTCGTTTCCGTTTGGTATTTATGTATGGAGATGTACGAGAACAGCTAACTTCTGCATCATTTTCAATGTTATTACTATTACTTTGATACTGAGATAACTTTTCCTGATCAGAGTTATTTTTTAACATATAAAGATTTTGTAAACATTTTTCAGCATGTTTTATTTCTGTACATAACCAATGCCAGTTTGAATGCGTTACGGAACGAGTGTATAACCAAGACTGTTTAGAGCTAAACAAACGGGTTTATTGTGTGAGTTAATAAACGAACCTGGACAAAGCCTTCTTCATTTCAGCTTCGTCGTCAGTACTACTTTCTGTATCTTCATACGTCAAGTTTGGTGATATAATGCTAGGCAAAGAATCGCTGGAAAGTAATTCATCTTGTGATACAGAAGAGTTGCAGGCGAGCAACCGTGTTAATAAACTGAGGGCTCTAGTGCGATTATGAAATAAACGCTGAGAACAGACAGATAAACGTTGTGTGAGCAAAGAATGATTTTGAAGAGTTCTCTCATAATCAATTAATTTGTCGCAAACAGTTTGATTTTGAAGCTTTGTGGAAATATGATCAGATTGTGAGCTTGGAATTAATGTCTCATTGTCGGTAGCAAGACAACTCTGTGATTTATCAGCTGAAACCTGTTCAGAAGAAACAGACTGTTCAGCCTCATTTCCCATTGTACTATCGTTTTTAATAGCATCGGAAGTACCGTTTACTTGCACGGGCATTGAAACAAAGGAAGGATCTGTCCGAGGAGCCATTATATTAGTATATTTTCTTTCAGTAGAATCGTTGTTATCAAAACTATTGTGGGGTTGAGTAAGTGAAATAAGGTTATCCCCATTTAGAATGACATCTGCATAATACTTCAGAAGCCCATTTGTATTACACGAGGCCATACAACGAACTGTACGTTCGCATGCCTGGAAAACAAACAGTGGATTTATTGATTAATAGAATAAATGAATACACTTAGAATAGGTGTGAGTTAGAGCGATGTTTAATAACTACATAAAAAGCATGGGTTGGGACATAAAATACACCTTATGTTAGTATATTTATGAAGGTGATTTTAGTCTCATTTCGCCTAGAGGAACATTTTCACAGAAAAGGTTTGACGGTTCAGCCTATTACATGTTACATTATATCAAAAGGACAATAAAGTACACAAAATCAGTGGACGATACGATAACAAATAAGACACTTATAAAATACATTTGAAGGTATCTTCAATAGCTGGAAATCTCATGACTGGTAGACATTTAGGCTTGATTAAATAGCTTTTACCTATTGTATTGGTTGATGATTAAGGAATACACAAAAGACGTTAGATGCAACAATTGAGTGAAAATTTACGTATTGATGTCATCTTAATCTTCTCTAAGAGTAATTAGTAACATTTCCTTTTCGATGATTTGAATAAAATATTTTTCCCCGAATGGAATTTACTAAAGTCCATCTACAAAGTTAAATGACAACTTGTTTTGAATAGTACCGGCTTAGTTTGTCACTTAAATTATCATTTATAGACAATAGTAGCCCGAGTGTGAAAGCTTCACCCGCAAACATAGAAATGTGGTTGAGTGGTCAAGACAATCAGCTACCAACCAAGTAAGGACCTTGTTACATTACTATTTGGGTGGCCAGATGGCATCACCGGCCTAGATAGTGGCAAGGTTCTATAGACAGGTAAACATTACCCTTTCTCGATTTCCTTATCAGCTGTATAAACCAAAATCAATCTGTACTGTACCGTTCCAGAGACAAATAAACACAAGCACTCGTTTGGTTGACACATCGTACAACAATAAAGGACCCAAGGCGTTCTGACTTTATTACTAGCTATGTGCCGGAAGTGAATACCGGAAACTAGAAAAAGCTTGTTTATTATCAATAGGTCGATTACCTCTACTCACTCACAATAGAAAAGTGCTAAACAAAACAAAATGATATTATGGAGAAATCGGAGCTGAAAGACATGTAGCAATAATGAATAACAAGAGCCGTTAGAAGACACCATCTAAGTAGATTCGATCTATGTCGGAAGCACATCTTTACCTTTAAAAAGAAAGAAAATTATAACGTAGCCGCTACTGGTTTCTATTTTAACATCATTAGTTCCATAGTATGACCACCGAAACTCCACAAATATTTTACTAAAGTATCATACAGTTAAGCTTATTCTTGATTAACTTTTAATAGGATATATTTATTAGTGTATTCCTTTAGATACTGGATAAGCTTTCGGTACACCCTGTACATAGACTTGTAAGACCCCTGCGATTCTACACATGTTTGGAAAGTATGGACGGAAAGAGAACATGGCAAAACATATTTCGATCTCGTTTGTCACATCTCAAGTTAATACAGAGAAAGTTCATTAAAATTAGAAGTGAGTTTGTATGATTGCATGTACTTGTTGGGAGACTTCTTTCATATTATTTTACCAGTGGTTTGGTGGATTAAGATTAAGTATTCACAGGTTCGAACTGCTTTCCATTTTTACTGCTTAGCCAGGGATCTGACTAAGAATCTGGTTCCCGGAGCTTCAACTATACAATTTGTTGTTTGTACATACTACTTGCAACTCTGTCATACCACTAGCTGTAGTGCAGAACGGATGCAGTAGCGTAAAATCTCTTTTAACGCTGAACTGATTATCATAATTGTTGGTTCATTTGCTTGAACACACAAATATTGGTACAAACGGGCACTAAAATAGATATGCGCCACACATATAAGAAAATGAGATTGTGAACAGATATAGGAAGGAGGACGAGTATAATCAAAACTAAATAAGTGGATGAGAGTAGAAAATAAAGGGAAAAACAGCTCCGTTAAGAAAAATACAACCTGAAAGAATGCCTTCATTTAAAGTTTGTTCCCCTCACTTTTCAAAGAAAGTAAAGGAAAAGTACAGCAGGATTGTCATTGGCTTTTACTTTAAGCCATCTCTGGTAAGGTCTCATGTTTAAGAGGGCCACACCCGGAGCCTTAGACCTAAAGGTCTAATCCACAAGACAGTGGAGCAACGTCAACAGATGCAGTCCCATGGTAGCGGGTGACCAACAATAGGTTCATACGCCATTTGTTCCGACAGAATACTGGAGCTCATGTGCACCATTGGTTTGGAATCAGGGTTTCTAACTGTCCTAGGTGGATCCTCCATATCCACTGACCCTGTTAAAGCGCCGGATAGTCGCTTTTCGTCCTTCCAATTTCATAAACAACACTCGCTACACGAGAAGGCAGTGAGTAGGACTTCCCTGACATTGGTTGCATGCACATGGCCATGTAGGAGCTGACTCTACCAATCCTCGGCTGTACCAGGGATTTGGGGGCAGGTTTCTCGAATATAGAGCAGAACTGCTATTGCCAACGCGTTCTAGATCCCACCTTTTGCTGACAGACTAATGTCACAACGGTCCCGAAAATAGCCCAGGTTAGCATAACCTGCCTTGGCTTTCGCTACACATAGATTATTTCCATCACTTGCGTCACAACTGACACACAAACAACCATATATACACGAACTTTGAAGACTTTTAACACTCCATCACTCAGAGTGATTTCAGGCACAGGTTTGTGGTAGTCTTGTAAAAGTAATTTGTATCTAAAATGTGAAGAGTACGTACCATACCTACAGACATTGATTGTCAACTGATTTGGTGAAGATTGCATAACCTATCATAACTTACAACAGCATGAAAAAGTAACGAAGGAACGAGGGATACATTAAAGCGGGCTAGAACAAAGTCATAATTAAACAAAGAATTGATACAAGATATGACAGTTTAAAATTTACAGGATACATAATGAATGAACCTGCCTCACTTTAGTCAACTTTAAACTTTACTAAAAGCCATTAGATTAAGTGATCACGAATTCATGAGGTGATACTCTACACAGCTTAAACTAATGGTGAATAATTTCGGTGACCGAGTACCAGTTTATCTGCCAAGTACAGGAAGATACTAAATGTGCGAGGGCTAAATATGATATAATATATAACTAACTCGTTCGCTCCATACTTTAGTATAAGCCACGTGTTAAGTGAGGGATGATGGCACTACTCGATGGCTTAAGATGTAGATGAATGGGGGTTTGAGTTTAAGACCTATTGAGTGAAAGTCAATCTCCTTAATCACTTACTCACTACTTGACGACTAACGGTCGGCTCGTCAGTCACCATTTTATACTAGCACAGCGAGAAGTGACCAAGACATCAAAGTTGTAGACGCAGTAGTATGAGTAATAATGAAAAAGATTTAGTATAGAGAATATCACTTGAGAAGTCCCTGGAGTAGAAAGTATAAAATGACTTTGAAATCAAATATCGAAAGGAAGGCAACGAGTGAATGGATCTGCCTCATTGAAACTGGTTCTGAGCTAACATCTACCACTGCTCATAATAGTCGAGCAAACAACAACCAGGTAGACCGCACATAACGACAAGCCTTGAGTCGACAGTCAGCGAATTTGTAGACATGCCGCATTTTGGTTTGATTACTCTTATCATTTAAGAACCAACTAAAACTTTAGTTAACAGCACACGTCGAAGTAGGGGGAGAAAAGGCATATGCAACTACGTCCCAAATACCTGTCAATGATGGTTAATTGATTTGATTTAAACACACTGGATGGAAGCTTGTCAATCTATTTTAGCGTGGTATATTCCCAGAATGTTGTCATCAGCACTTCTCATAGGCGTACTGCTGAGATGACAACTACAAAAACAGTGCGTATGACAATGGAAGTCATTTTTCACTACTTATTAGCCTTAAATCTGGTAAGTTACCGGGTCTTGATGGGTTACATCCACGATTATTGCCAACCCCCGAGAACATAATTTCTAAGCCATTCACAGCGTTGTTCAATGTGTCCTTTTCGCGAAATCAACACCCTAGGACCTGGAAGGATACTATCGTTAGCCTGTTTTTAGGAATGGAAAGACATCATGTCTAACTACCAAGCTGCCAGTCTAACTAGTATTACGGTATTTGAAAGAAAAATTCAGACCCATTTACCTATGTAAAATTATTTAGTCTGTTAAAGCCGGAGGAACATGGGTTTCGGGACAGACATTCATGTTTGACTAAGTTACTTATCGCGAGGATTGGATGATAGCCCAAGAAAGTGGTTTTTCTGTCCGTGTAATGTTTACAAATTTCACAAAGGGATTTGATAAAGTTTCTCACCTAGGGCTCATGCAGCCCGGACGCAATCAAGGATGAGTTTTACCACAAGTTATCTGTTCTTCTCCAGAAAGTGCGTTCGACAGATATTGTAGTACTAGCCGGAGACTTGAATGCTCAGGTCGGGCGTCTAGGCACAGAAGAGAGTCGTTTAAGTGGCCGATGGGGACTCGTTGGTCGCAGGTCAGATAACGGGGACCGTCTACTGCAACTATGCACAGACCACAACCTGTTTCTGGCTAGCATTAACTTTCGGCACAGTCATCGCCGATGTGCCACCTGGCGTCCTCCCTCTGCATCCCAAGCCTGGACTCAGATTGATCACATCGCGATCAGCTACCGCTGGCGTGGTTGTGTAAAAGACTGCCGCTCCTTTTGGAGTACCTATCTGGACTCTGACCATGCCTTGGTCTGCGCCAATCTTGCCTTACTTTTCAGTGGACAACGAAGTGACCGCCAGCAAAGGATTGATATTAGCAAGCTGGTTGCAACTTCTGTTGCAAATAAGTATCGAACCGAGCTAGCCTCTAGGCTAGCTACCACTCCACCGAAAAGTATAGATGAGCATTGGTTGCAATTGCATGACGCCATGAAAATGGCGGGAACAGTCAGTTGTGGGGTTGCGAAACGTCCCGCTTTTAAGCACTGGGTTTCTTCTGGTTCCTTACAACTCATTGAAGCCCGTCGGTCTACTCCGGGTGACCGTGAGTTTGACCATAAACGAAGGATGTTACGTAAGGAAATCGGGCAAAGCTTGCGTAAGGACCGAAAAGCCTGGTGGTCGAAGCGTGCTAATGAGCTGGAAGCAGCAGCTGCATCTGGTAACTACCGGAAGCTCTTCCAGCTCATCCGAGCCACTGGCAGCAAGAAGTCTGGTGTGAGTGAAACAATCTGCGAGGATGATGGGATGCCAATCACTAACATCCATCGATGTCTTGGACGATGGGTAGAATTTTTCGAAGGGCAGTTCAACTGGCCTGCTGCTCCGGCAACATCGGTCAGACTGTCCTGCCCTCCATGGCCGGTGACGACTGATCCACCAAACGAGGATGAAGTCCGCAAGGAACTCCAACTCTTGAAGCGTTACAAATCACCTGGCCCAGATGACTTACCTCCGGCTCTTTTTAAAGATGGTGGTGACTTTTTGACTAAGGAATTGACGACGTTGTTTACAAAGGTTTAGGAACTAGAGTGTACCAACGTCATGGAATGAGTCGATAGTTGTCCCTATCTTTAAAAAGGGTTCACGTCGTTCCTGCAACAACTATCGGGGGATAAGTCTACTTCCGATTGCGTCCAAGCTATTGGCTTCCATCATACTTCGTAGGTTGTTCAGAACCCGAGAAAGATTGACTCGCGAGGAGCAGGCTGGGTTTCGTTCTGGTCGAGGATGTATTGATCATATCTTCACCCTCCGCCAAATGTTAGAACATCGCCATACTTATCAAAGGCCAACAATCGTAGTGTTTCTTGACATCAGGGCTGCCTTCGATTCGTTGGACAGGACTGTTCTCTGGGATTGTCTATTGAAGAAGGGTGTGCCTGAGAAGTTTATTAACATCCTAAAAGCCCTATATAAAAGCACCTCAGGCAGAGTGAGGGCATACAACCACCTCTCTCCATTGTTCCATTCGAGTAGTGGGGTTAGGCAGGGTTGCCCAATCTCACCATTCCTCTTCAACTTTGCCATCGATGACATTCTGGAAACAGCTCTGATGAATGTAAGTAATGGTGGTGTGGATCTGTTGCCTGGAGAAAGACTTCTCGACCTTGAGTATGCGGACGATATTGTCTTACTGTGCGATAATGCCCAAGGCATGCAATCCGTACTTAATCAGTTGGCAATCAGTGCCCGTAGGCATATGTGCTTTGCACCTTCGAAGTGCAAAGTACTCCTACAAGACTGGCAGGATTCTAATCCTGTACTCACCCTGGGTGGTGAGGAGATAGACGTAGTCGAGAAGTTGCTGCATAAGTGCTGGTGGGAGTGTGAGTGATGAGATCAATGCACGTATAGTGAAAGCCAGAGCGGCTTATGCCAATCTGGGCCATCTTTGGCGCCTTCGTGATGTTAGTCTGGCTGTAAAAGGTCGGATCTACAACGCATTGGTGAGAGCAGTTCTGCTCTATGCTTGTGAAACCTGGCCTCTCCGAGTCGAGGATGTTAGATCACCGCTGTCTCCGAAGGATTGCTGACATTCAGTGGCAACACCATGTCATTATTGCAGAGGTTCGGCATCGTGTGTTAGGGCACAGAGACAATAATGCACTTGGTGTCACCATCTTGAAACACAGACTTCGGTGGCTTGGACATGTTCTCCGAATGTCGTCCCAGAGAATTCCACGTCATGCATAATTTGCCGACACTGGGACTGGTTGGAAAAAGCGGAGAGATGGTCAGTGTATGACATGGTGTCGTGGTATGAAAGAAAGCTGCAAAGGGTTGGCTTGTGTTGGTCCTTCACGACTCCCTGGTTGGGGTCTGAGAGTTGGTGCTACACAGTGGCTAGAGACGTTATCAGATATGGCTCAGAATAGAAGCCAATGGCGATCCTGCTGTAACCTTCTTTTACTTTCTTCATAAAAAGTGGCTCTGTCTCCTTTACCTGAAAGATTTCTTCCGATTGTACCTTTGGGTTCCCTGATTACTAGCACATTACCTTACACCAATCTCTTCGTTATTGTTTTCTTTTTTTTGTTGCGCTCCTTAGCTTTTTTTTCTTTCTTTGTATTCCTCTTGAATTTTCATTTTGTGTGGCGCATATATATTGGCGCTCTCTTGTACCAGTATTCATGTGTCCAAATAAATAAATAGTAATAAATAAGGGCTCATGCAGAACCTCCTATGGTCAAAAATAGGAAATGAAGATGAGTGGGACACCATCTGAATGGAAACCAGTTTAAAAGTGGTGTGGCCCGATGGACCATTTTATGTCCCCTATTATTTCTTCTCTGCGTCAATGAATTACTAAAACTGCTTAAGCCCTCGAAATTTTTTTGGAGATCATGTGAAAGTTTGGAGAATAATAGTGCATGAAGCTTAACACATTTATATCAAAGGTGATTTGGGGTAATCAGTTAGACAGTCGCAAAGTTGGAATTCGAACATTTATTTTTAAAAAACGGTGCTAATGACCACCGGAGATGGTAATAGTTACTAGTATACCATCATTGGAACACAACTACCACATGTGTGGAAACAAAAAGACCTAAAATTATTGGTAAGTCGCGACTTGAGAGTAACTGCCTACTGGAATGCAGCAGCTGCTAGTTTTCGAATTGTGGTCGCTTTGTCGAACTTCAAAATGCTTCGAAGATATGCTAGGGACTTTATACTCTATTTGTGAGACCTTATTTAGAATGTTGCATCTAAATAGCTGTTCCATGTCTGATCAAGAATGCTGGCACGCGAGCGTTTTCACCGTACGGGAACAATAAAATCGATAAACACTGGAAAACGTCGGACAGCATACAACCCGAACAATGTTGGAAAAGGATAAGGGAAACAAGTTCGGGGTTCAAGAGAGTTAGACAATTTCTTTGAGAATTCCCTTTAAGGCAAGACTATAGTCTATGGGCAAACCAATCAGATTTACGATAACAGGTCTTAGATAATGCAGCAAAACTCACCCACCCGTTTGGCTAAACAGAGTTTTGGCATAATAGGTGATGTCAGTTCGTGGTGAAAACCCTAAATCTAATTCCTAGCCTTAACCACCAACTGTAAATTATAACCCATATTCTTCAAACTATTGTATAACGTTCATTCAGCATTAGTAAATAGGTGTACACTTTCAAGGTTAGTCCAGTGTCGCTCAAAAGTCGTCCATAAATCATAGTCTAACACCCTATAACACTATTTCCTAGCAATAACCAACAAGCCGTGGCAGCACGGCTTTCGCAATTATGAAAATCCAAATACAGAGTAAGTGGCATAATTGTTGTTCTAAAGAAAAAAACACTGAAAATTTTCTGCATTTTGATTCCTCAAGCAAACTAACCGTATTACAAGAGATTTCGAAGGACACGGCATCAATCTACAGGTCGTAATCCAAAAGCCCGCCTGCCCAAAATGGGAAGTCAAGGTCAGGAAACGAGACAAAAGTTCCCCGGTCGATCCACAACACCACAGTCTTTTAAACAAAACTGAAATGTACAATCGTCTTATGGAAACTGTCAGCAGAAAATTTGTATATGCATATATATGCACTTCGACACGTCAATGACATTTCACTTAATTTTCTGTACACTAATATTTTTATGCTTTATACCAGATTTTTGGGACTAAAAATTATTCATGCCCATGTTTTTGTCGTTTTCGGTGCAGCGGTAAATAAATCCCCAAAATAAATAGCTCTGTAAGTTTTCGACATTGGATGCTGACCAGATTAGTTTTAGTGGACTCATCTAGCTGAAGGCGCTCGGTCGTGCATCCGAACCAGATCACGTGTGGTAACGCCGTGCTCAACATCTACCGCAATCGCTAGCCAGATTAGATCAGAGAATTCCGATATATTGGTAATCGCCAAATACACTCTTCCGATCTCCTCGACTCTTTCTTTTCATTTCTCTGGGTGATAACGAATTATATCAGATGTTACTGGTAAAAGCGTTGTCAAACACTGAATACCTGTGACATCATCATTGGTGAGCCCGACGTGATCTGGTACACCTAATTGCAACCGTGAGTCTGTTCCTTTTTGGGATTTTTATATATCATTGCCTTATTTTTTATTTTTTTTTTAAACATTGTGATTTTTTTCGTGTTTTTCTTGGATATATATATATTTTCCCCCCGTTCATTATCGTACTCCGTACTTCATCACGACTGAACAGACACCTAAAGTGCTCAAGCTTAAGACTTTGTCCCCGCCTTCGTTTCAACTGATACCTTTCTGGCCCGACAACATCGAAGCCTGGTTTTGCTACGCAGAAGCTGACTTCTCCGAGCACGGCGTGATCGACACACCTGCACAATTCCTCGCAGTAGTCAAGGCACTACCACGCGAATTCAACAGGTACGTAACACCTAGTATGTTTACTAGTGATGTTTCCGATCCTTACGAAATCTTAAAACGCTCGATTCGTAAACGAGGAGACCTAACCGATCGACAAAGGTTAGATCAACTCTTCAACAATATCGACCTGCAACACGGTTCTGCGACGGACATGTTGCAACGAATGAGAGAGGTAATAGGCCCAAGAACTTTCGACGAAGGTCTATTCAAACTACTCTTCTTGTCAAACCTTCCCCAACAGATGCTAGCAGTTCTGGTCTCGTTCCAGAACAACGCCTTAGACGAGCTAGCTGCATCTGCCGACCGCATTTTAGAAATTACGAAACCTTCTACTACCGGACTATTTTCAGTCAAAGAAAAACCTAAAACGACTCAGAATGATATAACCGAGTTATGTCACACACTCACGCGTTATCTTAGTCTTCGTACCGACCGTAAGAGATCGCGCACACCAAGTAGAAGCATTTCACGTAAGCAAACTGTCTCTAGACCACGAGAGACAGATAACCCCGACTGGTGCTGGTATCATAACCAGTATGGAAAGTTTTCCAGAAATTGCAGAAAACCCTGCAATTTTCCCAACACGAAGCCGAGTGACTCGAAAAACAACTCGGGAAACTTCCAAGCCGGCACGCGTTAACGGCAACTGTAGCCGGCGAACATAGCCGTCTGTTATTCATCACAGATGTGACAACGAGTGTTCGCTGCCTCGTCGACACCGGTGCAAAGTCAGCGTTCTCCCAGCAAATACTAACGACCGACTTCACGAATCGACCCTAAACTTACAGGCGGCAAACAGAAAACCGATCGCTACGTATGGCAAAAGGTACGTTTACCTTAACGTGGGTTTACGCAAACCCATTCACTGGATTTTCGTTGTTGCTGATGTTTCTATGCCAATCATTGGTATGGACCTTCTACAACATCATAATCTGATCATCGACACTCTCAAACGGAGGCTAGTAGACGGAAACACTAATTTATCCGTTTGCGTAACTTCCTTCTCTGGTTGTAGATTATCCCCAGTTACAATTAAGCATATGATAGACCCACTCTATCAACCACTTCTCGATAAGTACACCGAGATACAACAAACTCAATCGAAACTACCGTGTGTAACCAGCAATGTTACTCATCACATCACGACTACAGGACCACCTGTATTCTCTAAAGCACGACGACTAGCTCCTGAAAAGCTAAGGTTAGCGAAAAACGAGTTCGACCATATAATAGACTTAGGAATCACACGACCGTCAAATAGCCCCTATGCATCTCCGTTGCACATGGTCCCTAAAAAGGACAGCAACGATTGGCGTCCAACTGGTGACTATCGGCGATTGAATACGAAAGCCATTCCCGATCTTTACCCATTGCCTCACATTCACGATTTGACAGCTGCCTTGAAAGGTACAACTGTCTTTTCGAAAATCGACTTCGTTAAAGCATATAACCAAATCCCTATGGCTACTGACGACATACCGAAAACAGATAACATAACTCCCTTCGGACTCTATGAATTTTTGCGCATGCCTTTCGGTCTAAGGAACGCTGCTCAAACATTCCAAAGATTCATAGACGACGTTTCTCGAGGTCTCAACTTCGTACACGCGTATGTTGATGACTGCCTAATCGCAAGTCCGGACAGAGTAACACATCTCAAGCATCTGGATCTTGTTTTCGAACGATTACAAAAACATGGCATTACTGTAAACGTTCAGAAATGCCAATTTGGAACCGACTCATTAGACTTTCTGGGACACACTATCGATGCTCAAGGTATCCGACCCCCTAGAACCAAAGTGGCGGCCATTCTGGATTACCCAGAATCGACCACCGTTAAGTAATTACGCACGTTTAACGGCCTCGTAAGTTTCTATAAACGTTTCATACCGAAATGCGCATTACTTATGAAACCTCTTACCGACCAACTTCGTGGAAATGCGAAATCCATCAATTTGGACGACACCACACGAAAAGCATTCTCCGCAGTTAAGGAACTGATCGCTAAAGCAACAATGCTCGCACATCAGGACACCGAAGCACTCATTAGTATCGCAGTAGACGCATCGGACTCGGCAATCGGTGGCGTCTTGCAACAATGGGTTAACAACTCCTGGCAACCCTTGGCATTTTTCTCTAGAAGGTTGCTAGACACCGAATCGAGGTACAGCACATTCGGTAGGGAACTCCTAGCTATGTATTGTGCTGTACGGCATTTCCAACACTATATCGAAGGCCGTGAATTCACTCTTTTCACGGACCATAAACCGCTCACTTTCTCGTTAAGCTCTCCTTCTGACAAGTACTCTCCCCGTGAGTCTCGACAACTGGACTAAATTTCGCAGTTTACTTCAGATATTCAACACATCTCTGGAGCAAACAATGTAGTTGCAGACGTCTTATCTCGCATAACTTCCTTGAACAGTTTCCAAGGAATCGACCTTATTAAACTCGCCGAGCTTCAAAAAGAAGACAGTGATCTTCGGCACGAGTTATCGTCCACAACACTTAAGCTACGCATCAAACAGATGGGAACAGGTAAGGAAACCTTACTGTGTGACACATCTACAGGTAGGGATCGCCCAATCGTGCCGAAACGTTATCGACGCAACGTCTTCAATACGTTGCACGAACTTTCTCATCCAGGTGTCCGTGCAACCATCAAGCTTATAGCAGAACGGTTTTGCTGGCCTGGAATGAATAAAGACGTGAGGGAGTGGGCACGCTCTTGTGTAAGCTGCCAAAAATCTAAGGTTATCAGACACAATAAATGTCACTTAGGCTCGTTTAAAACTCCCGATGCTCGTTTCGACCATGTTCATTTGGATTTGGTAGGACCTTTACCAGATTCAAATGGATACTCTTACCTCTTAACCTGCGTAGACCGTTTCACTCGATGACCAGAAGCAGTACCTATCAAGGACATCACTGCTGAAACAGTGGCTCGCGCCTTCGTTTAACGATGGGTAGCAAACTTCGGCTGCCCTTCAACCATCACTACAGATCGCGGACGTCAGTTTGAATCTGAACTTTTCCGTCGTCTGACCACACTTTTAGGAATCACTCGTTTCCGAACGATCGCCTACCATCCACAAGCAAACGGGTTGGTAGAACGTTTTCACCGACAACTGAAAGCTTCACTATCAGCTGCAAACGTTTCACAGTGGACCGACGCTCTCCCACTTGTCTTACTAGGTATTCGCAATGCAGTGAAAGCTGACATTGGATACATTGCGGCTCAACTCGTTTATGGACCGACACTTCGACTTCCAGGAGAATTCGTGGATCCTTCATCCTTTTCAATGAACATGGATCTAACCTCCTACACGAACAGGCTTACAAACGCAATGCGTTCAGTTAAACCTGCTTCCACTCGACCACAATCAACCGATGTTTTCGTCCAACCTGACTTACGATATAGTACACACGTTTTCGTTCGTCGAGACTCGCATCAACGACCATTCGAATCAGCATACGAAGGACCCTTCAAAGTTCTTCAACGTGAATGTAAGTACTATAGAGTCGATAAGAACGGAACCAACGATAGCATCAGCATCGATCGCTTAAAAGCAGCGTATTTAGAAGGAAATCCTATTCACGTCGACTTTCCTTCGGTACAGTCGCACAATACATTTTATGTGTACTTATAAAAAGATTGCCCTTTGATGAACTGGTGTAGTTAATAGTTGCACTGTTATTCATTTGAAAACATTTCGATTTCACCGTTAGTGTACTGATCAGAATCGTAAGCTTTCGGATTCAATACAAAGTGATAATGATGAAAATGAGCACAGTTTTACACTAGTATAGGAAGACAGTGTTGTGACTATGAAACCCTAACTCTCATCTTTCATCGTGACGACCCACAGCTGATGTTTGATGAAGTTTGAAGAACTACTTCCCCATGCTCAAACAAAGTCCATTGGAATGTTATATCAGGATTTGTGCCCCGTACTTCACTCTTCAGTCAGTGAAAAACTCCATGATTTTACTTTGAGTGACCAAACATCACGACCGATTACTCCCATAGAACGCAAGATATTGGAACATCAAATGGCCAAAGAATCCAACGATGTTTTCACGGAGGAACATTAAGCTTTAGGTCACGATTGTGAATGAAGCAATTCTAAAAACAGGATGGATACAGACCCTACTGTATTACATCTAAAACCGCCTAAATGTATATACCCGGTTGGTTAAGAGTTGACCCCAAACAACCAAGCATATGCCAAAACAGTATTGTTCAAGTATTCATTCACTTCCTTGTTTTGTATAAGCGTTATATTTCCTATTATCTTATATTGAATGTTGAGAGCCTTTGTTTGTCTGAACAGATAGTCCCACGCTCCACTGTTACCGCGCTGAGATCGAAATAAAGACCTATTCACTACTTGTCTGGTTTCTTCTATCAATAGCACGAGGGTTACTTTAAGGGACCACTGTTTAACTGTAAATTAGTTGTAGGAAACGGAAGAGGTTACCGCAGCGACAAATTTCAGGTTCGCAGAGCAGGTCAGTACAGTATAAAAAATCGAGAAAGTTTTATCAGTACAACTGGAAATTTGGTGCCTTATCGATTACATTTAGTCGACCATGCACCCTGCTCAAACAGACCCGCAAGAATGTGGAGAACGAATAACTTTTCTGCACGTTGTGACAACTACTAAGTGGTGTCTAAGTAGACGCCAGGGACAGGAATTCTGACGTTTAATTTCCAGTGGATATATGTGCGGTGCTTAGAATCATTCCTCAAAATGAAACTGAAATCTAACGACAAACTCTATTGCTAAAAATACCGAAATCGAAACTCCCAGACACAAAACTTAAACATTAGACTTCAAAGCGATTATTTTAGTTGTTCATCTCAGACTTTTGTCTGGTAATACCTGCAATAAGCGCTCTAGACAAATATGAATCTTTAGACTACACAAAGGAACTTTGTCAGAAACGTTGAGAGATATCGAGATAACAAGTGGCAATCAAGGTCAAGTCGTTTATTTAACTTTGGTGGGAACTTTGCCCTTAGTAGCTGAGAAGTTTCAAGAAGTACTGGCAGATTTTTCAAATCTAACTAAGAGGTTTAAAAGTAAATCAATTTAGTTTTCTACACAATAATGACACGTTTGTAGATCAGTCATTGATCACTAGTGCATTCAGATGTACTTGTAGGATCCAAACTACGGTTTGGATGTTGAAGAATAGCCTACCGGGGATTTTAGACACGCGCCCTTTCCCGTCGAAATCAGAACAAGTAATCGGGTAACTAGCGGTTTTATAATTCATAATAAACTTAATGTAAATCATTACCTAAACAAATATTATCACCCGGCTATTCAACCAATGATTGTTCAATCAATTAAATCTAAATTACAATAAATAAAGAAGTTGATAGAAGATGAGGAAAAATTACCAATCACAACAAATCAACGTTATTCTATCCTGGCTGGATAGATCACACACAACAGGAGGAACAAATCAATATGGCTACCGCCAAGAACAAGTGTCAAGTAAAACAACGCAGATGCAGTTCAGGAAGAAAAACACAAACTTAGTGAATGCGTAATAAAAACAAAAACTATAACAAAAATACAAATATTAACAATTCAAATGCAATCAAAATACAACAATGTACAACTAATGCGATCAATAGGAATAAAGTACAAGTGTATACATGGAGGGATTTTCACCAACACATAAAACCTTCAAAATGGATCGTACAGTACTCACTGGACTCTTTGCCTTGAAGTTAACTATTCTATTATTTTTTACTTATCAAATCGATTCGAAAGATTGTACGTTGTTTTCTGGGGCTAATAGGGTTATTGATGGGTGAAAAATAAGCTATCCTAGGCGTTTGGTTAAACGTGTTCGAACCCCATTTCCCGCTGGATTTGAGTGAAATAGCCCACCAACAAAGTAATCGAGCGTACTCCTAATCAATCGGCAGCCGATAGTGTCCTTCTGAAAAAGACACTCTCAGGAATGTTAAACTCTACGATTGAAACGGAACCTCTTGATGTTCATCTGATTGCTAGTAACTTTCTACAAATTATGGTAGGCGAGTGATTCTTGGTCTACACATATCGTAAGAGAAACGATAGATTAAAGGATTCAACTAATAAAAGTTATCTCCTACAATAAAGTATGACAAGATTAAAGTCCAGAGCATCCTGAATTCGAAGAATTATTCAGCGTTGTCTCACGAAAACCTGAATATTTTGTCTTATAAAAACATGGAAGCATCAGCAGAATAGGTATTGCTCGCTCAACTAGATGATGATCCATCATATGTGGTAATAAATCATTCGCCTGGGAAAGTACCTTTAAGATTGTTAGATAAAAAGGGAATCAGTAACCTGTTACCAAGATGCTCTGCTGGGCACAACAGGTTTTTCAGCACAACCTATCTAAAGCTTCCACCTGATACTTAATTTTCGTCTTTCGAAAATGCTTTTTGTATGTGCACAAAAACAAAAAGAAAGAGCAAACACAACGAAGTCTTTTTAAGTATCTTATCGTTATCATCATAAAAATGAAACAGACATCGGCGATAATATCAGAATAATGATAAACTTTAGTGGTACTTTATCACTGACTCTTCAGATCTTTTTTCACCAGCGTCATATTCGTTTCAAAACTATGGGAATGAAATAATAAATTCAATTCAGCGTAATATCTTATTTAAGCTATTTCATGATGCTGTCGGCTTGTCCATATCCATATTCTTCAGTCTTTTAAACTGTCTATGGATAAATCGGACGTTTGTCTGAACTATCAATGTCACGGCATTGTGAGCTTAAACTGGTCATTTCGTATTGCGAAATTTTCTCTTTCGTACCACCTACTATGCCACCTGGAATTACCAATGAGGCTGAAAAACAGAACCGTGTTTATGAAACAATACGTGAAAATCTAAACAAGACATCTGTCTCCTCGAAAGCTTTGTGTTATTTCCATCAGTGCGATCCTAATTTTACAGTGTTTTCAGCATTTAATCACCATTATTTGACCAAATATAATCGGATTTTTAGACCTACATTCATTCCTCCAACACAAACTATGCAGCCAACTGTAGAGTATTCTCGTCTCCGTGCCGAATGACATGAAAACATTCATTTCAAACGCCATCGCTTTTCTTCAAACAAAACTAGTTTAGTCGTTACCATAAAACCATCTACAAACTACTCTTGAAATTCACAGTTGAAGAGGTTTATGCTTTGTTTTGTTGGGTCATGAAACTAGCGTTTATATGAAAAGTAAACAATAGGCATAACTACGGCTGTGTAAACGAAACATCTGTACTCTAAGTAAAAATAAGTGCGCACAACCTTGTTTTATGGATCCGAGATCACAATTTATATTTTCTACTGCTCAAACATATTTCCAGCTGGACAGCATAAATTTGAATGAGCTTGAAAATGAACGACATGTCAGTAGTTTTTTAGATTGCCTAAATATTTTTACTCTTGCTTGCTACCTCGGAAAAAACGGAAGTTTATTGTTCTTTAATGAGGTGAGTTAATATTTTAAGAAGTACTTATAGTAGATTGTACATCATGACAATACAAAACAAATGCTCGTGTTTGTCAAATTACAACCAACCTACTTAAATGAGAAAAATTATAAAACAAACGTTATGGTTTGTTCAATTCCTGGTTCTCCAGTTCTTAGTTTCTACACATCTATCAGCAAATTATTCGCGCCTTTGTTACTAAAAGTAAGAGTAAATAAATTTTTTATTCCATAGGGTGATGATAAATCAATGTTACAAGACCCAAAGATACAGATAGCTCTGACGAATCTGGCTGCCGGACTGTCTTCCATCGTTAGCGAGGGTGATGGCTCCGAAAACATGACAAGTAATTAACATGTGATAGAAATTATTATGCCAAATTGTTGTATGAGGATAACTTCACGTAACTCATTAGAAAATTCATTATTCGTCAACCAAACTAGCTTCAGGCACCTAATATCCTATCCCCTGCGCATGATTGTAAACGATCACGAGTTTTGAATTATTGCCTGTCACTTGCCAAATAGTTTTTTTCGTGGAGTTTTGTTCTCTGAGCTGGATGGTTTGGTCGTGGAGCTTTCATCGTTCTTCTGAACGACATCATCAGAACAAACTTCAGATAGAAGTCTATCTGAAGTTTGTTCTGATGATGTCGTTCACAAGAACGATGAAAGCTCCACGACCAAACCATCCAGCTCAGAGAACAAAACTCCACCAAAATCATCCACCTGAGCTACAAATCTTCTCCACCATCTCAGTTTTTTTCGTCTTCAAACTATTGTTTTGAAACATATACAATCGATGTATGAAATATTTATCTGCTTATTTCTGTAACCAAAAAAGTTTCCTGTTTTTGACCCTTTTGTCGAACTTGGACATTCGTTTTGCCTCATTCAGATAATTTCTAGTTGTTCAAAAGAATAAGCTTCCGTTGGACCTAACTCGCGTTTTGAAAAATGACTTACTTATTTTTCAAATATACATCATCTAACTGCCGAAATTAGTTTCCCAACCTTGTAAATCAGGTCAAATATGTTCTATGAATGTATATGTACTATAGATGTACCAGGGGAAATATTTGGTGAAAAGTTTCATCTAAGGGAACTATGCCTGTTACTTGTAATTTCTAACCCAATGACGCATCCGATGAGAACTTAATGCATGGATATTTTTATGTGCAAAACATCCACAGAAGTTTTTTCACTTTCCTTGGACAAAAGTTTCTTCAAAAGCTTCAGGAAACATTTTGCTTTCGTGGTGTTTTATGTTTGTATCTAGTCTAACATTATACCATCACACTTTGTAAGTAATGACTTTATGGAAATATATATCTCAAGTTCTATCAAGTAATATGTCAAGATTCATAAACGACGACAACAATAACAGAGAATTACATAAGTGTAGAACGAACTAAAATAGATGACGGATAATGTTGGTGTAAAGTTTATTAAATTTTCGTCTTTAAATGAGAGTGGTGCGCGGATAAAGTATTTCAGTAATTCACCCAAAATGTGACATATGAAACTACTTGCACGTTTTCTACCAATAAGTCTTACGAGTGTATTCAGAGTTAAATGCTTATTCATAACCAATGCCGACGCCAAAAAGACGAAGTTTACTGCCGTGGATAATTAGTGCACAAAGTATTTTAATCAAAATCTGTCAAGGACGTGTAAATCATCAATATCGGCAAACTGTGTTGATGATTGGGATATACTTAGGTCGGACGAAAATGGTGTGACCTAGCTTATGCCAGAGACATGTCTCATAGTTAATACTTAACCTGGATTGTTCCATCGCTATAACTCTGTGGTTAACTACCATAAGCGATCTCAATAGACAACGGTATACAATAGCATTGAAAGTAGGGAAAACTACAAGGCGGAATCACTGTCTCATGCCCACATCCATTGCGTGCAATTGGTTGGTATACATATTTGTCCTTGACCTTGAATAAGACAGATAAATTGTTAGGTATTCATTGATTTAACTGCTAGACGATTTGGCCATAGCCCAGGGATATTTCAATGGGTCTACAGATATTTTACCTGTAACATGTTTATAAACTTTGTAATACAGGAAAGGCTCCTTGATAATAATTATGTTTTCTTACCAGGTTTATGAACATAACTTTCAGCTCAATGCTCAAGTTATTTAGAACTATCAAGACTAACTCCGGCACTGACATCCATAAACTCCTTGATAATTATTATGACATTAGTTTAGCTTATTACTGGTTCCAAAACAATATATTCAGTTCACTAGCAAGATTATTTGTTTGAATTTTTCGGAGATATTTTTGTAAGGTTTCACTCCAAGAGATATTTAAAATCCAACCCGTTTGTTTGCAGGTAAGTAAATTACATCATATTAGTTGTAAAATTTTACCAACAAAAACTTTAAGATACTAGTTTAAGGTTAAAATTTGTGTATGACAATTTGAATTGTTAAGTTGGATGGCATTTCCAGTCACCACAGTGTAGTAATCAAAAATCCTAAAAATTAGCTTTGAATTGTTTTTGTATTTGTACTTATACTTGAGTTGGATCATAAGACAGTTTTATCTGTCCTTGTTATCTATATTTTGTCTAGATATTTTCACACTCACGGATGAAGTTAATTATTGGCGCAATAAATCAAGATGCTGTTCGAATAATAATGTAGATGAGATGAAGCAGTGTGAGCTTTTTGCATCCCTTCTTGAAAGTCCAGCCAAAGAATGCAATCGTATTGAGTCTTTATCTCAATCAGCCTTGGATTCAAATATTGACTCATTGGGATTGTCTATTCATTGTGCTAATTCCACTCAAAAACAGCCTTCTTTTGGAGTTTTCCTAACAGATTTAATTGACATTCTTGACTCGCTTTTGATAGATACGTTGGATGAACTATGGAGGTGCACTGATCCACGGGTAAAACAACCTTATCCAGAGCACAGGATGAGCCGACTTATTGAAAGTTTGAGTTACTGGACAATACGCATGATCCAAGGTTTTCTGGGAAATGTTCAGACGTTATCAGAGAAAGCAAAAATAACCATCTCAAGTTTATGGACGTTGCCTTTTGACGAAGTGAGTAGATTGAAACCGAATAAACCACATTTCATTAGTATTAGAAATCTTCTGACCACAAAAATATAGTGATTAGTTTAGTTCCGTGGTTGTAAAGTAATAATAGAAAACAGCACATATCTTACTTACTTACTTACTTACGCCTGTTACTCCCAATGGAGCATAGGCCGCTGACCAGCATTCTCCAACCCACTCTGTCCTGGGCCTTCTTTTCTAGTTCCTTCCAGTTCTTGTTCATTTTTCTCATGTCTATCTCCATTTCGCGGCGTAATGTGTTCTTTGGCCTTCCTCTTTTCCTTTGACTTTGAGGATTCCATGTGAGGGCTTGTCGTGTGACGCAGTTGGGTGCTTTCCTCAATGTGTGTCCAATCTACTTCCAGCGCTTCTTCCTGATTTCTTCCTCCACTGAGATCTGGTTTGTTCTCTTCCACAGTACGTTGTTGCTAATAGTGTCCGGCCAATGGATCTGAAGTATTTTGCGTAGACAATTGTTGATAAACACCTGTATTTTCTGGATGATGGCTTTCGTAGTTCTCCAGGTTTCTGCCCCATACAGTAGAACTGTCTTGACATTTGTATTGAAAATCCTGACCTTGGTGTTGGTTGACAGTTGTTTTGAGTTCCAGATGTTCCTCAGTTGTAAATATGCTGCTCTTGCTTTGCCGATCCGCGCCTTCACATCTGCATCAGATCCACCCTGTTCATCAATGATGCTGCCCAGATATGTAAAGGTTTTTACATCTTCCAAATCTTCTCCGTCAATTGTGATTGGATTGGTGCATTCTGTGTTGTATCGGAGAATCCTGCTTTTCCCTTTGTGTATATTGAGGCCTATTGCTGCTGAGGCTGCTGCCACACTGTTTGTCTTCTCCTGCATCTGTTGTTGCGTTTGGGATAGAAGGGCCAGATCATCTGCGAAGTCGAGATCATCCAACTGCATCTTAGATGTCCATTGTATCCCGCGCTTCCCTTCAGACGTTGACGTCTTCATGATCCAGTCGATCACCAGGAGAAAGAGAAAGGGTGAGAGTAAGCAACCTTGCCTAACACCGGTCTTCACTTTGAACGACTTTGTCAACTGTCCTCCATGCACGATTTTGCAGTGTAATCCATCATATGAGTTCTGTATGATATTGACTATCTTCTGAGGCACGCCGTAGTGTCGAAGAAGTTTCCATAGTGTTGTTCTGTCCACGCTATCAAATGCCTTTTCGTAGTCAATGAAGTTGATGTAGAGTGATGAATTCCATTCAATTGATTGTTCCACAACGATCCGTAGAGTTGCGATTTGGTCTGTACACGATCTATCCTTACGGAATCCTGCCTGTTGGTCACGAAGTTGGGCGTCTACGCAGTCCTTCATCCTGTTTAACAATACTCTGTTGAAGACTTTTCCCGGTATTGAGAGAAGAGTGATGCCCCTGTACTTATCACACTTGCTGAGATCGCCTTTCTTCGGTATTTTGATCAGAAGTCCTTTCCAGTCTTTTGGTGCTTGTTCCTCATCCCAAATCTTATTGAAGAGAATGTGGAATATCCTTGCATTTGCCGCTACGTCTGCTTTTAGTGCCTCTGCTGGGATGTTGTCCGGTCCTGCTGCTTTGCCACTCTTGATTTGTCTGATGGCCATGCTGATTTCTTCAATTGTTGGTGGGCCAACATTGATTGGGAGGTCCGTCGGTGCTGCTTCGATGTTGGGTGGGTTCAGTGGAGCTGGTCGATTCAACAGTTCTTTGAAGTGTTCTACCCACCTGTTTTGTTGCTCTTCAATGTTGGTGATTACGTTGCCTTCCTTGCTTTTCACTGGTCGTTCTGGTTTGCGGCGATTTCCAGAGAGTTTCTTTGTCGTGTCATACAATTGTCTCATGTTTCCTTCTCTTGCAGCCTTTTCCGCCGTCGTTGCTAGATCTTCCACATATTTACGTTTGTCGGTTCTGATGCTCCTTTTCACTTGTTTGTTTACTTCTGTGTATTCAGCTTGTGCCTTGGCTTTCTCTGCTCTTGTTCGGCTGGTATTGATTGCTGCCTTCTTATTCCCCCTCTCTTGAATCTTATCCAGTGTTAATCAACAGTGATCCATTCCTTGTGATGGTGCTTCTTGTGGCCCAGAACCTCATGACATGTTGAGGTGATTGCCTCTTTTATCCCTTTCCAGTTGCTCTCCACAGTAGTTCCTTCTCCATTGAGTAGATCATGAAAGGCCTGGAACTTATTGCTGAGTACTATCTTGAATTTGTTGAGTTTGTCAGTATCCCGAAGAAAAGCCGTATTGAACTTTTGTGATATTTTCCGCCCCATTGTCCAGTGCTTCTTGAGTTTCAATTTCATCTTGGCGACCAGCAAGTGATGATCTGATGCTATATCAGCTCCTCTCTTGGTTCTCACGTCCTCTATAGTCCTCCTGAACGTTTTGTTGATGCAGATATGGTCGATTTGGTTTTGCGTAGTGTGATTAGGTGAAGTCCTTGTGGTTTTGTGAATGCTCTTTTGTGGGAATATGGTGCCGCCTATGACCAGTTTACTGAAGGCACATAGGTTTGCGAATCTCTCACCATTTTCGTTACTTTCTCCCAGTCCTTGTCGTCCCATGATGTCTTCATATCCTGCGTTGTCCATTTCAACCTTGGCATTTAAATCTCCCATCAGAATGGTCAGGTCCTTTGTTGGGCACTTCTCGACGATTCACTGCAGTCTATTGTAGGATTGATCTTTAGCGTCTTCATTGTAGTCGTTGGTAGGCGCATAGCATTGGATGATGTTCATTGTAATGCCCTCTTTCTTCGTTTTGAAGGAGGCTTTGATGATCCTTGGTCCATGAGATTCCCATCCTATGAGTGCATTTCGTGCTTGTTTGGACAGCATCAATGCAACTCCTTGTGTATGTGGGGCATCTTCTTCATCATTTCCGGAGTATAACAGGAGCTCTCCTGAAGTTAGTCGTTGTTGTCCAACTTGTGTCCAATGAGTTTCACTGATCTCAAGTACCTCTAGGTTGTATCTTCTCATTTCTGCAGCAGTCTGGAAGGCTCTTCCGGTGTCCCACATTGTACGAACATTCCATGTACCTAAATAAATGGTCGCTCTGGTTGTCAGAAGGGGCATCGGCCTCGTAACTTTCGAAGGAACTCGGCTTTCATCATGAGGCGTCATAATTCTTCTAAATGAAGACCTTCTGACTCCCAGGGCAGAGTTTAAAAGATTTAAATAGTTTTTTCTGGTTAGCGTTTTTTTAGCGAGTTAGTTTTCTACGGGATGGGGACGCTAACCCCATGCCCAACCCTCCTCCTTTATCCGGGCTTGGGACCGGCAGTAGCCCCCGGAGGGACTCCAGGCGGAGTTAGCACATATCTTACTTCTATGTTTACCTCTTAGCGCTTCTTATGGATGATTTATTTTATTTATTATTATAAGCTTTATTCAATATTATATTTTCGGTACAATATGGAATTCTCAGCACAAAGTATTTCAACAAGTTTCCGTTTCTTTCTTCTGGGTCGATCCTGACGATAAATATTGAGTCATAGCCAGTTAGATGTTAGCAGTCCAGTAAATGAACATCTGAATAATGTATATTCTTTTCTCTGCATATTGCCAGCGACCACATTATCTCTTATTGAGCTTTTAGTAACTTTGACAACGAAAGGTTGTAAACTTTTCAGAAATGCACAAGGATGGGTTATGCGATTAATATACATAATGATATATTAAAACAAACAAAAATAGATAACTTGTTGAAATATTTAGATGACAGGAACAGGTAGCCCAGATGTACAAATGTACAAAACACACATTTTCAAGTTATTTCATTTCTGATGTAAATATTCAGGTTTGAATGAAGTGTTTTCGTTCTTCACTGAATCAGCTCATGATCATTTTACGTCTTGATATTATATCATGAATAGGTACATCCTTAAACCAAGACAATATATAGTTCTAAGACCCACACATATCTTTTGAATGACCATCGTGAAAAGTGATATCAACTTTGTCAGTAAATATGAATAGTATTTTTGGGTTTTAAACTTATTTGTGGGAGTGAGTGGTGATATCTGTCAATGTATCCACATGGCTATTTTGACAAGGGCTAAAATTGGTTGATATTCATTAAACTACTCATTAGTAGTTTCAATAAGCAAATAACATTTTCTGCCCTGTAAGTAGATACTTTCTTCTCTTCGATATAGATGTTCAGCCACAAGGTTTGGCAAAATTAAACCTCAAACTATGTTAAAGGTTGGCTACATGACTGTAAGTATTTTTAAATGAAAAATATCAGATAACTAGTTATTAAGTATCTTTTTTCTTTGTGTTTCAAAAATTGACCCCGTTTGGGATTGAAATCTGGGTAAATCTTGTCGTTATATATATATATATATATATATATATATATATATATATATATATATATATATGGTGTTATTAGAACATGTTATTCAACATGATCTGTGTCACCTAGCTTTATATTACAGTCATGTTATCTAGACAAGAAAATGTTTGAAGGAGCGTTTGGAAACTTAAGTGTTTCGGTAATAAAATTTGATTTACTTTACGGCGAACAGTTCTAAGGTTATTATTGAGATCACATTTCTATTTTCCACCAGTTCGCGATACTCTGAAACCATCTTTTATCGTTTTCGGTTGATAAATGACTCACACTTGACATGACTTAACTCCACCGGTCGCGAATTTTCATCAGAATTAGCTATACGATATTTATCTCTGTGAGGTGTTTTGAAGATTATGGGAAGTTAAAAGTATAGACAACTGGATAACTGTTCAGTGGTTCAGAGGTTTAGCTCTCTCTGTTAGAGCCTAAGGTTTTGAATTGGTTTCCTAGTTGGGTTGTGAGTGTGAAATTATGATGAGTCCCATGCAAGGACGAAATGATTGTCAAGTGTTTTTTTGATTTTCATTGGTCTTGTAAATTAAAATGGTTTGTAATCTTTCACTGCTAGTAGTTACCCCTCGTTTTATCTATTGAATCTCAATAGCACTCAATAATATTGGAAAAACATTATACTGATAATTCTAAGATTATTCGATTCAAATTGTATATCTCTTTTTTTGCTGGTACGAATCATTGTATATCACTGTATATCATTGTATATCAGTACTCTCTTACCAAATCTTGGTTATGTAAAGAGCGAATGAATGTTTTCATTGATGAAAATCGAGCTTATTGAGAATATAATTGTGAATATTCAGTGCAGAATGTTACAGAATCATGCAAATCTTTAATTATTCATGTCGGTCAGCAGTTCGTGTTGTATGACTAACCTGATTAAACTATCAGTGTCGATTATAGCGCTAGTTAAATCACAAATTTTGCTTTCAGAGGAAAGTATATGGTTTCATCTATTCATAAAACACTCATTGAAATCTTACAAATAGTTACTTTTGAACTTAAAGTATCAGTTATTACTTGCAATAGTATGCTTGAACTTAGATTGTCGAAAATATTCAGCTTAGGAGAATGGATGAATCCAGATACTTTACTGATGAGTTCTGTTTCAAATTACTAACATTACTAGCAGTATTTGAATGAAATTACAGACTGATACAAGTCCTCTTTACTCATTTTTGTACGGCATATGTATACGATAAGGGTTCATGAAACAATGGGAGGGCGAAGTTTTAAACTTCTAAAACTAGTTTCTTCTATCTTCCTTGACGGATTGTATAATTTTTCCAAATTTATCTTTTTGTTCACCATAATAATTAGGTTAAACAGGCTATTCAGCTAAGCATTGAAGCATGCGAACGATGGATAAAATCTACTGATTTATTAACTCAACAATTATGGCCACGTTATACACCACATCCATGGAATGGTCCGTTACCAAATTTGGCATATCTAATCCAGTTTAAAAATCGATTGAATGAAGTAAGAGATTTTGGAAAACTAAATTGCTTTTCTCACAATACTTGAAGATGTTCTCAATGCATTGATTATAGGCTTCAAGGCCGTTCACGTCTATATGAAACTTTGGTAAACAAACATCTAGTTCTCTTTTCTTCTTAGACATACATTAGCTTTATTCGACTTGGTGAACTACTGGGAATTCTTCAGTCTTCAAATAATAAAAACAGAGTTATTGGAGAAGCATCTTAGTTAGGATTCACTTTAAATATTGTTAATATCAAATAGTATTCTAGAACTCGCTGGAAATCTGTTTAAGAGTTCAATCAAATGTGCCTAAACTGAAAAAAACTTTCTTTAAATGAAATAAATCCTATTGAATTGAATTTTGTTAAATAATGACGAATAACTGTTTAGCAGCAACTTTCGATAAAAGATTTCTAGAAAAAAAATGAGTAGAAAATATGAGGAATTTACCTAATCAAAGTTCATGCAATCATGATTCAACCATATGATATATATTAGTGAGAAGCCCTGACCAGTGTAGCTAAACTGTGTCAGGTAGACAGGTAGCTACCTCAGTACAGTGTAAGATGGTCGTACAACTTCGTGGATTGGTTGAGGTTAGACATAAACACTGTTGGATGCCAGCCAGCTCAGTGGTCTAGAGAATAAGCATTCGCGCACGAAACTGCGGGCCCTAGGTTCAAATCTCGCTGGAGACGGGATCATGGATGCGCACTGTTGAGGATTTCCAGGTTTTCAATGATGGTCTAAGATCAATCGGTTCATGATCTGAATTAAAATACTGAAATTCAAATTTTAATAATGAAGCATTAACTTAGTAGATTAATTAATCTGAAATCTTCTAAGCAGCTGATATCTACAAAATGACTTGATAATCAGCTAACAATACAAGAAAAGTTATTCGATATTCATAGGAAAACTGTATTATATGTATAAAATGATGTTTTCTTCCATGAAACAGAAGTCCTATAAGTCATAGATATGTTTGGCTTTTGTCCTGATCAAACACTGATATATAAATTTCCTATACACCAACCTTTGAACTTGAGTAAGAAGACAAAGAAAGAGAAGGAAATATACAACATTTTCTCTTAGAAAACAAAATCACATTTACAATCAATGACTTGTGTTTATCATTTAAATTATATTTGATCAGTTCAATATACATCACTTAAGATGAATTAGCTATACAGATCTAAAAGAAATGAATGTTGAAAGATGATGTACTTACATTGATGATGAATCATGAAAAGAACAAAATACATTTGAAGCTCCATATCTATGTCTTAAATAAAAACAAACAAACTAATTTCTTCTTGTTTTCACTTAAACTTAGATACTTAACTTACGAGGTTTATATGAACAATTATATTATTTTACAACACCCATTGAACATAATCAATTCAACATGGATTCTGGATTACATAATATTATGTTTAATACATTAGAATTTGACAATCTTAAACAAGAGACAATATCACCATTATTAAAACAATTTATTAATCCATTAGCATATAATCCTTATACAATTGAACAATGGCAATCTGTTATACAATTAATTGATATACGTCTTCAACCAATTGAAGAATGTGCAATTAATAGATTTCGAACAAAATTACTAAGTTTATCAAATAAAGTTGATTGTAAGTTTATCCTTTTTGTTTACATAATTATCATTAATGTCAATAGTTGAAATCATGAGTCAATTGAACCTAGACTACCATGGAAAACCTGGAAGCACTCGACGGTCGTTTCGTCTTAGTATGGGACTCCTTAGCAGCGCGCATCCTCGATGACGCCCCCCCCCACGAGATTCGAACCCTGGACTTATTAGTCTCGCCCACGAGTGCTCAACCATTAGACCAATGAACAGGCATCCAACGGTGTTAATGTTTAACTTCTACCAATAATTAATGTTATTAATATTACTATTACTACTGGTGGTAGTAGTAGTAGTGGTGTCATGAACAAGAACACAAATGGGACAATAGAATGTATTTGAATACGAAATTACAGAACATCTTAGTAAAATCTGAGATGCATACAGTAAATATTTAGTTTTGCAAAATGTCAATTAAATGCCTCAAACTTGACTGTCCCTTTTGTAAATATCAGTCGATCGTCTCAAACTTTAATGTTACTGCATTTCCATACCAATTGCTTTATGTTTCCATTCTTTCCTTCTCGATCTTCTTCACCTTCTGTTGCCAGACATTTTATTCCTGACTAGCGTTATATACTACTCATGTCGACATAAGCAGCATACACCACAGTATTAGTATTCTCAAATATTACTACATATTATGATAAAAGTAACTTTTCAATTTATTTTAACAAGAAAATGGATTATTTCCAGTCCTGGAATATAGTAAGATACAAAAGGATAGTAATATAATTCGAAAACAGGATAATACGAATACCAGGCTGGATTACGTGACACAAGTACATGACTTTTGAGCGAACGATTGAGAAACTGTAGCTCAGGCAGTAGTTTATTCAATACAATACAGTGAGTCTACACAACAAAGCCAGGAGTAGAAATCAACATTTTACATAAAGCACTAGACTATATATTAGTTTACATAAACAAGTCTACTTGTATTTACTCAGTGGCCAATCACTAGATTACTCAATCTATGAGCGCATATTGAGCTGATTCAAAAGGATAGGTCACAGTGGTCGCCCCCTAATACATGTAGACTTTCTTTAATTTTCACTGAGTGACAGACGAAAGTTTGGGTGAAAACAGGTTGACTGACGTTCTCGGTAAAAGTATACTCTACTGATTGCCCTGAATGAATCAATCAGAATTTAGATAGCACTTCACGGTTTTGCGCAAAATTAAAAAACTTAGTATTAGATAACTAAAATATTTGGTTGTTGAAATGCTTGTAATTGATAAAAAGGTATCTACTATGCAACCAAATAATGAACATGATATGGTGCTTAGGCCAGAACGCAAGACATACCTGTTCCTGATGCACATTATGTGTTTGCGCACTTGATGTGACTCAAGTCACAGTCAAACGTATTTCTGTAGCTAGATACTATTCGCTTACTCTAATTCTCAACTCCAAATTTCAATCCCAAAGTTATCAAGTTTGTTAATAGAAGTGTTACAATGCATCATTGCATTATAACTGATGCTGGTTCATGATGAATACCCTTAATATAAAACATAATCCTAACACATAACTTTAGTTAATTTCTTACTACCTAGCACTAACTTCCTTGATATGTGGGTGATGTCAGTTGATGATGAAAAGTGTGTAGGGTTACAATCTTAACTGACATCAGTAACCCAACTGTTGATATGTAGACTTGACCTTTATTCTTTACGAGAAAGAGTAATTTAATATGTAAATGGTTACTTATCATATCCAAATCACTATTCCACTGTAATTTTATTTCTCATTGTTGAATAACAAGCCATCATTTCTTGGTTGCTTGATAAGTTGCTCGAGATGAAGTTCGTCAACATAGTGTACATTTTCATTACGATCATGATCGGTCTAAGTTAAGTCACCACTGAGAACCTGAGAGGACTGAACGGCCATTTTGTCCCGGTATGAGACTCCTCGAAATCGAGCATCCATGATCCTGCACTCGAAAATTGAACCGAGGGTTTTAGGCCTTACACCCAAACTCATAACCTCTAGACTATTGAGTCAATCCACGATATTGTACGACCATCTCCCATTGTCTTCGGTGGGTAATTGCCTCACACCTGACATGATTAGATTTGTACGACAATGGTGCCAGCTCAGTGGTCTAGGGCTTAGGCATTCGACGAAGCTGAGGGTCCTAGGTTTGAGTCCCGCACCCGGGATTATGGATGAGCACTACTGAGGAGTTCCATGCTAGGACAAAATGACCGTCCATCGCTTCCAGGTTTTTAGTGGTGGTCTAACACTGATCTGTTGATGATCTCAATAAAAACTCAACAATCTTACTTACTTACTTACGCCTGTTACTCCCAATGGAGCATAGGCCGCTGACCAGCATTCTCCAACCCACTCTGTCCTGGGCCTTCTTTTCTAGTTCCATCCAATTCTTGTTCATTTTTCTCATGTCTATTTGCATTTCTCGGCGTAATGTGTTCTTTGGTCTTCCTCTTTTCCTTTGGCCTTGAGGATTCCATGTGAGGGCTTGTCGTGTGACGCAGTTGGGTGCTTTCCTCAATGTGTGTCCAATCTACTTCCAGCGCTTCTTCCTGATTTCTTCCTCCACTGAGATCTGGTTTGTTCTCTCCCACAGTACGTTGTTACTAATAGTGTCCGGCCAACGGATCCTAAGTATTTTGCATAAAAAACTGTTAATAAACACCTGTATCTTCTGGATGATGGCTTTTGTAGTTCTCCAGGTTTCCGCCCCATACAGTAGAACTGTCTTGACATGTGTATTGAAAATTCGGACTTTGGTATTGATTGACAGTTGTCTTTGAGCTCTAGATGTTCTTCAGTTGTAAACATGCTGCTCTTGCTTTGCCGATGCGCGCCTTCCACCGTGTTCATCAATGATGCTGCCCAGATATGTAAAGGTTTTTACATCTTCCAAATCTTCTCCGTCAATTTTGATTGGATTGGTGCATTCTGTGTTGTATCGGAGAATCCTGCTTTTCCCTTTGTGTATATTGAGACCTACTGCTGCTGAGGCTGCTGCCATACTGTTCGTCTTCTCCTGCATCTGTTGTTGCGTTTGGGATAGAAGGGCCAGATCGTCTGCGAAGTCGAGATCATCCAACTGCATCTTAGATGTCCATTGTATCCCGCGCTTCCCTTCAGACGTTGACGTCTTCATGATCCAGTCGATCACCAGGAGAAAGAGAAAGGGTGAGAGTAAGCAACTTTGCCTAACACCGTCCATTGCTTCCAGGTTTTTAATGGTGGTCTAACACTGATCTGTTGATGATCTCAATAAAAACTCAACAATCACCACAACCTTATACTGATAGTATAACTGTACCTACTTTTCCTAGTCGTTCATTTTTATTTTTTGAAATAATATATTACTTTTATACTAAATTAGTAACACGAAATGGATACAGAAAACTCATTTCTACAACTGCTTTAATGTCACCATGGCACGCAGCGCTTATCTCACTAAAAACTGTAGTCGACTCTTTGCATCAGTTTCCCTGTGACATAATCATCATGACTAATTTTTGTTATGATCCCAAAAATTTCGTAGTTCTACTATTATACTATTTAAATATTTGATAGACGTTATCAACAGGACAGTCGAAAAAATCACGTAAACAAACTAGATCCTAAGCGATCTTGAATAAAATGAACACTCGATCAAATTCAATTTAAATGGATTGTAGCGGTTCGACACAATGGATTCAATTTTACTCTATCTATAATGAAGTGTGGTGATTTAGTCTACTCTATGGAACCAGTTCACATAAGTTAATAGAAGATGAATGACTGATTGACTGAGTATCATTTTTCATCATATTTTCTTAGATAAAATTGTTATAAATATGTAAATACTTGTTGTTGGGATATTCAGGAAAATATCCCAAAAATTATCCTGTTAAGCCTAATGCTATCCTTGGACATGGAATGGTATCATCTTATTGGTCAATATTTGTTTAACGTGTCACTTTCCTACTGGCCATTATTGTACAATGTTATTTTCTATTTTATGGTACGTTGTGGTCTGCTTGACTGGTATATAAACAAAGTATGTTTGAAATATAATGATTCATATATCCGAGGCTGTGACTTGTGTTCTGGACTTAACTGGCTGGGTTATACAGGGAGGCAGGACCAATCAGAACCCTAGGCCGTTCTAAGTTTTTGCGCGTCTTTGGTCCGATCAATAATTCGCTACCCTTAATCCGCAGCAAATATTTTTCACGTCATAACACTTGTATAGCTGACCTAGTAGTTAGTATTCCTTCATCCTTCATATATTCATGTAAATCTATACAATATCAGTGAATTCCCATTCCGTTATTTTTTTTCTTCAGCTTCTGGTGTTACTTATCCCAGTCGAACTGTTGCAAATCAAATTTTGATGGAATTCCAGAAATTTCAATATTTAATTCATCGTCCAATTGCTGCAAAAATTTTACAGTCAGAAAGAGAATTACTTCTTGGTTATTTGGAAGTTTCATTGAAAGAGGTAATATTATCCTTATTATTAGTACTGTTTTACTTCCAATTAGAATCTATAATTAATTTAAGGTCTCTTATAAAGATAATTTGCATCATGAGTTGGTTTTAATCATAAACTGTTTCAAATCTTGAAGGATAAAACGTTTATTCTGTACTAGTATCGGATTCTATAATACAATACACCCACGACCTTATGAGGAATCGAATCCAGTATCATGGTTCCTACAGTGACACCTTTAGAATTCTGAGTTAGAGTCTAATGAGATACTTTTGTAACTTCAGTTGATTGTTGATGTTACGTGATCACTACCTGTTTACCACTGGTATCACCTACGACATAACTGTGACCTAACAATCATGACTTTCCACTAAATTCTTCTCGAATTTAATTGTCAGCGAGTACGCTATTACTATTAACATGAGGTGGTTGTAGATTGTCCTTTTTAAATTAGCTTATACCAATAAATTAATTTAATTAAATAACAATTTAAAGTAACAGTGTTTGTTATAAATTGTGGCCCGTGTGCCCTGTTAATGTATAACGTGATGATACCGCCAATTAGAGAGCAATGACTCATAAAACCCATGCGAGTAGTCTAAAGTCTTTATCGGTCCTGCTTACTGCTTAGCCCAGCCAGTTAAGTCCAGAACACCAATCTCAGCTTCTAAGATATGAATCATGTATTTCAAACATACTGGATTTATATATCAACCAGACAGACCACATTATGCCATAAAATAGGAAACAACATTCATACAAGATTTAGCCAAACGTGGCTGTGAATATGGAGGTAGTAATTAATGGACAGGGAACAACTCAAGAATTGTAAACCTTAGAATAATAGTTCATAGGTCAAAATAAGGGTGCATGAATATGAACAGTTTAGTTATTCAACAATTATACGATAAAGATATACGTATAGTGTTGGTCTGTAAATGGATTTCAAAAGTTACCATTCATTATGCTTATCGGGACATAACAGTGTCATTATGTAAAAACTCAGAAAAATACATAATGGCCATTTTGGTAGAGTTTCGTTCTCTGAGCTGGATGGTTTGGTCATGGAGCTTTCATCGTTCTTCTGAACGACATCATCAGCACAAACATAATGGCCATGCAGCACAAGAATAAAAAAGACAGAAATGAAATGATTTGGAATGAGATAATGGTAAACAAAAAGAAAAAACAGCAGAATTTTGTAGATTTAAATGGAAGATAAATAGTAGGGAGGCGGGATCTATGTAGCTATGACCAATACTGGTTTACATAATTTACATAGTCCTAACCATAAATTTGTAATATTTCGATAATTCTAATTAGATAGATCACACCCTAATATCTACAATCCGCTAGTTATAAAAACCTAGCCAAATTATCCATGTTTCTTAAGTTGCCATACATCAAATCACCAAAGCAAAGAGTAATTTTGTCTGCTAAAATTGAAAGGAGTTCAAGTGATTGTGTTAATAGTCGAAACAAATCAACTATAAAATTTATAATCTGTAAACAATGAATGAAATCGAGGAACGAAGAATATGATAAGAAACTGAATGCAACAGCACTAATAATTGACGTTAATTTTGATCTATATCATCTTTAAATTTCCAACATTCATTACTACTATCTCACAAACTTTAACTAGAAATATTAAAATATTCTAACACCCCACATACTGAAAGTCAATAATTTTATGAATGAATAACCTAGATTCCATCTAACCCACTTTTATAGTGATCAATAGAAAATTTAAACGAAGATTAAATATCTTGGATACAATATCTTTCGTAGGATCATACATTACTCCTTCTGTCAATTTGGTTAATTTCCCATAGAGTTTTACGGCGAGACTCTAATTTGCGGATAACCTTTGAACGAATCTCAAGTGACTTTGAGAAATATTAGCCAATCGGCAAATAGTCAGTATAGAGTAAAGATATATTATACAAAACCATGGAAATGAAGTGGATATATTCCTTATATGTGGTTCAAAAACTTGTCAAGGTTATAAAGAGGTTCAGAGGTCATAAAATCGTCGTGTCTGCAGTAGAGGAAATCATCCATATGGCTACAGAATAGTCGGCTTCTGGAGCCATGATAAAGTCTCAAAAACTCTTTCAGCCTCGACCACATAGCTTCAATATTGTTTATGTGCACTTCGGTTGTTGAGTACACAGAATGCCACTTGCGGATAACGATACGATGCACATAACCAAGTTTATGTAGGAGTCTGTACGCTCTCCAATCATCCGTATATATTGTAGTACAAGGCTGCAGCCAATGTTACTCGTGCTTTTATTATCCAGTTCGCGATAATTGTCATAATTCGCCTTAGTTAAGAACTATATATGAGGTTTTTATCACGAACTGACATCAGCTATAATGCCAGAAATTTATCTAACCAAGTGTATGAAAGGCTTTCATGTTAAAATCCGAGATCTATTATCTTATACCTGATTGATTCATCCACAAATTATAGTCTCGCCGTTTCATTTGTTATAGCCGCTCAATTATCACGTTTTGTAAAAAAATTCCCTGTGAACCGATCATACGTTAGCATTAAGCACTGAAGTTGGCGCCGTAACTTTGAAATCTCTCAAACGCTTCTGATTGGTTCGTCCATAAATTAGAGTCTCGCCAGTATTACAATAAAGTTAGATTGATCAGTAACATTAATTTTGAGTTGATTATCATACAATTCTTCATTTGTTTTGTTATTTAGTTTCATGAAGAATTTCTAGCTAAATCAAATACTGCTAACTCAAATCCACATTATCATCAAGAACAATCACACAAAAAATCTTCAACAATTGTAGTTAGGAATATTTCTGATTGTATAAATCAAATGCTTTGGGGAGGACAGATGAAATGTCGTATACAAGAGGAATTTACACTTGTAAAATTTCTGTTGTCTGATTTACAACGTTTCAGTGTATATGAACAGGTAATTAAATGTTATTTAGTTTGAATTGTGGTGTGTGCTACTTATATCAACGCAAGTATTATGTGACTTTAGTCAGGAACAGAATGTCTGGCAGCAAAAAGACAAAAGGATCGAACAGTAACGAATGGAAACAGAATGCAATTTGTATGAAAATGCAAGAACAATGAAGTCTGAGTCATCTTAACACAATTGATGGACATTTTGCAAATTAAGCATTTACTTTATGATTGTTAGATTTTATTAACAAGTCCTGTAATGGTATGACAAATGTATTTGATTATTCTCACTAGTGTTCTGTTCGCTACAAAACAAACAAAAACAAACAAGGCATTATTGTTGAATTCTGTAGTTAATATACCGAAGTGCACTCAGTTAAAAAACGATTGAGAACTAAGGAGAACTGAACGGCCGTTTCGTACTAGTGTGGGAATCCTTAGCAATACACTCTGTAGTGACTGATTTCGGGAGACGGTTCCAAGAGTTCTAGTAAAAAGCTATAACCAGTGATTGTCACCAAGTATCATAGATGAAAAGTTGCTTTAACTCACAGTAAAATAGCCGATTGTTATATCTTGTGGCCTTGCGCCCCTGTCAATGTATACAACGTAAATGATACCGCCAATTAGAGAACAGTGATTTATCGACCGGACCAATGACGCATAAATCCGTATGAGAAGTCTAGAGTCTTTATCGGTCCTTCTTCCTGCTTAACCATGCCTGTTAAGTCCAGAACACTAATCTCAATCTCCGCGATATGAATCATGTATTTCAAACATACTATGTTTATATACAAACTAAACAGACCACATCGCACCACAAAATAGAAAATAACATTTGTACAAGATTTAAACAAAGGTGTCTGTGGATGTGGGAGACTGTAATTAATAGACTGGGCATAACTCAAGAACGGCAAATCGTATAATAATAGTTTATAGATCAAAGTAAGGCTTGTAATAAGAGGAGTGTAGATATACATAATCTAGCTACTGAATAGTTTTACATTAAAAATATACGTATAATATTTGTCCATAGATAGTTCTCAAAAGTTACCATTCATAATTCTCGTTGGGATATAACACCAAATTATACAAATCTACAGACCAAGTAAAATTTGTTCTGGTGAATTTGTTCAATAATCTTTTCCAGTGAAGTGATTGATTACTTTGATGACTTTTCTCAGACAAATTAAGTTCTTCTTTAAAGCAAACTATTCTTTGAAAAAAATTCTTTAAAGTTCCTGTAACTTTTTAACCACATATGAACAATTTCATTTTTTATTATTTAAGGAAATAGTCAAGTTTGTTTTTGACTATTTTTCAGCAAGCGCTGAGCTTAATTGAACAAATTGAAGACTGGCACAATGAACAATTTCAAGCATGGTCGCGTGATAGACTCTTATCACTTTCGACAACAAAGGAATCAAATCAATCCTCATTAGCATTTGATCCAAATGGTCCTCTGTTGAATCTATCTACAGTTGATGGTCATTTAGAAGTCGGATTCCCAGACGGTTTAGTGCAGTTACAACGAGAAGTGAAACTATTGTCTGGATTAGGCTATCCGATACCTTATAAACTAATACAAGCTACAAATGAAGCTGAAAAGATATCACAATATGCAGTAATGTTGAGACAGGTAACTGATTTGACAGATAACCAGATAAAATGTATTTTATTAAAAAAACACCGATTTAAATAAAACACTCACTGAAAACCTTGAATCACTGGACGGGTGTTTATTCTTAGTATCAAACTCCTCAGTAGTTCACATTCACGATCCCACACCCAAGAACCGAACCCAGGATCACCTGTCTCGTGCACTCCAGTGGACTGTGACTAGTAAATCTCAACCATGTGCGATATCAGGAAGGTAACCAGTGAAGACATTAGAAAATGGTTGTGTAATACTGTGGATTGACTTAAATCAGATTTGCACACCATTGGATCCCGTTTCAGCGGTTCAGAGGTTAAGCTTTCGTGAACAAGACAGGTGGTGTTGAGCTCGGTTCTCGGGTGTGAGATCGTGGATGTGCAATACTGCACAAACTGTAAGTATTTTTTTCGTAGGATATTCAGTATAGAGATTAAAACTCAGATATTAATAAATAACCATAAGAAATTACAAGGAAACTTGAATGAACTTTTATTCTCTGGGCAGACACTATTAAACCATCCAGCTTAGTGAACGAAACTTAGACAAAATCATCTACATAAGTTGCAAATCTCCGCCAGTTAAAAACCACATAAGTGTATTAGGCTTCTCCTTGTTCAAAAAAAGTGAATGTCACTAAAAGTCAGGCTTTCATAAAATAATATCTGTACTATACCCAAGAATGTCTTCGTCATCATATTCTACTAACAAGCGTCAGATATAAAGCACTAATCAACTATTCGATCTGGTGGAGGATAGCTGAGAAAACATAATTAAATTAGCTGATTCAGAGAACGGAATTCCATTATAACCATCCACCTGAGCTACAAATCATCTTCACCACTAGGAAACGTATTTCCATCTCCATGAAATATGAACTCTCTCAGAGGTGGCCTTTCAGCATGGCAAACTGAAGTATATTTATTACTCCTCAATGAATAATAAGCTTGGAATGGTTTCCATGGTGGATTTGAGTCAATTTGTAGTCATTTATCTATGAAGTATATATATATTTAAGGATTTGGTTGTGATGATCGACTGATATCCACAGAAATTTCTTGAGCAATGTGGGAAAAGTAGAAATAAAATACCTAAAGAATCTACTGCAACCGAAGAACTTATTTTTTGTTGCAACGACAACTAACAGAAGATTAAAGAACACACTAACCAAAATGTATCCTTCAGCCAAGCTGATTATCTTTTATAAGACAATATGTTGTTTAATAGAGTCAAAGATTGATAAGTATCCCTTACATGTAACCACCAACTGCGTATACAAACGTACAAGAATTTGTTCTAACAACTGCATCGGCAGGATGGAAAAAAATCCTTACTTTTAGTTCAAAGAATAAATGCCAAAAAGTTTTAGGTCGATGGAATTGAGGGCTTTCAGAAGTGTTTTTTATGTATCCTAGAGGAAACAATTGCAAATCTTTCCTTTTCATAATGACGTCATCGCAAATTTATTTCATCATTCCTACGCCTTTTCCTCTTATTTTGATTAGGTATCTATTTTTGGAATTCGTTGTCAACTTATATTACTCTTAATTATCATTAATTTGTGTCCGATTGCTTCATTACATAATCAGTTAATTGTTTGTTTGTTTTCATCAGAATTTCTTGCTGTTATGTCTGATCATCTAGATCTTCTCTAACGTACACACATATTTATGCAATCTCATTACATTTATTCGAATCACCACTCCATCATGCTGATACACATATTCACATCTAGCTATTTTCACTGTTATACGTCTTAATTTTCTGACAATTTTGAGTTTACAATATATTATAATTTCAATGGTTGAGATCATGAGTGAATTGAAGTTAGACCACCATGGAAAACCTGGAAGCCCTGGACGGCTGTTTCGTCCTACTGTGAGACTTCTCGACAGTGCGCACCCACGATCCCGCCTCGTGAGATTCGAACCCAGGACTTATCATTCTCGCGCTTGACCGCCTAACCATTATACAATTGAGCTAGCATCCAACGTATCCAGTGCTTCCAGGTGGTCTAGCTTCAATTGACTCATGATGTCAACTATTAAAATTACTATAATAACCACAAAACCCCTTCTGATATTTGACATTTGTCTGTGAGTCTAACTATTTCCACAAAAGGCAATAATAACTGATTAGGTGGCACAGGATTCGAACTGACAACTTGCTGGTTGTAAGCCAATAGTCTTGATCACTAAACCAGTGTTATGTATTCAAGTTAGTAATAACCTATAAATACTTGGTAATAATAATAAATTTGTTTATTTTATATCTATGCAATTACAGGTAGCTCATTTCTATAATTCTATTGATAGCGAAATGTTACCATTTCAAAAACCTTTAATGCTTAATTCAGCATTAGCATTTGAACGTCTAATTAAATCATATAATTGTAAACAAAATTTCACTAAAGAAAATTTATTAAATTCAATTACATGGGATCAAACAGAACAAGTACAACAATATATTCAACAATTACAACAAGCAACTCAACAATTAATCAGTGAAAATCGTCGTCTACGTAAAGTACATTATATGCTCATAGAAAGAGTAAGCTGATAATAATAATAATATTTTTCAGTATAGAGGTTGTGGAGATTGTTAAGTTTTGATTGAGATCATGAACCGATTGATGTTAAACCACTATTGAAAACCTGGATGCACTGGACGGCCATTTCGTCCCATTGTGGGACTCCTCAGCAGTGCGCATGCAGGATCCAGCTCACGGGATTCGAGCCCTGAGCCTTCAGTCTCGCGCGCGAGCGCTTGACCTACTGGACCACTGAGCCGGCATCCAATGGTGTTAATGTCTAACCTCAACCAATCCAAGAAATTTCGTGGATCCCGCTCGCGGGATCGTGGACGCGCACTGCTGAGGAGTCCCACAATGGGACGAAACGGCCGTCCAATGCGTCCAGGTTTTCAATGGTGGTTTAACAACAATCGGTTCATGATCTCAATCAATAATATTTTTCATATATTTAGTTAATAATCTAAGTGTGGAGTTAACAACCTCACCTGATTAAAGCAACCTCAAAACAAAATTGACTCAGTGTATTCTGTTAAAATATAATATGGTAAACAATTATGAATATGAAAGGTTTAAAATGAAACTTCTTATAAAAATTCATTTACTCTGAGCAAGTCTTTATACTTGTCTTTCAGCAACTTTATTTCTTCTAGGTCTAATTAGTTATACTCAACTACTTAAACCAAGCTAAGGTGTGCAAGGTTTAAACTTACCATTTCCTGGTTTAAAACTCAGTATTCTCTTTACTCATTAGATCATCGCTTTATCAAGCAGTTCAATTATATTATAATTATTATTCCAACTTTGTACAACTTGACTGATAATTCATTTTCATCAGAAATTATTTTTGATCAATTATAGATTATCAAACTATTGGATATTGATTTACTACGTAATCAATCTAAATGGAGAAATGAATTGAATGAAATGCGATATCAATTATCTGAAATTGCTACCAATGGTGGCTATCCAGCTAATCATATGGCACCATGGAGAGCATTTCTAGATCATCAATTATACAAAGTATTGGAATATCAATATAGAAGAGGATTAGAAGAAATTAGTGAACGAATGCCTGAAATGCGTATTGATATGGTTTATATACAATCATGTTTAGCATTTCGACCACCATTTGAAGAAGTAAGTTGTTTTTTACAAGTGCATTCGATAAGTGTTATATCGCGACGAGAATAATGAATGGCAACTTTTGGAAACTAACTATGGACAAATACGATGCAAATATTTTTATTGTATAATTACTAAGTAGCTAAGCTATGCATATTCATGTTCCTCTTATTAAAAGCTATATGTTGATTTATAGACTATTATTATACGATTTGTCATTCTTGAGCTATGCCCAGTCTATGAGTTACATTCTTCCACATTCAAAGCCACTTTTGTTGAGATCTTGTACAAATGTTATTTTCTATTTTGTGATGCGATGTGGTCTGTTTGGTTCGTATATAAACACAGTATGTTTGAAGCAATTATCTGGACAATAAATCGCCGAATAGGTGTGAGCAATGTTTCTTTAATATATGAGATAAACCGTTGTCCCAGGTTTGGATCATTCTTTCAGTCTTTACAACACTCACTGAAACTTTTGATCTACGCAAAAGGAACTGCTTCTTATCCTTCTTCATAAACAGATCTCAGCATTTCATGATTTTATCCAGTTTTCTTCAAGTCTTCAGAAAGATTTTGATGTAGTTCATTTCATATATGATGAATGAACTAGTGTTAACTTATGTAATTTGATAGTATTATGTGTGTCTTCGTTATATTTACTGAAAGTGTAACTCATTTGTGCTTAATACTGAAACCCTGAATCTTATGACGCGTAATGAGAACAAAAAAACTGGTGATTACGATTTACTTGACACCCAAAATAAATATCTGATTACTCCACTTTTAATATGGTCTACTTACAGTCAGGCTAATATTAAGATCTGAATAAATTGAACTGGTTAATACTTTAAAAAAGTTCATCAATAACTTACTACACGAATAAAGACTTGATTGGGAAAACCAATTTAATGTTTTCATGCAAACGTAAGCAGTACCTTCGTAAAATATGAAAATCATACATTAAATACATCATGTGCATATCTTCCATCAGTTGTCCTTTACATACTCCATCATTCTTCCGATTCTATTGTTATCCCAGTTGCTCTCTGTTTTCCTTCGTTTCCTCTTTATTTCAATCTTCTGCTGGTAGGCATTCTACTTCCGATTCCTGCTATATACTATTTATAATTCACACCACAATATTAATGATATACCGATTGATTTGCACACTGAGTTAATCCTGCCCTCTTGACTCTGTCATATCGCTTTCCTCTCCTGAAAATAAGTTTGACTTTTCACATTTAACTAAAGGCATTGGTAAAGATACATATCAGGTAGAATATTATCAGTTTGATTGAAAAAATTGGAATCGAAGAATAGGTAACTGAATAATATTTTAACTACTCAATGACCAATTTTTATAAAGAAGTGAACTTTAGTTCTAAACTGATTCAAAGGCAATTATAAACAAAATGTTTTACCTACGTTCATTAGAATTACCCGTGGTTGGATATTGCCAGTCAAATCATTACACATTACTATTAATAAGTGTTATGTTCAACCGTATTGACGACTAACCAGGAAATCTTTAACAAGTCATGTCTGATGAAGTTTAATCATGTTGAGAATAAAACACTCATACATCAGCATAGTTGGATGCTGTTCCAGTATATCACAAATTAGTTAAAGTTAGGAATACTTATACCAACATAATATTCCTTGAAGGTAACTTACCTCAAAACATCAATTTCCTGGGGTTCAAACTCTAGGTATATGAGCACTGTTGAAGTGTTCTAAACTAGTACAGATAAAACAGTACAGTAATTTATAGTTTTAAAATGTCCTTCAATGACTTCTCAATCAACAAGAAATGAAACCATTTTATAGCTATCTAACTGATCTTTTTCAAAATAAACAAAATATTTCATTCACTTGGTATTATTCGGCTGGTATCTTCCCGTTGAGGTTTAAGACTGCAATTGATCGGCATATGTGCATACTGTGCGTATGCCTCGATATTGCCTCAATTCACAAGCTTATTGTTAGCAACGATGGATAGTGGCTAGCAGTGGAATCCAGGACGCGCGTTTCGTCCTATTCGGGACTCGTCAGATGGATGTACCTGCATCTCAGAGTTGATGTTCACTCTGGGACTTGAACCCAAATAGCTCCCTACATTAATATGAAGAGATCAGGAACAAAGATTTGAATAGAATGACATGAACTCATTAGATGTTTACAGCTGATGATAGAGAGCGAGAGAGAGAGTTTAGCGAAACAAGACTAATTCATATATTATTCTACTTAAATCTTTATTAGATCTCCATACAGAATAAGTCTTTCCCTTTGAATTCTTTTTTGATTAAAATATCTAGATAAAAGCTAAATACTATCGTGAATTAAAAAAGTTCATTTGTATTCCGAACAATTTTCGTGGATTCAATGAATTTATTCCATCTGTTGGTACAGATAGTACGTCTACTACTTCCATATCTAATATGAATAAACATATATTCTCATGTATAATTGATAATCAAGAAAGTGGCTTACGTATATGCTATAAAAAAGCTGAATTCTTATTTACTCGACTATTTGGTAGTTTAGAACAATTTCAAGATTGGGTTATATTAGGTAGTTTAAATTTAGACGATTTTGTGGATTTACATTGTCGTGATTTGGATGATTATGAAAGGAATTTCAAGGTCAGTAAATTTCTTTTGTTGTTCTATTTGTTTTATATTTATGATGCATTATATTTTCCGTTGTTGATACTTACCTATTAGTACCTATGACCCTTCGTGGAGCATAGTAACACTTACCAGGATTACCCGATCAAATTTGTTCTGGGCTCTAATTTCCAGTGGCTTTCGAGTGCCATTCATTCGTTTGATGTTTGCCTCTAATTACTGGCATAACGTATTCTTTAGTCTGTTCCTTTTGTTTTTTTCTTGCAAGACTCCGAGTTAGAGCTTGCCTCGTAATGCAGTTTCATGATTTCTCCAATGTGTCAGGTACTTTGTTAAGGAATCAACCGGTCATCCTCAGTCAATTGCATCTACGAAACGTGGAAAGAAATTTAAGCTCTTTAATATATTCAAAGGATGTCTCGTATTAGCAAATGAATGATTTGTCGATTGAATGTTTTTAAATAGTAGTTCCACATTGAAACAATCGTGAAGACTAATTTTAAGTATATAGTGCATCCATTGTATTTCAGTTAAGATTATAAAGAGAGGTCAGTTAATATCTGAAATACAAGAGGGTGTCAATAATTGTGGGCCTATGTTTAAGATGACATATTTTTCTAATTTCCAAATGTCTTAGACTACATTCTCAGAATATCTTACGTTTTCATACCGATTCATTACAATGCAATGGAACACTAAACTATTGTCTTTCTTTAATGGATTAGATTTCAACATCATTCCATGAGTTTCTTTCATTCAGTAAACAACCACCACATTCCCTTACAAATCCCAACATCACAAACATTTTATATACAACTAAAGCTTCAAATGATATAACCACTTCGTGACATATTCACCTTAATTGTAGGGGTTGGTGAAGATTAGTTTGATTTGTATAATGTCTTCGTTAGAGACTAATCTCACTTAGAGTACTATCAAGAATCAGAGAGCCGAAAGAAATCTGTTTCCCTTAGTATAGAGCTCAGTCATCCGCTCCCCAAATTATGTTTGAAGAGATCACGAGTTCATCTAATTTGTGAACGTGACGAACACTGTGTGACACACCAATAGATAAGTTAACTATTCTGACGCCTCCCAGCTCATCTAATAAGAGAGAGAAGTTCGAGTTCGGAAGAGGGAAATATATTCCACAAGTATCTAGAAATACGAACAACCACGACAAGTCTAGTCGAAAATATTTGCTCTAATGTTCATGTTTGCTTTAATTGTTATAACTTTTCATCTATCTAATTCTATTTCCTAAAGGCTCTGAAAATACGTAGTCGTGATATAGAAAAATTGCCAAATGAAATACGAATTGATTGTATTATAGTGAATTGTTTACCAGTTAAAACAGCTATTAACAGTTTACTTCAGAATTTATTCGACACATTACAAAATTGTCTACGTAGATCAATTCATGTTGATTTAGTAGCTGCAGATGGATTTTTAACAGGTTAGTTGAAGTATTTTTTTTTCGTGTACAGTTAAATTCATTTGTTCCCGAATTCAAATAAAGGATGAACAATAGTTGAAGCTGAATAATATAAATTCATTCACATTAGCTATTTACAATTCAATTATGGAGGACTTTTCAAAGGATATAAGATTGAAATATGCCATAAGTCTAGTCAACTCAATCGACTAACACTTAATCGATAGAGGCCATATTGTCAACTTTCTTGAATCTTTTAAAATAATTGACAGGCAAACTAGGTCATACTTCATCAGAGCACTATATATACTACAAGTTTAAGTTTCCTAATATATATATATATATATATATATATATATATTAGAAAAATTGGACAAAATCCGTTGGACTATAATTTATGGAAGAACCAATCAGATTTACGATAACAGGTCTTGAATTTTGGCACGAAATTGATTCATTCATTTGGCGAAGTAGAGTTTCGGCATTATAGCTGATGTCTGTTTGTGATGAAAACCTTATGTCTAATTCCTAAACCCAACTATCAACTGTAAATATTATTCTTAATTCCTTACGCTGGTTTATAAGCCTCATTTAGCCGTAATATGTAGGTGGACATTCTCGGGGTCTATTTAGCGTCGTTCAAAGGCCGTCCATAAATTATAATCTCATCCCTACAGTTATTTTTAGTAGTCATTAGTACTGTTATTGTTATTGGTTGTACTGTTTGTGATATCTTGCTTGATCCTTAATGAGCAATCGGTCATCTCATCTACTTCCACTGCTTCTTGATTATCACCTCTTGAGTTCTTAAAAAAACTTATGTTAATTCTTTAAATCTTTTGTATATATTAGGCAGTTCATCATATAAATTCTCGAAATCTAGATAATTATTGTTATAGTCCGTTTATATATCTTATATCTATTTTCAAATGACCATACACATATATATGGACATATTATTTATTCTGCTGATAGTCTTTGTTGCTACAATTCTTCAGTTACCATAATTGATATGTTATATTTCAGTGTGAGTAAAGTTGTAAGCAGCTGATGAGAACGTACGAAATAAGAAATCTGTAGTGTTGGTTACTATGTTAAGCCCACATAAATTATTCTAGCTTCTGGACACACCATTCTTCTTGAGCCATATTTTGACCTTGCCATTTATTCATTTATCAACCTTGACTGTGTTTATATAAGCGTATGTGCCCTCACTTCTTATCCTACTCGTCACATGTCTGTAACCTATTTTTATCTGGCTATAAATATTGATTAACACTTGATTTTAAATTGCCCGACATCAAGTCGGGCTCACCACTTTTGGTAGCCGGGGTTTTAACTCCTGTTAGATAGTACGAGTGATTGTTATCGAAATATACAACCTGGCTATCCTCGTATACAATCGACTTAATCCACGTTAGTGAATTACGTAATTAAATTAGTCAAATACTCGAATGGATTTCTGAATATATATATTGTGTACACTCACTGATCTGAACAGGAAATCAGCAGGGTGAAGCAAATAGAAGAGAGTGAGGCGAAATGACAAGCGGTGGAGGTGTGTGAGCTAATTCCATTTAATCAAGCGTTAATCAATATTTGTAGCCCGAGAAAAATAGGTTACAGACGTGATGAATAGGATAAGAAGTGCACACATATACGCTGGTAAGTGGATAACATGATGGTGTTTGAAGTGAACGGTACTGAGTTCGAGTTCCAGAGTGAACATCAACTCTGAGATGCAGGTACATACATCTGACGGGTCCCAAATGAGACGAAACGCGCGTCCTGGATTCCACTGCTAACCACTGTCCATCTTTGCTTACAATGTTTGTGAATGCAGTCAATATCGAGGCAATATGCATACTGTGGCAAGCCCATTTGGCTACTGTATCATTTATCTAGTCATTGTAACTCCGACTCAATTCACTATGTTAATTTCGGTGTGTATGATCGAATGTATGTCTGTACATTAACTCTTAAGCTATTTTCCTATTGGTTTCAATGTGCAGATAATCGATAATCTATCCACACCCGATTTGTTTTCAAGGTTGGCTAACATGAGAGCAGTAAGTAGATATGACAAATGAATTGAGCTGTGGGTGCTAATTGTTACCTACTTCGGGCTGTTCTCACACATGGAAAAAACTGGGACCTTGTCAGTGAGTCATTAAGAACGTCTTGCAAGACGTTCTTGAAAGATGAAAATGTACAGGATCTCTCAAAACAGAGTTGTTCGCTTCAATATAAATATATTATTGCATCCGCACGTCAAAGAAATCCAGGCGATTTAACAGAGAGCCAACTCTTAAACATTTCACTAGATCATTATACTACATTGAGACGTGAGCAGTTGCATGCTGCTCGGTTGGAGATCTTGCGGGCTATGAAGATTGAGGAAGAGGATGCAGAAAAGTTGCGACAAGGCCGATATTCTGAAATACCTCCAGACCGGTTACTGACCTATAGAAAAAGATGTCGTGCACTCGGGATTCCGGACAAAATAGGTCGTTGTTTAAATATGGAACCGTTGTCTCCTGTTTCAGAGGAAAATGACCGAACTGTCAAGAAGCTTCCCACTACACTACAACGTCCAAATACTAAAATTGAGAAAGAAACAATTGACCAGAATGGTGGTATCTGGATTCCTGTCGGAACCCCTTTTATTTATGGGCTATTCGAAGAGAGATGTGATTACATTCAGGAATCATCATTAGCCAACTTCATACGTGCTCAAGCTATTATTTCACAAAGACTGGGTTTCGAAGGACATGATGATGAAATCTCAAGTCTAGATACTACATCATCCATCCAGACTCACTCTGTTTCATCGTGTGCTTGCTCACCGTACGCTTGTGGATTATTATTATTCATTAACAATAAACTATCTCTATAACTGGTATTCGGGCTTTTCAATAATCTCGAGTAAATTCGCAATTCTACTAGGAGATTAAGCCTACCAAAAATACTCAGTTACAGGATATTATTAATTGGAGTCAGATATTGAGGACATTAGCCTCAACAATACTATGCACATATGCCAATAAGAGACCGATCAATTGCAGTCCTAAATATCAATGAGAAGATTCAAGTAAACAATATCAAGTGAATTTGTACGAATGCCATCATGAAATTTTCTTGTATTGGATTTATTTTATCTGTTTAACTGTATACTTTAACCACATGTATTCATGTGCTTTTTATCGTAAGGCAAAATACTGTTAAATTTAATCGGAACACTTACGGGTCAGTGTATTTTCTTTTCTAACGTTTGAAGAAACTACGGTCAATTTTATTGGATTTATGCATCAAAAATATTAGACGATGAAAAAGTGATATTATGGGAGTAAAACTGGTCAAACATTTATATGAGTGAAGACGAATAATAGCTGACTACTGTTAAAAAGCCTTGTATATATATATATATATATATATATATATATATATATATATATATATATATATATATATATATATATATATATAGAAATGCTGAATGGATATAACAAGCAAATTCGCTAAAATAATCCATACTTCGTTCTGAGAGTTTTATACTGTAACTAAACGTACGATACTCATAAAGGCGATTAATAATAATAATAGAATAAATAAATTTTGGTTATACTTTTCTTTACTTTCACAGATTCGTTAGAAAAGCTTTCCAGCCGACCTCAAACAATTGATGAATTGATTGCAGCTAAATCACAATACAATGAGTACAGTAAAACAATCAATTATTTAAATGATCAAATTCAATGTGCTGAAAGAAAAAATCAACTACTTTGTACAGTATCCGGTAATGGTGTTACAACTATAGCTGCAGTAAAAACGAAATGGGAAAAATTCAATGCAATGATGGAAAGTTTCCAACTTATGATGAATGAACAATTAGAAGTAGGTCTAACTTAACACGATGTAATTTATAAACACTATGAATAGTTTACAGTATTTTAACCAGGTAGAATATGTGGTTATCTAGAATAAGTGGCTTAGTAAACAGCGCATCAGTGTTTCAAGTAAAAGGTCTTAGTAAGCATCAACACTGGAATGGAAATACATTTCGAATGAGACGAAACATGCATCCTGGATTCCAATAGCATGCATTATGCGATTGTAATAATGATTTTTGATCAAAAAGGATTATTTAGTCAGTCTCCCCAGGATGTATATACGTAAATAAAGACTAATCAACTGTAGTCCTTCAAAGTAACAACGGAAATATACACGTCTCTGACTGTGAAGCTAGGTGACACGGGATCGGATCTGTCAGGGAGCACCAGTTCCCTCAACATTGTAGATACACTACGCTGACGAGTGCCAATTAGCATGAAACCCGGGTTCAGGGTTTCCTGTTGACTACCTCCAATCACCATCTAATCACTAACTTGAAAGTTTATTTATGAAAATGCAATCGAACTCTAAACTATTGTCTTTCTTTAATGGACTAGATTTCAACATCTTAACATAAGTGCATCTTCGACTAGACTTGTGGTGCTTGTTCGTACTTCTAGATACTTGTGGAATATATTTCCCTATTCCGAACTCGAACTTCTCTCTCTAGTTAGATGAGTTGGGAGGCGTCAGAATAGCTAACTTATCTATTGGTGTGTCATACAGTGTTCGTTACGTTCACAAATCAGATGAATTCGTGGTCTCTACAAACATAATATGGTGCTGATGATTGAGCTCTCTACTAAGGGAGAACAGATTTCTTCTGCTCTCTGATTCTTGATAGTACTCTAACTGAGATTAGTCTCTAACGAAGACATTATACAAATCAAATTAATCTTCACCGATCCCTACAATTAAGGTGAATATGTGACGAAGTGGTAATATCATTTGAAGCTTTAGTTGTATATAAAATGTGTGTGATGTTGGGATTTATGGTGGAATGTGGTGGTTGTTTACTGAATGAAAGAAACTCATGTTAAGATGTTGAAATGTAATCCATTAAAGAGAGGCAATAGTTTAGAGTTCCATTGCATTGTGATGAATCGATATGAAAACGTAAGATATACTGAGATTACGAGTTCACCTAGTCTGTGAACGGAATGAAGACTTTGTGACACAATGACCAATAAGCCAGCTATTGCGATGCGTTTCAGCTATGCTGACTAGAGAGAGGGAATTATATTTTACAAGCAGTCAGAAGCACAATGATAGCGTATATATATACAGCATAAAAATGCCCTTGGAAAACGGTACAAAATATCATACTAAAAGAGATAACGAACCAATAGCACTTAAGTTTCAATAGGTGAAAGAAGCGCTTTTGGCGCGAAAACAAGAAGTTCAAATTTTTTAAATAGAATTACAAAAAAAGGCATTCACCAAGTGAGTTCTGGTGATCTAACATCCTTAACAATGGTCAAGTATTAGAATCTAAAAGTAAGATGTTAATGAATTGAAATGTGAGTGCTTTTCTCCGGTCTATTATAACATTTAGTCTATCCAGCTCACAAAAGAAATCAACATCAAAATCATGTATAGATCTCAGCTAATCATTTGTGTGTAAAAGCACGTTTTTTCACTAAGCAGTTAACCTATTCTTTAGGTTAGTGGTCCTGTCTTTTTAATCTTAAATCATTTTATTGTTTTAATCAATAATGTGTTCCCGTGAACAGTCAACACTTGACTATATCGTATCGTTACATTCATGTATGGTTCAGCGTTATATTCATTTGTTTCAAACTAAAACCTGTTTATCAGTTATGAAATCTACCTTCGTTAAAACTGAACTGTACCAACTAGTAGTCTGTCTTATATAGAAAGATAATTTTTCATTTTATTTGGTTAAAATTTTATATAAGGATGGCGAATATTTTCAGCTCAAGTGGATTCATTCAGTAATATTGTGTTTTTTGAGATAAGTAATTTAAATGCACAATTTTCATTGTTGTTTTGGATAATACTATCAGCGCCTACAGGGAATAGAAATAGGTTTTACAGTTATTCCGTAAGCGTTGTATTAGTTCTTTCTGATATCCAATACTATGCAAACCGAAAAACAAATTAACAAAGGGAGACGAATGAAATATTATCATTCGTCTAAGTATACATAAATATGGACTCACAGTAAGACGATATGATATGCTATCACTAATATCAGTACATTGGGACAACTACAAACATGCGATTGATTGGAAAAACTAAAAACAACAGGGAATTCCTACAATCTAGACTTTCAAATCAACTAGCAATCAATAAACACATCGAGATACATCCGAAGTATCAACACATACGAAGGAGATCAGACAGCAGTCTAATAGACAGCTAGGATGAATATAAAAACAAATGAGAACAACAAAACCTACACCCACCACCAATTACAAATGCAGACATAAGGATTAACTATTGTAATATTTGCAGAATAACTGCAAAATCTCACTTCCATGTGAAGTAGGGTTTGATGATTACATACTTACTTACACCTGTTACTCCTAATGGAGCATAAGCCACTGACCGGCATTCTCCAACCCACTCTGTCCTGGTCCTTCTTTTCTAGTTCCATTCAATTCTTGTTCATTTTACTCATGTCTATCTCCATTTCGCGGCGTATTGTGTTCTTTGGTCTTCCTCTTTTCCTTTGGCCTTGAGGATTCCATGTGAGGGCTTGTCTTGTGATGCAGTTGGGTGCTTTCCTCAATGTGTGTTCTATCCACTTCGAGCGCTTGTTCCTGATTTCTTCCTCCACTGGGATTTGGTTTGTTTTCTCCCACAGTAAGTTGTTGCTAATAATGTCCGGTCAACGGATCCGAAGTATTTTGCGTAGACAACTGTTAATAAACACCTGTATTTTCTGGATGATGGCTTTCGTAGTTCACCAAGTTTCCGCCCCATACAGTAGAACCGCCTTGACATTTGTATTAAAAATCCTGACCTTGATGTTGGTTGACAGTTGTTTTGAGTTCCAAATGTTCTTCAATTTTAAATATGCTGCTCGTGTTTTTCCGATCAGGCGCCTTCACATCTGCATCAGATCCACCGTGTTCATCAATGATGCTGCCCAAATATGTAGAAGTTTTTACATCTTCCAAATCTTCTCCGTCATTTGTGATTGGATTTGATTTGATTGGTTTAATAATACTATGCAGAATAACAATAAAAGTTCTATAATTTAACCATAGAACACAACGCTTTATAAAGAAGTGTACAGAAACGTTTAATTTGTACCGAACCTACAATATTTTATCTTTCCAATTTGATTATACTACTATTTTTGTTTTAGATTTTAAAGTTAAATGTTATCAATGAAACAAATGTTTATTTTAATAATTTGGAACGTTTTAAAAATCGTTGGAATCAATTTAAACCAGGCAAAAATGTATTAGATTCTAATAATAATGAATTATGTCTATCTGCTGTAACAATGATCAAAGAATATGAAACTGAATTTCGTGAATTTGAATTGATACGTCAAAAGTTAATGTAAATGAAAAAATAACGTTTACACTTTAATTTGTAATTAGTTTAAATTTTATTCATTGGATTTCGATCAGCTTTAGTTAGTAAATGTACATCCTGTGAGAATTTTCTTGATATGAAAGTCATGTACATTCGGCTGACGAGTTTTAAGTGAGACGAAATGCACTTTATGAATCTCACCATTTTCTACATCTCATTTTTTTCATAGTAATTTCGTTAGTTTTTAACGTCGTCTCTTCAGCATATTTAAAATGTAGCTCAGTGTGGAATCTAGGGTATTGATTTTGTCTTACTCAGAGCCTATCAGCTGAATGTATGTGCATTCAAGTCTTGATGTCCACACTCGGACTCATGTTTAAAAATTAAACAATTAAACGAAGGTTCACTTTACACTAGGCTGCCGAACAAATATAGACACCAACTTCGTCAACGGGTATGATATCTATCCTAAATTATAAATATCCGTAGTTTTCTGTTTACGATATCCAAGACTGATTTACATTGTTCACTGTTGGTATATGTTCTTCTTTAACAAATATCTCTTTTTATTAGCTACAGTTGCCAGTTTATCAAATTTAACTCCTCTGTCGATTATATTGAATGACATAATCACGAATAACTGCCAGTTATCATGAAATATACACATAGAGCTATGTATCAACTGTCAGCAATAACTTGTACTAAAAATAATGTTCTAAAAGTAACTGGCTTACCACAAGAATTAAAGGCACGAATTTCGTACTCTAATGAGATTGTGAGAAAGCATTGTTAACTGGCACTAAACTAAGATTTTGCAACTGATATATTTTCATGATGAAGATTAACCCTCAAAATTATTCATGTACATATATTTGAGTAGACATTCATTTGAGAGAATGAAAAACAAGTAGATGTAATTGTTCATACATAAGTTGAGAGCTCTTTATGAAACCTAAAAGACCTGGACTAAATCCTCCTTAGGGTTGTAGATGCATACTTATGTGGAGTTCCATACTAGAACGCAATAGCCATCCAATACTTCTTGGTTTCCAATGGTCATCTTTGCTAAGATTAGTTCTTAATGTAAACAGCAAATTTAGTCTTGAATTTTGTTTGTTTACCAAACTTTTGACTATCCTTCTTATCATATATGTTCATTTTATATTGGTTTAATGTATTGTTTCACTCTTTTCCTATACAGACGTGATTATGAGTATTTTGATATGCCTAAACCAGAATTTTCATTGGTTACTGAATTAGCCAATGATTTAAATGAATATTCACTTATGTGGTTAGAATATGATAATTTTTCTAAGGAACTTCAAAACTATGCCAAAGAAGATTGGATATCATTTAAGTGAGTTAATTGGATATTGAACAAAACTTCATAGTTCATCTGATATTGTTTGTTTGAATCTTCCTATTGATGTTTAAGATTGAGATTGACCAGTCAATTGATCCATCTCTGCTTATGGTACTGTATAGTTACCTTTTTAAAAAAAATTCGTTCTTCCAGCACAATAAATACATCGAATATAAAAATCAGTTCAATTTACTACTAACCAGAAGTAAGTAATATCAAAGATGTTAAATTTCACAAATAACTCCAACAATCACAATGTAAGAGTATAAACGGGAAAAAGAACTTACGAATTATTATGATGGATTTTGTTGCGCATTTACAGAACATGGATAAAATTATTGTTTGAGTTATCAGGTGAAATTTTTACAGGTCAGAATCTGATAGTATGATAACTGCTCATTTCTCAGTCAGTCAGTCAGTAACACAGTAAAACTTCTTACGTACGTAAGTACATCAGTTCAAGTTGCAATACCACATTAGCACAATGATACAATTGTCGATTCAAATCCCATAGTGGTAGATGTAGTAAAAGTATAAGCAGTAATCGGAAAGATTAGAGTTTGAAGATGTTATTCAAGGAATATAATCCAGTGAAATAAATTTGGAAAGGGAAAAACACATGAAGAATTCAAAAGAGTGGATGCACCTGTGCCATTGCAAATGATTTTGAGTCATGTCATTCAAGGTCTCCAACCATTGGTTGCTATCGTCTCGCGGATACCAACCAGGTATGAAAATTAGAAGAAGGTTTAATATTATGTATTTTCTGTAAACAGAGAACACTTGTTTTGTAAAATGTAGCTTCCTTTATGAAATTCATAGACAAAGCATTTCAACCATGAATGAATTGACTTTGTTTATTTTGTGGCTAGGAGGAGGGTAAGTATTAGAACAGATAATTATTCCTCAAATGTTATAACTTACACACCTGATGACGGTAACAATAAATTATTTTAATCATTTCTCGTCAGAAACATGCTTCAACCAAGCTTTATATTAATATCTGCAAGAAGTGATTTAATAAATCTAGACGGCTTTTTTCAATGTTAATCATGTATATGTGTGTATATTATTTCAAATTTCCGATAATGTAAGTGATCACCGGTTGTTAGTAATATTATGTCCGAACAAAGAATAGGTGAATAGTAACCGCTAGGATCTCTTTATGGACTATTAGTAATATACATATTCTTACTGTATAACTATTAAGTAACTATATCATATGTATATTCATACTCCTTTTATTTTGATCTTTTATTTGACATTTTGACTATTATTATACGATTTACTATTCTTAAGATATTTACAGTTTATTATTTACAGTCTCTCACACTCACAGCGCTATTATTTTCTATTTTATAGTACGATGATGTCTGGTTTGTTTGTATACAAATATAGTATGTCTGAAATATATGATTCGTATCTCGGAGGCTCGTATTAGTATTCTGGACTAAGCCGGCTGGGTTAGGAGAGAAGCGACTATTTTTGAGGACCAATAAGAACTCTAGGCTGCTCTTATAGTTTTATGCGTCATTAGTCTGGTTGTTTTACTTATTTATTTATTTAAACACAAACATTGGTACAAGGAGGCACCAAATAGATATGCGCCACATAAATCATTCGATTTGTGTGACGGCTGGGATATTGTCCGAGTTCCCAGACCGAAGCAGGTGGTTTTCTTGAGGAGCCACAACCGGCGCCTTAGACCTAAAGTTCTGACCCACAAGGCAGTAGAGCAACGTCAGCAGTTGCACTCCCATGGTAGCCGGTCACCACCAACAGGTTCATACACCACTTGTTCGTTCAGAATACTGGAGCCCATGTGAACCATTGGTTTGGAATCAGGGTTTTCCAATTCCTCTATGTGAACTCTGAGTCCACTAACCCAGTTAAACGTCAGGATATTTGCTTTTCGTTCAATGTATATCTCAAACAACACCCTCGCCACGAAAAGGCAATGAGTACGACTTCCCTGATAGTGGCTGTATGCACGTGGCCATGTGGGAGCATTTGGAGAGGGAGAGCTGACTCTCCCCACTCTAGGCCGTATCAGGCCATTTGGGGGCCTGGTCGTATAAGTCGGTGTCTCTAATTAGTGGTCGTATCACGTGATATAATTAATCCGACATAAGGACATAACAAGTAACTCATGTTATATTACTTGGTCCATTCGTCAAACAGATATAGCTTATGAATAAGTGTCAAGAGCCACGAAACCTAAGTTGACAAGTGACTACTTAACTGAAATATTTATATTAACTATAAAACTGCAAATAAATCACTTTAGTTATTAGAAATTTCTGTTCAATTACAATTCCATTTATTATGTCTATGAGACTTCAGGTTTATCTTTGGCGTATTTTTACCAATAAATGTTATATAAGAATGTTGAAAAATTCAGTAAAGCAAAAATTCTAGTTCTTGGATTATAGTATTGTGGTGTGTGCTACTTATATTCACACAAGTAGTATATGATGTTAGTCGTGGACAGAAGTTCTGGCAGTAGAGAGACAAAAGGATCGAACAGTAAAGAATGGAAATAGAATGCAATTTGTATGAAGATGCATGAACAATGAAGTCTGAGTCATTTTGAGACAATTGATGGGCATTTTGCAAATTAAGCATTTACTTTATGATTGTCAGATTTTATTAACAGGTCCTGTAATTATGTAACAGATATATTCAATTGTCCTCACTGGTGTTCTTGTTCACTAAAGTACCATTTAAGAGATTAACTAATATTCGTAAAACATGAGAGGGATTGAATTTTTAAACACTTAGATCAATACTTAAAGACCTGAATTTGAATCCCCAACAACATAATGAATGTAAATTAAAGAATGAAATAACCTCGATTAATTTTTTCAGGTTTACAATAATTAAACTGAATACAACCATTGAGACATTAAATAAGAAAAATTGGTTCAGCCAAAAGTTTCCTTTTCAGCGAATTACATCATCAAAGTTGTACAATCATAAATAAATATGTAGTGAAAGTAGACTCGGTGAGGCAAACTATATTATCATTTAGTGCAAAATTACAGTACATCTTAATAAATTATGAAAATCATACATTATTTACTTCATTTGTACATCTTCCATTAGTTGTCATTTACACTACTTGATTCTTCCAATTCTGTTTTTATTCTGATTTCTTTCTGTCTCCATGTCGATTCTTTTCAGTTCAATCTTAATCCTCTTTCGACAGGCATTCCATTTCTAAATGGTGTTACATACCACTTATATACGTTAATATTAGTAGCATACACAACATATATACTTATTATGCAGGATGGTAATAATTACAATAATAGTGATAATAAAATTTTGTTAAACATGGTGACAATGAGATACAATCAACAAGGGTATTAAAACATTCATTTTTGTATTGTTTGTTTAAATCTTCCTATTGCACAAGCTGGTGGCTATCTGGATTCAGTAGCTAAGTGGATAACGCAATAGCGTTTGAAACAAACGGTATATGGTTCGAGTTCTTAAGTAACCATCAACTCGGATGCAGGCACATCCAGCTGACGAGTCCCAAATGGGATGAAACGCGCGTCCTGGATTCCACTGCTAGCCACCATTCATTTTTACTTACGTATTTGGATATTATTTTTTCATCAGGGGAACTAATAATAGCTTTATTGTTAGAACTTCGAATACTCATCATAAAAATGGATGAGGAAATTATAATTGTGAAAGGATGGCTCAGCATGATAAGATAAAATGTTAAAATTGAGATGAAATGTAATCAGAAAGATCATAGAAACAGAAATAAACCAGTTGGGGGTAGAAGTTCCATGGAAATGGAAGAGGAAGCAGATGGTTATAAAGGAACGCCATAGTGGGAGAAGGCGTTGCACCAATTTCTTTTGGACACATAATTCTGGTTTATACAAATGTATAGTTTTTGCTACTGCAATGTTGAGAAGATGCATTATAACTGCCTTTGGTAGCCTTCTACTTACCTCGTAAATGACTTTGAATGCGGAGTCCGCTTTGTTCCAGTGAGCTGTGTTCTCAATGTGTTTGATTATTGGGATTTTCATTGTGCTGTTTCCTCCTGTTTATAGCCAAGCTGGGTAATGTTCTTGAATTCTTTCGAATAAAGTACACATTGAATGACCTATATACCTGGATCCACATGAACGGGTTAATAACTGCCATTCAGCAATAAATTTCACTCTTAAAGTTAAAGGCACACAGAATATTCACTTTCTCGATATCGAAATGACAAGGAGACACGACAGAACTCTAAGAAGATTAATCTGCAACTTTAATTGTTTAATATATATTTTTAACTGCTGCGTTATTTTGGCATTTCCAAACTGTTACTTAACGAATTATATTGTAAATGTGTTCACTATTAAGAAGAACCTGTCACATAGAAACTCCACTAGTATGTACAAGTATAACTTACTTACTAAATATCTTTTATAAGTATCAGTATCATATGTTTAGATTGGATTATTCACAGTTGTGTTCAGTATATGTTTTTCTTTCTTCTTATAATATTAGTTAATGGATATTTTGTTTTCTTCTTTCTTTATCAAGATCACGTTATTATGTATTTGAAGAATTTCTAACAGAATGGTCTAATAAACTTCGTTCTTTACAACCAACTCCAATGACTGTTCGATTACAAAAAGAAATTGGTGGATTTATGGTAAAATTTACTAGAATTGATAATAATCCCATATTTGATTATTTAATCTTTTAATTCAGATATTGAAATCTATGGGTTCACCCTATTATATTCTGAAAACAAATTATAAAATATACATCAGTATATCGTTAAGATTACGTTGATACAAAAGCAGAGATAACATTTAAAGCAGATAGAGGTATGACATTTTAGGAGATATGATATGCCCTGGTATGGCCGAAAGTGGGGAGAGTCAGCTCCCCCTCTCCAAATGCTCTCACATGCCCACGTGCACACGACCACTGCAAGGGAAGTCCTACTCACTGCCTTCTCGTGGCTGGAGCGTTGTTTACGGAATTGAGGGAACGGAAAGCGAATGTCCGACGGTTTACTCTGGGGGAGCCCTGATTCCAAACCAACGGTTCACATGGGTTCCAGTATCCTGAAGGAACAAATGGCGTATGAACCCATTGTTGATCACTGGCTCCCATGGGACTGCATCTGCTGACGTTGCTCCACTGCCTTGTGGATCAGAACTTTAGGTCTAAGGCGCCGTTTGTGGCTCCCTAAGAAAATCATCTGCTTAGGTCTAAGCACCCGGGTAGTTTCATAGCCTACCGACAAATCAAGTGACTTGTGTGGCGCATATGTATTCGGTGCTCCTTTGTTCCAATATTTATGTGTTCAAATAAATAAGTGAATAAATATTTTGTCTGCCATTTTGTGATTGAGCTTACCACTAATGAAATGCAAAATGTGCGAGTCAATGCAGAATCAATATTGTGGGGGTTTATGTAGATTGTAAAATCTTTTTGTGATTACAGACAAACCTAAGTAAGATTTATAAACTATTAGATGCCAGAGTGATGCTCTAAAAATGGATCTTTTGCTATGAGAGGTCCCAAGTTTGATTTCCATAGGAGTCATGGGTACACACAAGTGACTAGGACGAAAGAGCTGTGAAGTATTTCTTGGTTTTCAATAGTTCTTTAGCTTGAGTTTGTTGATCTAAATAAAATTTATAGTTATTGGTGATTATCATAGAATACAGTAATTCTTGATATAATATAATCCATAGTAGTCATAAATCAAGTAAACAGAATGTCATTAAAAATCAATATATAATAAACGAAGTCAGATACGCCAAGAAAGTTTCATAGCTGCAACGATATATTCTTTATAGAAGGATAAATATTACATCTTTTCCATGGAAGGTATATTAAACAGTTTATTAACTAGAGTTCATCTCAATATTTCACACACTTTAGTGGTTAGTATTAAACCGTAGTCATTGTTACTAATCGGAGCTGTAGTAAGACGAGAGATTTTATAATACGTTTAATTCCTGGAAGGTAATTGAGTCTACAAAAATAATATAAACATGGATAATGTTGTTCATCAACGATATTGCATCATACTTAGACATAAACGTGGTTTTCAGAAACTGAAACTGAAGAATAGCCCAACATTTTCAGGATAGACAGTTGGAATAGTCGAACTGTCAAGTTAAGAAATAAACTTCTTAATATTGAACGATTACAGCTCAGTTACAAGGTTTATGTTAGCATCTAGAACTAGAAAAGTTCAGCACAACGTAGAGAACATTGAGTAAAATGTCACTGTGATAAGTTCCCCTTTATGTATGATCTTAATTTTTACTTAACAAATGGATTTGTACAGATGATATTTTTAAATAATCTGCTAATCTGTGTACATCATTACAATTTAAGAAGTGGATAACGTAATTATTGTGAAGTTTATGATTAACCATGAATAACATAAGACGTATATGTCTATATATAATGTGATTTTCATAATTATTTGACATTAGTTGGTTAGCTACTGAATGTTATGGAATATTAAACATAGATTTTGCCATGATTCAAGACCTATCTGCATTGTATATACTTAAGACCCTCATAAATATCTAACTCAGTTGATTTATTAGTGATAATTAATTTTAAAATGGACAAGAATCATCACAGAACTAAACACTTTGTTATAGCCCAAAGCCGCCAATCATAAGCAGCGAATTATCGATCGGATCAAGGACGCGTAAAACATGTGTGAGCAGTCCAGAGTACTTATCAGTCCTGCTTACTGCCTAGCCCAGCCAGTAAAGTTCAGAACACCAGTCTCAGCCTCTGAGATAAGAATCATGTATTTCAAACATACTGGGTTTATATACAAACCAAACAAACCACATGGTACCACCAAATAGAAAATAACATTTGTACAAAATTTGGCCAGATGAAGCTGTGAATATGGAAGGCAGTGACAAATAGACAGGGCATAATTCAAGAATGGTAAAACGTATAATAATGGTTCATAGGTCGAAATAAAGCTTATAATAAGAGAGACATGAATATGAACAGTTTAGTTATTTAACAATTATACGATAAAAATATTCGCACAGCATTGGTCCATAAAAGGATACCAAAGTTACCATTCATTATGTTTATCGGGACCTAACATACCTATACATCACTCTTCTTCAGAAATAAAGTAATCATTTACACGTGAAAATAATTAAATAACGAATTCAGCTTGTGAAGCACTTTTGGCACTTTTCCCAGTTCTTTTTCTTCTTGATAAGCGTTTGTTTTTTTTTTAGTGTAAATTGTGCTCAAATCTTGATTTTTCTCTATAATATTTTATTTTACTATAGGATCTTATACCTGTATTGAAATGGTTAAAAGGTGATCATCTAACTAGAGATCATTGGTTTGAATTATTTCGTTTAATTGGATTATCGAAAGAATTAAAATTAGAAAATTTATTATTTGGTGATTTTTTTCCAATTATATCTAATATAATTAGTCAATCTGATAAGCTAAAATCTCTTTCACAACGTGCACAAGCTGAAATTGTTGTTAGAGAAGCTTTACAAGAATTAGATTTATGGGGTTCTGGTACTACATTCACACTAACTGAATATATAGATAGTTCTGGACAAATTGTGTACTTGGTAAAAGATTGGAAAGAAATTGTTAGTCAGGTTAGTTTAAAGAACATACATACTTAAATGCTTATTGTACATTTAATCTAATATGTAACTGTATGTGATAGTGGTACATAACATTCATCAATAGAATTTAGGTTCCTTTTTTCACTGTTTAATATAATCTAATGTAATTCAATAACAAACAATATATTTCTCTTACTGCTATGTTTGAGTTCACCTAATCTGTGAATGGAACGAACACTCTGTGACACACTGACCAATAAGCTAGCTATTATGACGCATCTTAGCTCAGCGAACTAGAGAGAAGTTCATTTTTGGAAGAGGGAAATATATTCCACAAGCAGCCAGAACCACGAACAACCACGACAAATCTAGTCGAAGATGCACTCATTTATATATTGATTCATGCACCCATTTTTGATTTATAATTAGGAGGAAAACACATATATGAAAAATACTTACAGTTGAAACAAATCATATGCTGAGCATAGTACATGTCAATTGAATACAAGAATATCGTATGTTATACAGAATAAAATGTCATAAAGGAAAACAAAACCGAATACTACACTTAATAATCATAACACTGAATTAAAACGGAAGTAATGTTGAACCAAAGATCATAATGAGTAAATCAATCTAACTTTGACTTTTCTTCCGGTCATATCAGAATTACAAAAATAAGGCATTTACCAAATGAGTTTTGGAGGCTTAACATCCTCAACACTTTATCTTGAACTATACAGTTTATGTGATACTCCCCGGCCTCATATATAGAAGTACTGCTTTTTTCTTCCATTATCCAAGACTTTTATAAGTATAATGTATCTAATCACTGAGTTAGTAGGTACAGAAAGTCGGATTTCACATTGAATGATCAGTTAGTAGTGGCCAGTATCAAATTTTGTCTAGTCCTTAATGCTGTTTAACCAGAGTCAGTGATGTAAATTTAAAAGAAAAATATCTAATTACTTTCTTCACTTTAATAAGAAAATATTAATGACAGATGTAAAACCAGTGGATATCTCATAACACCAGTTTTTATGACATTTGTATTACAATTATCATTAATAGTAATAATAATATCATGAAATTAAACTTGTTATTTAATGTGCTGTTCACATCAAGGTTGGTGATAATCTGGCTTTATTGGCTTCATTACAAGATTCTCCATATATTGATAATTTTTTGGATAGATCCAATGCTTGGGTACAGCGTTTAACTGACTTGGATTATTGTTTGAATAGATTTCAATTAGTACAACGTAAATGGGTTTACTTAGAACCAATTATGGGCCGTGGTGCATTGCCAAAAGAAACTGCACGATATGCACAAATCGATGAAGAATTTCGTAAACTAATTGGTTATTTGAAAGTAGATAATCGTGTTATTAGTTTAGTTAATGGTATGAAAGGTAAAGCTTTGAAGGATACATTAAATAATTTACAGGTATGTTACAATACTTTGTTAAATACATCAATCTTTCTGGCTTATTTATTTTGAATTTACTATCAAAAATACAGTATAATGTAATAATGAACTTTTTGGATTTAAGGACTTGTTGTGGGTAGAGTACAATAGTACTGGAGAATAACATCTAAGCGTTAGCCAGAATCTGCAAATTACTCTGAATTCTTAAGGAAACGTATTTGAGTTAGATGCAGAAACGACATAGAATCTTGCTCAATGTGTACTGATCAAGATTGCTTTGCATTTTTTTACCATTAGTATAGTGATTGAAAATTAGGAGGAAGAGGGAAACTAAGATGTGAAATTGTCGATATTCTCTAAAAGCTATACAAAACTGTCAAACAAGACCAGAGATATGTAATATTTAGAATAATATTATGTTCCTGATTCAGGTTAAAATGAAAATTGAGTGTATCTGAACTAATAAAATTAACTTTTGATCTATATCAATTGTCTGAATTGTAAAAATAATAAAGATTGGTTGAGTAACATGTGAACTAAAAACGAATGAAGTGTAACTTATTATGAGAACAGAAATACACATAAATCAGTTTGAGGTAAGTGTAGAGTAGAATAGATAAGAGTTGATTCACACAATTGTTCATAATGACCATAGTCGGGAAAATTGTTGAAAAAGTTTTCTCACTATATATAGTATGTGATGTTTTAATCACACTATTGTCAGTACATGATAACGTTTTCAACACAGTGTTGATGAACCAGATGAAAAATTGAGTGTACAACCATATCCGAAATCAACAGGCTGGATTCCGTAAGGATCGGTTGTGCACACACCAAATTGCGACACTAAGAATAATTGTTGAGCAATCGATTGGATAAAACTTGTCACTACACATCAACTTCATTGACTATGAGAAGGCGTTTGACAGTGTGGATATGAGAACTTGGTGGAACTCTCTTCCAGAGTATGGTGTGCCTCAGAAGATCCTCATCATCATCATCCGGAATTCATACGATGGGATACACTACAAAGTCGTGCACTTAGGACTGCTGACAGACTCATTGCTAGTGAGGACGGAAGTCAGACAAAACTGCCTGTTCTCTCCTTGCTATTTCTTCTCTTGATTGACTGGATTATGAAGACCTCAACATCTGAGAACTACTACAACCATCATCAAAAAGTACAAGTACTTATAAATAATTGTCTACACAAGATACTCAACATCCATTGGCCGGAAACTATCAGCAACAGTCTATTATGGAAGAGAACCAACTTCCAGCTGAAGATAAACTTAGAAAAATGCGATGGAAATGGACAGGAAATATATCACAGAAATCACCAAACTGCATCACAAAGCAAGCCATAACTTTGAATCCTGAAAGGAAGTGGAAAAGCGGAAGATCAAAGAACACATAACGTCGGGAAATAAAGGCAGGTATGAAAAGTATGAATAACAACTGGAAAGAGCTGGAAAGGATTGCTAAGGATAGGGTTGAGTGGAGAGTGTTAGCGGGCGGCCTATGCTCCTCCACGGAGAGTAACAGGCGTAAGTAAGTAAGTAGGTATGTGATGTTTTGTGTGGGTGATAAAAAATTCAACAATCCAAAAAAACTAAGACTTATTTGTTTATAGCAGAGGTCTATTACCGCTGGCTAAGCACATTATTCCAGTTTTGAAATGACTATTAACATATTTCTCTAATATAATGTTCTGTCGATCAAATCAATTATCCCAAATAATAATTATATCGGTCTCTTGACTAGCCTCAACACTCCTAATATTTTGTTTCTTGAAACAAATGAAAAGAAAACAAACGAAAATAGAGCTAACTTCCACGTAAGCTTATTATAAACGATACCGGAAGTAATTGCTATTCCATATTATACCCAAATATCTAAAATAAATAAAGATTCAATATTGATTTCATTCAATATAAAAATTATAATCTAGTTTTTCTTCTATGAATTTCATTTCTTATTCATATTACCATAAATTTTATATTTTAAGGAACAATTAACTCGTTGTCAACGTGCATTAAATGAATATTTAGAAGAAAAACGTAGTAGATTTCCACGTTTTTATTTTCTTGGTGATGATGATTTATTAGAAATATTAGGTCAATCAACTAATCCAATTATTATACAAACACATTTAAAGAAATTATTTCAAGGAATACATTCAGTGCAATTCAAAAACCATCATCATCCCATCAACAACAACAACAACAACGAGATCATAATCAAAATACTGAAGATTTAAAAATGGATCCAAATAAATTATCAACAAATATTATGGCAATATGTTCATCTGAAGGTGAAATTATCCAATTACAAAAATCAGTTCAATTAACCAATGAAATTGAAATTTGCCTTGAAAAATTAACCAATCAAATGAAAGTAACATTAAATGAATTATTAGTTCAATGTTTCAATGATAAATATTCAATGGAAAATCAACATCATCAATATAACTTTAATTCAAATAAATATCCTGAACAAATTTTAATATTATCAGAAGCAATTCATTTTTGTAAAAATGTTGAAAATGCATTAAATTGTGGTGAATTATATCGACTTAAAAAGGATTTACAGGTATGTTATCTGATGTTATCGTATAGTTCATAGTTAAGACATGAACACTACATTCAACTCATAAGTCTTACGTAGAAAACATCTCGAGTACTGGATACTATTGTAGTGAACAAGAACACCAGTGGGGACAATCGAATTATATTTAGCACAAGATTACAGAGTTACTTGGTAAAATAGAAAAAACATACTATAATACTTAACTTGCAAAATGTTCAATAATTGTCTCAAACTTCGTTGTTCTTGAATCTCCATACTAATTGCTCTCTATTCCCGCTCTTCCTTTTTTGATCTTCCCCACATTCTGCTGCCAGACATTACATTCATGACTCGCTTCATATACTACTTATATCAATATAAGTAGCACGCACCACACTATTGCTAGTTAATGTTCAAAAATGTGATTAAATACTCCATATTACTTACTAACTTCCTTATGCCTGTTACCTGTCCTTGAGGAGCATAAGTTTTGCACTAGCATTCTCCATCAAAAACTTTGTCCTGGGAAATCCGTTCCGGTTGTTCCCAGTTTTTATTCATCCTTTCAATTTCTGCTTCCAATTCTTGACAATGTTATTTGGTCTTCCTTTTTATTGTTTCCCCTCAAGGTTCCAAGTTAGAGCTTGTCTCGTGATGCAGTTTTATGATTTTCTCAATTTATGTCCTATCCAATTTTAAAGTCTTTTACTTATTTCCTATTCAGATGGAAGCTGGTATACTCATTGACACAGTAGATTGTCGCTGATGGTTTCCGGCCAATGGACATTGAGTTTCTTGCGTAAACAACTGATAATAAATACTTGTACCTTCTTGATAATGGTTCCAGTAGTTTTCGAATTTTTAGCTCCATATAGTGAAACTATCTTGACGTTCGTATTGAAGATTCTGATTTTGATATTGGTTGACAGTTGTTTTGAGTTCCATATGTTCTTCAGTCGTAGAAATGCGGTCCTTGCTTTGCCAATCCTCGCGTTTACGTCCGCATATGATCATCCATGTTCATCAATGGTACTGTCCAGGTACGTGAAAGATTCCACCTCTTCCAGAGTTTCTCTATCAAGTGTGACTGAGTCAGTGTTCTCTGTGTTGTATTCGAAGATTTCTCTTTTTCCTTTGTGTGAGTGTTGAGGCTTATTGATGCAGAGGCTGCTGCTATACTAGTTGTCTTCATCTGCATTTGTTCGTGTATATGGCATACGAGGATTAGGCCATCTGCGAAGACCAAATATTCTAATTGGTTCTGAGCTGCCCATTGGATTTCGTGTTTTTCCTCAGGTGTTGAGGTCTTCATAATCCAGTCGAACACCAGAAGAAATAGCAAGGAGAGAGTAGACAGCCTTGTCTGACTTCCGTCCTCACTAGCAATGAGTCTGTCAGCAGTCCTACGTGAACGACTTTGCAGTGTATCCCATCATATGAATTCCGGATAGTGTTGAAGATCTTCTCAGGCACACCATAGTGTCAAAGGAATTTTCAAAATTTTCTCATATCCACACTGTCAAACGTCTTCTTATAGTCAATTAAGTTGATGTGTAGTGACAAGTTTTATCCAATTGATTGCTCAACAATTATCCTTAGTGTCACGATTCGGTCTGTGCACAACCGATCCTTACGGAATCCATCCTGTTGATCTGGAAGATGGGTATCCACTCAATTTTTCATCCGGTTCATCAACACTCTGTTGAAAACGTTATCTGGTACTGATAGTAGTGTGATGCCTCTTTAGTTCTCACATTTGCTCAGATCTCCTTTGTTTAGTATCTCTGTGAGGTATCCTTCTTTCCAGTCTGTCAACACTTGTTCTCCCTCCCAAATCTTTCTGAATAAGACGTGGAACATGTTTGTGAATACTTTTTTGTCTGACTTCAGCCGGTATATTTTCAGGTCCTGCTGCCTTCTCATGCTTGATTTGTCTGATGGTCATCTTGATTTCTTCAGTCTTTGGTGGAGTGATATCTATAAGAAGGTCTATGTGTGCTGCTTCGATGTCCGGATGATTTAATGGAGCTGGCCTACTCAACAGTTCCTCGAAGTATTCTACCCATCTGTTCCTCTGCTCTTGGATCTCAGTGATTAGCTAGCCCTCTTTGTCCTTGTCCGGTCTCTCTGCTTGTCAGCTCTAAGTCTCCTCTTCACTTACTTGTTTGCTTCAGTGTATTCAGCTTGTGTCTTGACCTTCTCTGTTCTCGCTTGGCTGTTATTAATTGTTGTCTTCTTGTTCTTCATTTCTTGAATCTTGTCCAGAGTTTCGATAGAGATCCATTCCTTATGATGATGCTCCTCGCTACTCAGAACCTCCTGATACGTTGAAGTTAGTGCTTCTTTGATCCCTTTCCACTTGCCCTTCATAGTAGTTTCTTCTTTTTTCAGTAGATCCCGTAGGGCTTCAACCTGTTGTTGAGAATTACCTTGAATTCGTTGAGGCTTCATTTAACCTTTGTAATACTGTTTCCTCAGTTGTCCATTGCTTCTCTATCTTTAGTTTTATCGCGGCCACAACCATGTGGTGATCTGAATGAAGCTAACGTCAGTTCCTCTCTTGGTTTCCAACTCTTCCATTGACTTTATGAATTTTTCATTGATGGAAATATGATCAATCTGGTTCTCTGTAATATGATTCGGTGAGACCTATGTAGCTTTGTGTATGTGTTTGTGGGGGAATTCAGTTCCGCCCTTTTGTTGAATGTATGAATCCATGTTGTCCGATAATATCTTCATATCCAGTGTTGTCCATTCCGACTTTGGCATTTAAGTCTCTCATGAGGATTGTCAAGTCCTTTCCTCGACACTTCGTTATGATCGATTGCAGCCTCTCGTAAAACTGATCTTTATGGTTCTCATCGCTATCAATCGTTGGTGTATAACATTAGATAACACTCTTTGTGATCCCCTCCTTTATTTTGAAGAGTGCTTTGATGGTCCTGGATCCATAAGATTCTTATACTACAAGTGATTTTCGTGCTTCTTTGGACCGCAGCAGTGAAAATCCCTGAGTGTCGGGGCATTTTCTCCTTCATGATCACAATGCAGCAGCACCTTTCTCAAAGCTAGCCTCTCTTGTCTAGCTTGTGTCCAATGGGATTCTATAATTTCGAGCTCAGCAAATTAGTTTACCCTCTTTTCCACAGCTATTTGATTGATTTTTCCGGTCTCACACATTGTCTGGTCATTCCATGTACCTATATTAATTTCCACTCTGGTTGGTCAAAAGGGCGTCGGACTCGTAACTTTCAACGAATTTTGGCATTCACCATGAGGCGTCATAATTTTTCTGAATGAAGATCCTTAAACTTCCAGGGCAGGGTTTATATAGTTTAGATTGTTTATTCTGGTTGACGTGTTTTTGGCAAGGTTGTTTTCTACGGGATGAGGTTACCGACCCAGTGCGCAACCCTCCTACTTTGCTCGGGCTTGAGACCAGAAGTCACCCTAGAAGTACTAGAGACTAAGCCTTTAAGATAGTTTCTGTTACGTCCTTCATCTGTCTATCCGCTTTTGGTGCTGAGGCTAACTTGTCTAATCTACATTAAGACCTTGATGTGATAGGCTGACCGGCTTAACCTTGAGGCTAGTACGCGTGAGTTCGAAGTGGGGGTAGAGAGAAGAAAACTATTCTATCAACCGATTAGCTAACAAGCACGCGAGTGAGAGAAAACAAGACAACTGGAGCACTGCTCAATCTATTCCCGATTTCAGATTGATGTAAAAAGGTACATGAATAAATAGATGACTAACTCGACCACAACGTACAATAATTTGGAAAATACAATTATGTCCAAAACTGGGGATTAGCGTAGAAAATAGAGTACAAAATAATACGTTTAAATTACAATAGCTTTGGAACAAAAAGGGTTATGGCAGTGAATCATACACTAAACGAAAGCTCATGTTCTGTAGAATAGACTAGGGACAAAAATAAATGTTAATGTTTTACAAGCTTTGAATTAACTGAAATAACGTCCCGAAAAATAGCTTCCGTAGATTGTCAAGGCTTCTTGTTTCTCTGTTCACATCAGTTTTTTACCGGCATCCACCAGTAAAAGTATTATTAAAAATGACATGACTTTAGATATCTATATCATCACAATTATCGACCTAGCAGTAATCTAACCAATGTTATCACTCCTAATGAAGGTAAAACCGTTCAAGTCATTTGTCGAAGATATAACCTGCAAACCATTTCAAATCATACATATTCACCATATTTAAAACCTAAATTTGTGAGGACAAGCTACAAACCATGAAGTATACCTTCAAACACAGAATACTGAGTATTTGACTACGTCAGTTTCCTAATTTTATTAAGAAGTAACAAGTAGGACCTACGGTTCACTTCCACGATATATAAATTATCAGGTCTATAACAGTTACAATACTTATATTTGTCTAGTTAAGTTATTCTCTAAGTATTTTTGAATAAAAGTAACTTTAAAGCTATAACCTTTTATTACTTCGAAGTAGGAAAGTTATAACTTCAAAATCCATTCTCATGTGATCACTATTAGTACAAAATATCACCTTAGTTTACTAAGTTTACTTTATAATGTAGACCAGAAAGTACTGGATAGTTGTTTCTCCCTGGTATGGGACTCCTCAAGAGTGCATAAGCATAGCACTAAAAAGAATCAAACCCAGGATCCCTAGGAACCATGACTAACTCTTGATCTTTAGATCAGTGAGCAGCCATTCAATGATTTACGTGTCTAACTTTATTGATTTCACGATATTACTGAATTATCATTGATTACATGTTGTGATATTTGTCTTATAAGCGACATGGTTGTTTTGAAATCAGAAATTACCGTCTGTAAAATTCCTGTTAGTATAAAGAAATCACGCCATTTTTATATGCTTATGATTAAACCCGGGAATTTCTAATCAGATATTCATCTTTTTTTTAAATAAAATTACTTCTTTTGATTTTCTACATAAATTAGTCTCAATTAGCTATGTATACTTCAGCTAAACAACAAAAGAATATGAAAACAAATGAACATTGTACAAATTCACAAGAATCAAATGCCCAGTATTCAACTCATTCACGTTTACAATCTTGTAAATTAAGCTCATTAATATTAGATAAAATACATTCAATTGATATAATTGATCAATTGATTCGAAATGGTGCAGTTAGCCCAAAAGATTGGATATGGCAACGTCAATTACGATTTTATAATAATCAGAATCAGAATTCCGTGTATAACTATACAACTAAAATAAAAAATGATAATAATAATTCAATGAAAACATCTATATGTATGGCTGATGCAGAATTCTTATATACTTTTGAATATCAAGGCAATTCACCACGTCTAGTGCATACTCCATTAACTGATAAATGTTATTTAACTTTGACACAAGCTATGCGTATGGGTTTAGGTGGTAATCCTTATGGTCCAGCTGGTACTGGTAAAACAGAATCTGTGAAAGCTCTTGGTTCTATGATGGGTCGTCAGGTAAATTGAAAATAGTCTTCCGCTTAACATTTAAAATTGATTTGTATAGGAAATCTATTAATTTTTATAGAATACTTTCATGAAATGTCTCATGATTCACTTGGATGAGTCTGTTTTGAATGAGGTGGATGGATTTAAATTCTGACGAGCTTTTTCGATTAAAAGAAAAACTTGAAAACTATAACGAAAGACCAAACATTTTCCACTTATTCAAAAGATGCTCATTTTTTAGACTAATTATTAACATATAAAATTGTGTACATTCGTTTGCTAGTAACTTTCTATGAATTATTGTAAATAAGTAGCATTGCTAGAGTTTTCAGATTAGGGATGTCATATTCAGAAATTTGAGTTGGGATGTTATATTCACTTGTGGTTTAGCTCACAAAATATGTCTAATATTGTCATAAATATGATCAATTCTAGATTATTCTATTTGTTTAATTCTTAACCTTATAGATCTTACCACAGAGTACAGTGTAAGGTGACTTTTGGTCTTTTATTATGTTTCCTAATACCTCTCGTTGTAGGAAAGCATCATTTCTGAAGATACATGTAGTACTTATATTTCAACAATTTATTCTGGTTAGCATTTTTTTTAGCAAGGTTATTTTCTACGGGATGGGGATGCTGACCCCATGTCTAACCCCTCCTCCATTTACTTTGGCCTGGGACCGGCAGCAGCCCTGGAAGAACTGCAAACGGAGTTATATTTCAACAATAACTAATCAAATTCAATTCTGAATAATTATAAAAGGGAATATATAAACCTATACAGCTAACGATAAAACTATACCGAATTCGGAAGTATTAATTTGATAAATAATATTGATTTTATTCTCCATATTTATTCTAGGTTCTTGTTTTCAATTGTGATGAAGGTATTGATTTACGTTCTATGACGAGAATTTTTGTTGGAATAGTAAAATGTGGTGCTTGGGGTTGTTTCGATGAATTTAATCGATTAGAAGAATCTGTTCTATCTGCTATTTCAATGCAAATTCAGGTTACTACCTACCGGTTTTTTTATCAAATACATATTGACCTTTTTTTAATATCAACTTTTATGAACGCACTATATTACTAAACTATAAGTTGAAATAAAAAGCCTTAAGATAAGCTGCATGCAGATTAGTATTCTATATAAATCTACCCATAATTTTTGAGTAAAACTACCTAAGTTCATGATGTTAACCATTCTGACTCATTTCAAAATACTAAATTCCCCTATCCTTGGGTTTTACGATACAAATGTGCATAACTATAGCTTTCTGTACGATAAATGTAAACTGTAGAAAACGAATGGTTTTCAATGAATTTGAGAATATTTGTTGCTAATCATAACCATTAATATGAAATCCTCGATTAGTTACATTTTAACAGAAGCTTCTAATGACATAAACACGAAATCGATCTTCTTTAACTATAATTTTCAACAAACAAACTGAAGTCGATTTAGTGATTATTCAAAAATGGGAAGAACTAGACAACTGTCTAATCTTAGTTTTTAACTTCTTATTCACTAACAACCTTGGACACAGGACATTCAATGCTCACTGTATGATTGATACTTTTAGACCATCAGTCAAGATTAAATGATTCACATTTACGACCTCAGTCAATGAGTGATTTAATGAGATGATCATCCGTTGACATCGTTATTAATTGTATTACTTCTGATATTGTTGGACTATATTGAAGACGATTTCTTACTAGGATCTAAAACACCACTTTCTTGTATTCACTGACACATGATCATTGTTCAGATTGATGATAAGTTTTCAATTTTAATGTATAAATTGATCTTTTATATAGGCTACCTTGTGTTTATTCTTATTTAGAGACAATTTGTTTCTTTTCCAATCCTTATTATAGATTATTCAAGATGCATTGAAATGTGGCACACCACAAATCAATCTACTAGGTCGTACTACTAATGTTGACCCTAATTCTGGGTTATTCATCACATTAAATCCCATCGCTAAAGGATATGGCGGACGTCAAAAATTACCAGATAACTTGAAACAGTTATTTCGACCAGTTTCAATGACAAAACCAGATATTGATTTGATAGCTGAAATGATTTTATTTTCTGAAGGATTTTCCAATGCTCAAATATTAAGTCGTAAACTAGTGTCTGTTTTCTCATTAGCAAAGTAAGATTTTCTTTGAGATTTATTTCAAAATTATCTGTTAATTAGTAAAGATATCTAATTTATCGTTGTTAATATTCAGTCACTGTTACCGTACGTGAGTCTTGAGAGAATTACTTTTATGTAGTTTTACGTCACAAGCTTTTGCATTTTTAGTACGTGGTTGGCAGTGGAATCCAGATCTTATGACTAGAGTTCTATTTCGGACACATCAGTTGGATGTATCCGCATTCTAGTACTGACGTTTCCACTAAGATTTGAACCTAGTACATTTTGTTTTCAATCCCTAACTTGTTACTCACTAAGCTACTGGGTTCACATGGGAAATTTTATGCAAATGGTTAGTAATTGAGATTAATAGTAAAGATATGAAAGTACAGCTCAGTATTGACATAATGGATCATTAAAAATATCAGCCTCAAACAAAACATGTAAGGGGGGGGCACTTATGCTTTAATGTAAGTTTATACTAGTAAACATAAATTAAATAACAAATATACTATACTTCAGTATTGTCAAAATATGCGATCATTTAAATAATGTCAGGAACCTCATTAATTTATGTTTATAAGGCAAGTAATGATGTAATACCACTGTTTTAGACAGCTTCACTCTTAATAGACAAAATTTTGTAACAGAGTACTTAAACTGTGGAATAAACTAGTCGACAGTATATTCATGAAATGTAGGTGTTTTATTTTTAAAAAGTTTTTTTCTGTACTAAATACCTCCAGTTACTTTACATACTTCTTAAAGCAAGCCAAACTACTGTTAATCTTAGGGCATGTCATTGTCACATGAGAGCGTTATGATCATGTAGGAGATTGTATTTTAGAGTGCTGGTGGTTAATTTTCTTTTTTTTAGTGCTCTCAAGAATCGCATTTTAAACATTCAGTACACAATCCAGCTAATCTATGAAGATGGTTATCGTTGAGTGTTGAATGTTCAAATATACTAATCTGATAGTATAAATATTTGACTTCAAGTTTTTAGATTGGCTAATTTCTGTTGGATTTTGATAAGTCACGAGTAAAGTGATATGATAGGACAAAAAGGCAAAATTACATTTGGTTATTCATTATAGTTTTTGTTCAATATTACTTCCGTCCTTTTTAATTCAATGTAATGATTACTCACTGTAGTAGTTGTTTTGTTTGCCAGTATGATATTTTATTCGGTATAACATACGATATTCTTGTATTAAATCAACGTAGACTATGCTCAGCATGGCATGTAGCATGCGATTTGTTATAACTGTAAGGATTTTTTATATATGTGATCGGGATAGGCGTACAATCAATATATAAATGAGTGTATTTTCGACTATGGTTGTCGTCGTCGTCGTGTTTTAGGGTTAATAAATCTTCACTTGTATCAGTCATGATATTCTTACTTCGCATCGTGGGAACTGCAGTGGTTCCTCATTTTTCCAAGTATGAGTAATAAGTGATTCCGACATAACAATTAGCAACAACTAGTTATAACAAATGGCGACGCAGTCGTAACACAAATTGTTTATACTTTTCTAGATATGAAATTCACCAGATAATAGTGTTTGCTTCAAATTCCACTAAAACTCCAACTCAGTACCAATTTTTTCGCAAGTAACAACTTTGTCGAAATGTCACTTGGTATTGTTTGGCTTGTATCTTCCCATTGAGGTTTAAGACTGCAATTGATCAGTCTGTTATTAGCATATGTGCATACTGTGCGTATGCCTCGATATTACCTTATCGAAATGTGTTTTAAGCCACAATTGCTGTCTATTATAAAGTTAGCATTAGTTTGTTTACAAAATTATCAAGAGACAGATATTTTTATATCACTGAATAAACGTTTCTGTTAGTATACCAAGATTCCACTGTTAGCAATATTCTATCTATTCTATATCAACTTATGTCATAATGGCTATACTGGGGGCAATGCATACACTATGCCTTAATACCAACGAAGGCTGATCAGATTTCAGTTAAAAACTATCCAAGACATTTCAAAATTGAATTATACCTGAAAATGTTTTTGCTTGCTTCATAATTGAAATCAACTAAATAATCTTTGAGTATCGAATCAAAAATGAACCTTTTAACCTGACAATACTCATGAAACTAGATGCTAACATATGGTATTTTTACTGACAAATGTTAAGAATAAGACCTGGAAATCATAAACTTACATCCTGGAATAACATACAGTCGATCATGGCTGTCACTTAGGATGATACAATTGCATTCTGTTAACTAATATATGTTTGAGAGAGGGATGTATTTGATTTATAACCATGAAAAATAAATGGTTAAATTGTGCTCAAAATTTTTTTATAATCATGTACTTATAAAATCATTGTTTTTTCTCTTTGTTCACTCTTCATAACAAGACAACTTCTCTCAGTACAACAACATTATGATTGGGGTTTGAGAGCATTAAAAACTGTCTTACATTGTGCTGGAACACTTTTACATATTGATAAACAAAATTCAAATGAATTGAATAACCATCATGAAACAAAAGATCAACAACATTCTTATGAATATGAAGCACAATTTATAATACAAGCAATTAAAACAAATACATTAGCTAAATTAACAAATTCTGATGCTAAACAATTTGAAAATCTCATTAGAGATGTATTTCCTGATTTGTGTCTACATAATAAACAGTTTAAAAATCAGGAATTAACCAAACTCATTGATTCAATACATTCAGTAGTAAGAGAACATAATATGATATTAGTAGAAGCCCAGGTGAGATATATTTTATCATCAGAATATTTCTAGTTACATAAGTTGATATGATAAACTCTTGAAATTTCTAATGAATATGTCTATTTTGTGCATAGATGTTTACTTCAGTGTACAGTCATAAACGTCCATGACAAATACCATCACGTTTAACCATAATTGATTGATCACTGGGTGGTGATCCAATGTCATGTGTTTCGAGTCCTTATTTAGTGCAGATCGAATGCTATCGATCATGTTGCAATGTGGCCACCAGTCTAGGTGACTCGACACTGCGGGCACTATATATTGAGATTAGATAGTGGTTAGAGGTAGTCGACAGGAAACCCTGGACCCGGACTTGACACGCATGACATTGATCACCACCCAGTGATCAATCAATTGTGATTACATCTCAGTCCTACAGGGGGTCAGTTGCGGCCCGGATAGCTCAGTGGTAACGTCTCTGACTGTGAAGCTGGGTGACTCGAGATCGAGTCCGCCAGGGGGCGCCAATTCCCTCAAGATTACAGGTACACCTTGCTGACGAGTGCCAAGTAGCACGAAACCCAGATCCATGGTTTCCTGTCGACTACCTCCAACCACCATCTAATCATCGCTTTTAAATAGATCTTATAACAATTTTACTCTTATTCAACATAACAAGGTCATGACATTTGAGCTCTATCATGAGACCATATATATGTTGAGTAAAACCGAATATTATTATCATATATGGTGTTTATAGATAGTCTATTCATGCATTGTCATCAGCTAGTTTTATCGATTCATTCAATAGAACTTGGTAATGAAACTGACACGAACATAATTCAAATAACATACTTGAAATGAAGACTTTTCTAAATTGCATTTTTTGTCTTAAATATTTTCAAGAGTTCTAGATTAAAGGTAGAGTATAAAAATGAAGATTTTCATGAGCTGTACAGTTTGACTATAGTTTACACTACAGGTTAATTTTGACTGGAAACCAATTGAGAACCAAGAATCGTTGGAAAGCTGTCACGTCTTAGTTTATTATTGCTTAAAAGGGGCTTATCTATGATATACCGTCAAGGATTGAGACATTGACTTACTTGTCTTGCAGCTAGCCCATTACATTTAAGTCACTGTGTTGATATCCAGTGGTTTTATATTCCGGACATCAGTCTTAATCACTGTTAAGTGATTGGAAATAGCAAAAAACCCGCTGTCATTGTTTCATGTTTATTTGTACTCGTCGACATGGTGTACTTGCTATCTTGAGAGAACCTGTGCTTGCAGTGAAATTCGGATCTGCATCACCCAGCTTCACATATTGAGATTTTACCACTGATCTATCCAAGCCCAGCTATCCGGACCACTTTAAATTTCAGCATAGTGCATGATATATTGATTTAATTATATTAGTGGCTATGTAATTTGATTAGAAGTAAGAACTAGATAAACATAATATTGATCAATGTGTAATGATCAACCAGTTATACAAGTAAAGATATTTCACAATATTCTTAATATACTTGAATATATGTTTCCTTAATGTGTAAAAACCATTCAATAATAATTTAATGAATCACGAATAAATTGGTCACTAGATTTTCCATGAAGAAAGCAGAATGTTACATTTGTAGATTTCATCGGCTTTAATGTTATATATCAACTAATCAGTTATTCTCCTTTACTATATAGAACTGAAGATTAGGGAAATAATCTATTAATTTCAGTCACTATACGTTCTTATGGTCGATGAAAAAAAGAACTTACAGAATATATGAAATAACAAATTAAACATAGTCACTGAAAGACAACTGAGTAGCATTGATAAAAGATTGTTGCTGATATCCATACATTTCAACAAAACCAAGAACCAAAGACAATGGGAGATTATTGTGAAATATCGTGAATCGACTGATGTTAAAATTATGTACCGCTTGTTGAAGTTCAAAATTAAAAGTCTTGAGTTCGATTTCCGGGAACAAAGTCGTGGATACGTACCGGTCTTTAGTCTCATACTAGGACGAAACTGTCGTTCGGTGTCTCTTTGTCTGCAATGATTTTCTGACTTAAACTGATTCATGGTTTTGTTGAATTAACAATATTCATTGGTAAAACACACTTAGACGGATTAGTTAGTCAATGTTGACTTGTATTAATAAAATGCAGTACTTTACTCCACAACCTTGTTGATATTTAAGAACTATGATGATTTCATTCATTTCTTGTTGTACAAAACTACCTATTCAAACCTAAAATATCTACAATATTGAACGTTTAATCAGATATTTGTGTTTTATTCATTCTCATTTAATAAAGATTCGAAAAGCTATCGAATTATATGAACAATTATCACAACGTATGGGTGTTGTGTTAGTTGGACCATGTGGTTCTGGGAAATCAACAATTTTAAATTTATTACGTTTAGCATTGAATAAAATGGGAATATCAATACGTTCACATATATTTAATCCTAAATCAATGTTACGTGTACAGTTACTTGGTCAAATTGAAGCAGATACTAGAGAATGGACAGATGGTGTACTTACGCATAGTGCAAGATGTGTTGTTAAAGAATGTATGGGTAGGTTTTGAATTATGAGTTCGTGAACTGTTATATAATCTTCATTAGATTGTCGAGTAATTCAAGCTATTCTAGCTTTCTTTCCATAACATTTTTGCACTAGAGTGATGGTGGCTTGAATCTCTATGAATGAATGTTATCTTCACCACTGATGCAAATTCAGTGAACGTAAGTGACAAAATTCACATTACCTAGTATAAGTGAACCATACTAATTGCCTCATATTACTTAACATCAACTACATTCTTATCAGGTATCTTAAATACAGTTCAACATTTACAAAATTGATGTATTATTATTCATTTAGCTACTTACTGACTATCACACTGCTTCGTATCCTATGCCCTTAAATTATTTGGCTGGTAAATCAGTAAGTTTCCTTAACCAGTGTTGTGTGACTTTTGGACAATTATAGTTTATAGTAATTGATGATCGTCATACAATGTCGTCAAAACGCACTGTAACGCACTTGAGATGAAGAAGTATGAAGAAACTCATCTTCTATCTGCCTTCCATGGAAATAACTACCCCATCAACTTCGTTAAAAAGTGTCCTGTGGATAGACTCACCATCACAAAACCTTCCGCAGAGACTTGGAAACGAATAGTTCAACCGTGTATGAAAAACATTTCAAAAATCACCACCAGGATTTTAAAACCCATTGGAATTAATGTCACTTATAAACCAATGAAAGCACTTCATTCCACTTCAAGCAGGCTAAAGGAAAGAACCGAGCAAAAAAGACAAGTCCAATTTCATTGACAAAATAAATTGTAGCAACTGTGATAAACACTGTATGTGAATTCAACTTTCACTTCAGGATACACAGACATAAACTATTGATAAGACAATTCGTTATCTTATCACTGATACCAATTCATGTTGACAATTATGGACATAAGAGAATTTCCGGAAGTCTGACATTTATATTAAACAGCAATCAATAAACACTTTTTTCTTTATCAAACTATTCGAAAGATGTCGATCAAGAACATTGTCAGAGATCAACAGATCAAGATAGTCAACTTGAATACACATAAATGAGAATAACGAAACCTAAAATGTAAATAACTTACAAATAAAGCCACCAGAACTTATTTTTAAAGATGGTGGAATACTTAACAGACTCACTGCTACACAGAGTAACCCTTGGTGACGTCGTTTAAAACGAGAGTGAAAACTCCACAAATTAACCAACTAGCTTGGAGAATTTAACAATACCTAAAATATATACTTGAACTGCAAAGTTAAATGGCTTCTACTCTGGATGATTTTCTTTTTTTTTTATTGTTCAGTCTATCGTTGTTCGGAAGGGTTGATATTTCTGTATAGTTGATGTTCATGATTATATATATAAATATGGTATACAAACACCTTGAATGTAAATGTTTTAGTTAATGACTTACAGCTAAAAACCGTTCATATTTTGAATTGTGATAAGCACTGAACTGCACAGTGGGTGTTTTGTCCTACTTTGACTTCCTCTCCTGGTTTTCCCTACAGTATTAATAGTGATGTATATAATGAAACATCCAGATGATATTTTCTATACAGAACACTGAATACCTGTCATGGATCCGATTACGGATTACCATTTAAATATATCATTCAATTTTAATAGTTGAAATCATGAGTCAATTGAAGCTAAATCACCATGGAAAACCAGGAAGCACTGGATGTCCATTTCGTCCTAGTATGGGACTCTTCATCAGTGCGCATCTACGATCCCACCTCTCCCCACGAGACTCGAACTCAGGACCTATCAGTCTCGCGCACGAGCGCTTAACCACTAGACCACTGAGCTAGCCGGTATCCAACGGTGTTAATGTCTAACTTCAACCAATCCACGAAATTGCACCACCGCACATAATTGTCTTCAGTGAGTTGATATCTCACAACAGACCTGGTTGAACTTCTCTGGTCATTGCTGAGGAGTCCCATACTAGAAGGAAACGGTTTTTCCATGGTGGTTTAGCTTCAATTGACTCATGATTTCAACTATTGAAATTACTAAAATCTCCACAAAACCCCTTCAGATAATAATAAATTGTTAGTTTTATTCAAGCACTATATAGAATTTTAATCACTTTATACTTGTATTCATCTTTTTATTATTTTATTAAAACATAGATCAAAAATGTTGGGTTATAGCTGATGGTGATATTGATCCTGAATGGATTGAATCATTAAATTCTGTATTAGATGATAATCATTTATTAACATTACCAAATGGTGAACGTATACAATTTGATACAAATGTAAATTTTCTATTTGAAACACATGAATTAATTCATGCAAGTCCAGCTACTATATCAAGAATGGGTGTTGTATATGTAAGTGATGAAGCTACTAATTCACATGCATTTGTTGAAGCATGGTTAATGAATCAACCAGAAATGGAACAAAATCAACTGAAATATTTAATAGATTCAGTATTTTACAAATGTTTAGAATGGGTCTATCAAAAGGTAAATAAATATTTTATTCAGAAAGGTGTTTTGTGGATATTATAATCATTTAGCTAGACCACCGACCAGTGCTTCCAAGTTCTCCATTATGGTCTAGTCTTAATTGATTCATAAATTCAACTATTAAAGTAAATATTTGGAGATTTTGGAGATTTTTATCATCTCACATAAGATATTGTTGGGAAACCTACTGTAGCCAAAGTGGATTAGACGATTTTTTATGAACAAGTGTGTATTTTCTTGACAATGCTCATCTATGAGTGTTTTTAACAAGTTCTAATCTAATTGGTTAAATTGTTCGACTATAATTATCTATGTTCCAAGTTCAAGTCCCGCCTCACCTAATTCTGTTTGAGCAGTTAGGTGGTAGTATTGCTTGGCCTCACGTATGAAATATGTCTCAAAGTTAAGTGCTTGATTCTGCATTAGATCATCATGTGTTAATGCGCTCATTTCTCTGCTTAACTTATTTATAAGTAGTCCTTTATTCTGTAGTGAAAACTAGCTGATTCCTAATTTAACATTTGGATGATTCATCTAAAATTTTAATAACCTACCGAAATATTTGATATATATAAACTACGGGTTTTTAAAATGCAATGTTTGTATAGCAGAGGCTGATTACTATGTTTTGTACTGAACGAGTATGACAAAAAGAGAAATTACTCCGTTGACTCAAGGCTACTAGTGCTTGTTTGTGTGTTATTGGTTAGCTCAAGGACAAATCCGTAGAAATCGGTGTTTTGATTGGTGATTCTGTCACGTAGTATTAGGTGAGACCATAACCCATAACAATGAAGAACAAAATTGGGTAAATAAATATCTCTGGTTTCTAATACTTCTACAATTAAAATCATTTCTAATTGAGATCATGGACAGATCAATGTTAGGCCACCATTGGAAACCTGGAAGCCATAATGTTCATCCTTGTCTGATGTGAGGCAGTTACTCACCGAAAACAATTGAAGATCGTTGCGTAATATCGTGGATTGGTTGAAGCTAAATACTAGCACTGTTGGATCTCGGCTCAGTGGTCTGGAAGTTTAGCGTTAGAACAAAGGGTTCAAATCTTTCATGTAGGGTGGATGATGGAGACTACTAAGGGCTCTCATACTAGGGCGAAATGACGGTCCAGTGTTTCCAGGTCTTTAATGGTGGTCCGACATTGATCACTTCATGATCTCAATTAAAGCTCAACAATCTTCACAACCCTATACTGTTAAAATCAATTCATTATGAAAATTATAAAGGGACTATGTAAACTCTACAAAATAGCTTCAAATGATAGAAGCATCTACCATTTATTTCTTTAATTTAGGATCTGAATTGTTATCTGAGATAGTTTAGTGGTTGAAAATTATGAAACATTCTACATTTCATTTCATAATTCAGAACAGTTGGTTACTATCTTTAGTTTCTTTGGAAACTTCCAAATCTCATTGACCGATTTTACGAATAATCAATTTGGAGCTAAATTCATGAATCTGTTCAGAACTTTAGGAAAGCCAGTGGCATAAATTCATGTTTCCCTTCAGTTTGATGAAAGGAATATTATCAAAGAGCATATGATACATCATTGTTGACTATAAATACAGCTCAAACTTGTCCACAACTTCTAAGGTTTCCACTTGTCTAATTTAACCAAAAGGTAATAGAATGAAGAAATCATTTAAAATTTTATTATTGGTCTAATAAGAGATTCAAGAATACTATCATGCTTATTAAGTCCATTTGAATTTTAAAAATCCCTAGGTATGAGTTTCAGTATCACGGATAAAATTAGTTAACTAGTGCCGACCTACACAACACCCTCAATCAAACAATCAGTCCCACTATTCTCAAAACTTCATCATCATCGTGACTGATTCTACATTAACCTACCTAGGCGATGAAGAATGATATTTGGCAAGTAAATGTTTTGATGGTATGGTCTAGCTCTCTGTTTCCCATTTACATGAAGTATCTACAAGCCTATTCGTATACTTATCATGTGATATCAAATTATTTTTTGTAAAGATAGCAGTCTTAGTTTCCACATAAATCACAAATCTGTTTAATTTAGACAACCTTTGAAAACGAAGTCATTGTATGGCCATTTCGTCCTAATATGAGACTTCTAACCAGTGTTGATCAGCAACCTCACGCGCGGACATCTAGTCTCTAGACCATTGAGCCGGTAGACAATGGTTTACAAATCTAACTTCGATCAATCCACGATATTGCACGGCCATCTTTCTGAGTTCTATTCCCGGTTGTGGAGTCGTAGATGCGCACTGTTGAGAAGTCTTGTACTAGGAATAAACGGACATCCTGTGTCTTCTCATTTTCAGCGGTTGACTGACTTTGATCGGTTTACGATTTTAATAAAACTTAACAATTTCTAAAATCCCATACTGACAAGTTTATTCATTTTATTTTTATTTCTACTATATTTATACATTTAGAATGAATTTATCGTTGATACTAGTCCGGCTGCCATAATATTTACTGGTCTTTCTCATCTAGTTGGTGCAATTACACCAGCGTTGTTTACTGTAGGGTTAATACGTGGATTAGGTGCAAATCTTACAGAATCTGCGCGTAATGAATTAGCTATCAAAGTATATGAAGCTACAGGAGAAAATCCACCTGATATAACTAGACCTTTAGATGTACAGGTAAATAAACATTTTACAAGAAAATATATCATGCATATCTCGTTAATACTATTTTACATTTTTCTTTTCAGTTGGTATTGACAATGATACTACAAGCATCAGTACTGTCAGATATCTGAAGAATTTCCTGTTCAGCATTTTGTTAGATGATCGTTTAATGTTTCAATTTCATGTTATACTGAATGGTCATTTATGTTATGAAGAATTGTAAGATAGTTGAATGTAACTACTTCCAAGATTCACATCAAAAAACTGTCTGGAATAATAGATGTACATTTAATTAAGACTCAGACTCCTAATCACCTGTAATCTTCATACACTTATATGCCAAATATTACGATATTTGAAGTTTATAAAAATCTATCTAACCTGAACTGACAAGAAATACACCCCTGAAACTAAAGCAATAATATAATAAATAGAAATATATGATGGCTTTCAATGAAATCGTCAGCTGGACGTACCTGCATCCCAAAGTTTGAGTTAATATGGGGATTCAAACCCAGCACCATTCGCTTCAAATGTCATCGTGTTATCCCCTTATGTGGATAAAAACTCTTTGAAAAACAGTTCATGCATTTATTTTTTGAATTCCTATCATTAAACTGCATTCTGGATAAAATCTATATTCACTAAACGTCCTACTGTCATTAAACTTAAGATTACAGAATATCCAAAATGAACTACTGTTGACTACATTCGACCTTGGGTAGATTCGTTCAAATGAAATAGAAATCCGCATTAAAACAGATTAGCCTTAGGAATAATATTTTTTTTCTCCGTGACTAAGAATTAAGAATATATTATTCACTATATCAAGTGGTTAGTTGTATTAGACGACAACCATTGGCCTAGATATTGTGTTAGCTAGGACTCGTCAGCAAGGCATGCCTTTAATCTTCAGGGAACGGATACTTCCTATGAGCTTTGATCCCAGACTAATCATCTAAGACATCACCACTGATCTATTTAAACCCTGATATCAGTCACACCTTACTAACGAGTGGCAACTAACATGAAATCTAGGTCCAAAGTTCCCTATCAAATTACCTCCAACCGCCTAACATCTCAAAATATTAAACGCGAATTCGAGTTACGTATACTAGTAGCCACATTTCAACTGAACCGACAGAACCTGATCAGCAGTAAGGACTAGACGAACATGGAGTTGATCTCTATTCAGTGATCCATCAATTGTAAACATTGGTTACCAGTTGTTTCAAGTTTTTTTCTTCTGTAGAAGTAATATGTATATATATATATATGTATATATATATATATATAAGCTCGAATAAATAGTTCGATGAAATTCATTTCTTCGCGTTTTAACATCCCGAATATTTCGTAAATTTATTTTCGTAGGTGGACCCAAATAATCCAAATCGCTTAATTTCATATTCGATAGAAACTAGTGTTGTAATACTTGGTAAATCTATCCCACATTCCACTGGGTGTAATTCCCGATATTCTGAAATACCATTAAATATATGCATTGAAGATCCAGTCATAGCAAATGCAATAGCTGATAGCTTAACTTCTGGTCGTCCACCATTAGTTTTAACACCTGATGTCAGACGATCTATTGATGCATTCCGTTGCTGGTTAAATAATTCACTGTCGAAACAGTCATTTTTATTAGTTGGTCCTGAAGGATGCGGTAAAACGTGAGTTCCACTTTATTTACTGATTATTATTTGTAATGAGTCGATGTCTTTTTTTTTGTAAGTTACAGCGGAATCTTTGAATTTCAGTCAGATTTTAAGTACTTAAGAAAGAATCTGATCTTCAAGGGAAAATTCTCCCATTTTTCGCTTGTAAACGTACAGTTGAAGAATTTTCAAGTTACTCAAAGTTTATATTAATCAAACGCTAGCATATTAAACACTTTTTAACAAATAAACATTAGTACTTATCAGAGTATGACTAAAATATAAATATTAGTTTCATTACAGGGAGATCAAATAACAATTTAAGATAAAGATGTGTTAGACAAGGATTACTTAATCTAAGTTTGTTATTGTCCTTGTTTAAAACTTATATTTCGAGTTCAGTTAATTATCGACTAAAGAAGAAGTTGACATGATGTAATCCATACTCCATATTATAACGATAGATGATATAGAGTTAATTCAGCACTTTTACTTTACATAATCCCCTATGTTAATGAGTCGCATACTTTTAGGTTTAATATTGTGATTGATTGGAAAATAAAAGCCACTATCAGACAATAGTTATGAACCCAGTCTTGTATTCTGAGGCGATGACTAAACAAGTTGTCCAATAAATAACTAAATTTATGATATAGACAAGAGGTTTTAGACGATAGGTTTATTAGATTGAGTACTGCCAGGAGTCACTAATAATTTCTTAGAAAAGTCTTTTGAAATTAGGGAAAAACTGTCGCAAGCACCGCCAATACTCAGTGCTCTTTAGGAACTTCCAAGAGAAACAACTAGTTATACGTTCTTTGGAGTATCTAGGACCTCAAATTTGTTTATAATACTTTAGATACACTCGTTTTCTATACCTAATCTAACCTTCGATGTCAAATTTCTTTTATATTTCTTTTAAGAGTGCCGAAATTCTGAATGCTATGAAACAGATAGGAAGTTGGTACTTAAGTACTCAAATAAAAGACATATTAGATACAGTGTATTCTGAATACCTAACACTATAAGGATTAATGAGCCAGTGAACCTATATTACTAGAGAAGAAGTACTCAGTAACTTTAAAGTTCATGGGACATAAATTTGCATGATACTATCTACTGACTGAATTCTGATCAGTTTGATCGTTGTTTAAAATCGTAATTCTTTTTTAAGAATTTGTTTTATGTACAGAAAGGTGTAACTATCTTTAATAAGAAACATTCAAACTAATTTCGGATATCTTATTCCTAAACGACTGAAAAATTTCTTACATCTGTTCTTATTCACTTAAATGTTCAGTTAAACCACTTTTCCTGATAATCTATTGTAGTAATAGTCATCAAAGCACTAATTTAGGCAGCTTGTTTGTGCCTTAACCTTTAAAACATCTCATATATATCTGCCTAATAAGATCATTCGGTTATAAAGTCCACTACTGAGGAGTTTATTTTACATTAATCGTACTAATGAATGAATTTAGTTTGACCAATAATACGAACAACAGCTAACATTTACTTACCTTTTACTTACTTACTTACGCCTATTACTCCCAATGAAGGATAGACCATATATCTTAACATCTATCTAGCTGACCGTTGTTGTTACCTTGACGTGGTGGTCGGGCTTGCCTATCGTGATCAAGCAACCAAGCTATACTGGCCAAAACAACCATTCCTCTAGGTCCTACCATGTCAGACGGGTCAGTTGAAGAGCGGTAAGACTAAAAGCAACAAACCTAAGGTCCGAAGGCGAAGTCGTACTGCTGACTGTATAGAGGTGTGACAGCAGTAAGGTGTTTCCTTCAGACAACCAGCATGACAGCAATGCTGCCTTCCCAAAAGGAGGAGTGGGGTTAGAAAAGGTCAACCCTGAAAATGCACACCTCGCCTTATCCCACGGATATCCGTCTCCGGCGGTAAGGTCTCAACAAGTACGGAGCTAACACAAAAATTACCCATAAAAAGGTCGTGTGTGACCGACCTCAAGCAGTTGTCCCATGGGGACTGCGATCACGCTCTCAGGTCATTAAGACCACCTCTAATCCAATTTCCTCTTCAGGTACCTCCAGAACAAACCTTCCATGGTGTGGGAAACCGGGAAGTGATAACCGCCCTCATACCTCTAACAGCACTCAAGACCACTGTATTCCTCTTCTATATCCATACAGCTTGTATCCCCTATAACTAATTAAAGCATTAAAACTGTCAACTGAATTTATTGTAAATATTTTCTATTTATTATGGGATCAAAAATTCCTGGTAGAATAGTTCTGAATGTTCTAACTTTTCAATTATACACTCATATTTAACGGTTAATATTATTGATCTCCTGATTATGATTATTATCATTATTATCAAAAGAAATTCAAGCATTTTCCTATTTACATTCCTGAATTTTTTTTCTCCTTATACTTCATCAAAGTCTTCTATTAGATTATTGTTTTGCTACATTATCTCAATCAATTCATGTCGTCACTGTTCAATGTTCAGCTCAAACAACACCAAATCATATTTTAGATAAATTAATGCAATATTGTATTTGTGTTATAAGTACAACTTCAAAAATGTCTAGTGGACGTGTATTACGTCCTAAAGAAGGTGATCAACTTATTTTATACTTACGTGATCTTAATCTACCTAAACCAGATAAATGGGGATCATGTCAATTAATTGCATTTTTACAACAAGTATGTTTCAACTTTTTACATTAATTATTATTATTATTTGATGTATGATTTAGTGTTCCTATTACTTTTGTACAATATAATGAATTTTATTGCACAAGAAATATAAATAACATCTTCAATCTTGAACAAAATCGATGATTTTCATATAATTGACGTTATACTGCCATCGTATAGTTATAAATCTTGATATTAAATGGTTGAAGACAGTTGATAAAAGTTACTGAAGTAAGGTTTTATATTAAGTGTAACTGTAAAAGAACTCTCTGTAAAATCCAAACATGAATCATCAATAAGTCACAATGAGATTCATTTCAAAGACGTTATGAATACATTGTTTGTCAAATTGAGCTGTGTTGATGAATGCCAATTACCTAGATTTGAAACTGTGCAATAATCGTAATCTATGGTTAAAAAATATTGGCGGTCATAAAAATGTTCATGTAAGCGCGGATATATTTGTTCTTTATTTTCTACTAAATCTTCACTTCAGTAGTATTTCATAAATTTCATATCAAGAATTCATTCCTTTTCTCTGAACTATATGTTCTATGTTCAGTCTTCCTTACTATCGTTGACATCATTATTCTTTTGACTTTTTCATTATTCATATTTTCATTTTTATCTTTCTGTAATGATGTAGCATGGAATTAGGTTTTACGTTTATGGTGATTGACAGACAGTCAGTGTGAATAAAGCCAGAACAAACATTGATTCAGAATAATATGAATTCATTATATTTCGTGGTTTCTCATCAGCTGCTTACAACCATAAATATTAGAAGTTAACACTGAGGTCAGATATAATGCGTTTTTTCAACAAGATTATTTTCTACTGGATGGGGTTGCTGACCACATACACAACCCTCCTTCTTTACACGAACTTGTGACCGGCAGTAACCCTAGAAGAGCTACAGGCGGAAAACTACTACAGTCATCATCAAAATAGTACAAGTATTTATAAACAATTGTTTACGCTACGCAAGATACTCAATGTCTGTTGGTCGGATACCGTCAACAACAGCCTACTGTGAGAGAGAACAAACCAGCTTCCAACTGAAGAGGAAATTAGGAAAAGATACTGGAAGTGAACAAAACATACATTACGGAAATAACTAAACTGCATCACGAGGTAAGCGCTAACTTGGAATCCTGAAGGGAGGCGGAAGAGAGAAAGGCCAGTAAACGCACGGAGCCGATAATTAAAATCAGACATCAAAAGGTTGATTATCAACTGAAAACCATTGTGAAAACTTGTTCAAAAAAGAGTTTGATGGAGAATCGTGGTCGGTGGCCTATGCTCTTCCACGATGGGTAACAGGCGGAAGTAAGTAACTATATGTTCAAGTACCGATTTGAGGTCATCTGTAGTTAGAATCCAAATCATAAAGGGTGGGTGATTCATAAATTTGTCGTTCTAATTCTTATCGTTCATTTCTGTCAATTGTTTTACATTATTTCTTACCTCAATGTTAACTTTAAATATATATGGTTGTAAGCAGCTGATGAGAAACCATGAAATATAATGCATTTATATTATTCTGAATCAATGTTTGTCCTGGTTTTATTCAAATTCACAAAGGGAACCAGTTGCATGTTTTCATGTCACTCAATCAGCTGGTGAAATACATTGCAGAACATCGAGAGAGACAGTCAGTTTGCTTGTTTAATTGATTAGCCGACTTAATATACTCTTAAATTACTCTAAATTTATTGTCCACTTTCACGTTTGTATTTTTGTTCTCATCTCCTGTTAACAGATACTTACTTATCAAGGATATTATGATCCAACCAGTTTAGAATTTATTAGTATTGAAGGAATTCAGTTTGTTTGCAGTTTTACACCATCAACCACATCAATAGGACTTGGACGTTATTCCTTATCGAAAAGATTCACATCGGCTTTACGTTTAACTGTGATAAACTATCCTGATAAAGATCAGTTGGTTAATATATATGCTTGTTTATTACAAGCTATCATTGTTTCTAAATTACAAGCAAATAACCAATCATTTGGTTCAAAACAATTAAATCATGATGATGGGATGAAACATAATACTTATAAAACAATTTTTAATCCAGCTAGAATACATAATATGTCTACTATAATGATTCAAATATTATCTGAACTACAACATAATTTTCGCGCTGATGAATATGCTCATTGTGTATTTACACCTCATTTATTAACTCAGTGGGTAACTGGATTATTGCGCTACGATTTAAATATATCAGTCAATTATATCTGGGCAGTATTCGGTTATGAAGCAAAACGTTTATTTCGTGATTGTTTGCCCGGTGAAAATGCACGTCATCAATTCGATGTATTATTCAATAAGATTTTATGCAGTTGTTTGAATGGAACTGATAATGTTGATGATCTACCTAAGCGAAAACATAAGTGGGAATTATCAAATGAAAAATGTGATGAAGTGCAAATCACGTTAAAGATGGCTACGGAGGATTTTGAATTAGTTGAAAATGAAGAACGAATTAATCAATTTGATAATGATGATGATCTTCTTAAAAACGCTATGTGTTGGTTTGTTACATGGAGTGGGAAGCACCAATTACCACCAGGCAGCCCAATACCATTACATGGCCGACCATTAGGATCTATAACTTATACGCAAATGAAAGAAACAGTCCTGAAAGGGTTAAAACAATTAGCCAGAGAGAAATCTCCACAAGCTGAAAATTTAGTATTATTCCCAGATTTCATTGATTATATATGTCGTATTGATCGTGTGCTTAGTCGTCCATCAGGTTCATTATTACTAGCCGGTAGATCTGGTATAGGCCGTAGATCTGCTCTCAATATAGTCGCTCATATACATCAGCTGAATGTTTTCCGTTTACACACTGGTCGTGATTATCAAATGCGTCAATTTATTACCGATATCAAAACAGTATGCCAAGCAGCAGGTATTGAAAATCAGCCGACATTATTAATTATTGAAGATTATCAATTAACAAGTGACTACTTCTTGGAAATTATTAATAGTCTTTTGGCGTGTGGTGAAGCAAGTGGTTTAATTAGTGCTGATGAGTTAGAAACACTCATGTCTAGTGTTGCATCAAAAAGTGGAGTGAATTTCAAAGAACAAGCAGCAGAAGCTGGGCATCGTGGACCACTAACTGCTTTCTTTGCTGAACGTATTCATAAGAATCTCCATTTTGCCATTATTCTAGATATAGATGATTATGAATTATTCAGTAATTGGTTACAATCAAATCCTTCATTTTATAAATATTGTTCTGTTCAATGGATGGATTGTTGGTCTAAATTTAGTTTACTTCAAATTCCTAAACTACTGATACCTAAATCTTGTATACCGAATAACGCAAATAGTTTTATTCAAGCTTGTGTCAGCATTCATAATTCAGCTCCTTATCCTCATATGATGATGCCCACACCACGTCACTTTATTTCACTATGCAATAATTATGCCCGAGTAGAACAAAATCATAGACAAAAATTACAATCAGAAGTTAAACGACTAAAAAGTGGTTTAATTAAGTTGAAAGAAGCACGTGAACGTGTAACACAGTTAAAACAGCATGCAGTTGAACAAGGTGAACTGTTGGTTGAAAAACAAACTGAAGCTGATAAAGCTTTAGAACAAATAAGCGCTGCAATACAGGTATAGATAACTAGACATTTGCCTTTTTTGTTATTTTGTGCACTCTACTTACAAACTTATAATAGTAGTTGAAAATAATTCATAAATTAACTGGGATACACAGCTATTAGACCTCATGAGGATTTACTGAGAAAGACACTTCATGCATACATTTGTACCTTAATATGAAGGAAAACTGTAAGTAGTTTAGAAAAACACTTTGAGCAACATCATATTGTGCTCTGGCTATACCTAGACAATAGTATAAGGGTAAGGTTTCAGAAAAATAATTTAGAGAACTACTTCTGAATATTAAAAAACAAATAACATTCGTCTACTATGTAAAACCCTTGACCAAACGTAATGACGAATTGTCGTCTTCTTGGTGAAGTTTGTTATTAATTATTCAGACTTTTTGACAATAGGAGAACGCCAACTGGTAGACAGATATTGAGGAGAAAATAAGGAATTCGTTTTCCACGACCTTCCCGTTCATATGTTCTAAGGACCAACCTCATTTCTATTCAGTAATTGATGTCACTGCATTACTGAAATATTCCGTACGTGTTTATGTCCAGTTCATTGATGAATAAAGGAAATTCCAATATCTTATCAGAAACCTGTGGTATTCGGTTAGTCAAAAACTCTCAAACTAGGAAGAAAAGCGCCTGATTCGTCAACCTCTTTAATTGAGAAGTGACAAGATAAAAATAAATATAACACTCGATTTTTCATTCTTCTGAGAACTATTTTTTGCATATCTGAGAAAAATTTTCCAAACAGCATAATTGTAGACTCTCTTTGGACTCATTATTAAGTAGTTTAACTTTTAATAATCATAGCCAATTGTCCATGAATGGGTTACTCAGTTTGTGAAATTTATTGACAGTATTGAGTTGTAGAATATATGGATTATGGCTAACAGTAGAATTCGAAACCAGTATTCCGTCTTGTTTGAGAGTTGTTACATGTATATACCCGAAACCCAGTGTTCTTGTTTACATTGAAAGTCAAAACGTCCGCCCAAAACGTCAACACGTTATCCACAGATACTGAGTTCATATGCCCACTATAATGTTCAATAGTTACAGTTCTTGTCATGTTTTTTTTTTAATATTCAAGAATAAGTTTTGGTTAGTTTCTATTAAAATTAACTTAAAAATCTTACTCGTCAAAAGAGTTAGTGACTATTCCGACGCAATGACTTGCTGGATAACGCGATGGGTGTTTGAAGCAAAAGATGATAGTGTTTGAGTCTCAGTGTAAACATTAGAACCAGGATGCAAGACATTCCCTTAACCAGTTTTAAATACGACGAAGCCCACTTCCCGGATTACATTGTTCTCCACAATTCATATATTCCAAATACTCGTGACAAAATGGCTATATCAGGCAATCCGCTCTAGATGTACTTATAACAATCAAGGTTTACCAAGATTTAGTCAACAATGGGGCAACCGACGCTCTTCACAATTATATTACGTTGAGGTTGACACTTTACATGTTCTTAGATTGAATCATCTAGCCAATTGGTATCTTTATTAGTGATTTCTAGAAAGTATGAGTTATCACATGGAATTCGTCTTGTAAAAAAATCAATTACGAAGTTTGTGAATTTATTGATGATATCGTGGAAAATACAATGAGAATTAAGGCAACACCCTGTAATTAATATGCTTAAGTAAAAGTTTTACCCTAATGGTAAACTTGAAAATGAGGGCTAATGTTGGGAATTACAATTACAAAGCTATCTGGACGTCATTATCGGCATTATAGGGATTTTTGAGTTTTATTGAGATCGCAAACCAGTCTAAGTTATACAACTGCTGAAAACTCGGAAACCCTAATGAACCTTCCTGATCTAGAATTGGACTCCCCAGTAGAGTAAATTCACGACCCTGCATCTAGAGATAGAACTAAGGACCTCCGGACGTGTGCGCTAACGCTTTAACTGTAGACCACTAATGTATAAGCCTAATTTTAATTAACTAATTATTATGTGCTGACTAATGACTAGCTTCGAGAGGAAAGTTCTGGAGTTTTAATGAGAAGCCATGATCATTGACTTTCAACTGTGTTGAATGTGAAGAGTTTACTCATCAAGGACAATAGAAGACGGTCACACAATATTATGGATTGATTAAGGTTAGACTTGTACACTGTAAAACCCTGTCTCAGTGGCTTAGAGGTTAAGCGTGAGCACTCCAGACCGGAGATTCTACGTTCAATCCCCCATGACAGTGTCGTTGATGCGAACTATTGATGAGTCCCATACCATGAAGAAACAGGTGTCCAGTACTAAGTCATTTTCACTAGTGGTCTAAGTTAGATTGGTTTGTGATCTCATTAAAATAGCAGAGTTGTAGTTTTCCAGTAATTTAAGCTGTTTTATTGATTTACTTATTCACTTAGTAAAAGTATACATCCCATGGACTGAGTATATTGAGTATTTAATTTTTAGTATAAATTAATCTTGTTATCCTAAGAGTTAGTGTTATGTAAAACTCTACGTAGCGTTTTTTTTTTTAATTTATTTCACAACCAACCTGCTTTCCATGATATGAAATTCAAATGAAAAACTTAGGTTGGTAGTGTAGTGATTGCTTGAGTATGTAAAAGTATGCGAGATACATGTCTACTCTACTCTGAGACATTTCCTTCAGACGAATTATACACAGCGATACTGTTAGTGAAAATCTCTTATGCAAAGTTGTATATCGTAATATTATGTTTCATTTCTAGGGTGCAGCTGAACAACGTTCAGAAATGGAGAAATTACAAAGTCGGACAACAGATGAATCTACTCGTTTAGAACGTCGAAAATTAGAAATTGATGCAGAACTCAATGAAATTGAACCATTAGTTCATCAAGCTAGATCTGCTGTTGGAAATATAAAATCAGAAGCTTTGTCCGAAATTCGTGCATTACGTGCACCACCGGATATTATACGTGATATATTAGAAGGTGTTTTATTACTTATGGGCATACGTGATACATCATGGGTTAGTATGCGTGGATTTTTAGCTAAAAGAGGAGTTCAAGAGGAGATTTTGAATTTTGATGCGAGAAAAATTACACCAGATTTACGTCTTAGTGTTGAGGAGTTGTTAGCAAAAAACCAGGAATCATTTGAACCAAGGGTAAATATATTTATATAAAATGTTTTTTATTATGTCTTCAGACGCTAATCGATATCACATGCTAAATTCACTAATCAGAATCATAGTTCTAATTCTGTCTATGCCGCGTCTACTATTTCTTTACCTATTGTCCTAGATCTGACAATTATACTCTTTAACCAACACCACTGACCACGAGCCTATGCAGCTAGAATCCTATTAGCCCAATTATTCCCAAGCTTTTCCCTATGGCTTGCCTTGAGTCCAAAAAGTCAGAAACCAGTTCCTATTATCAGTATACTTCAAATACACATGGGTTTTTATATACAAACATACCGGACTGCAACACATCAAAGAATGAAAAAATATTATACATAAACGAGCCCGAAAATGCCGTGAATAGGAAAAGCTATGAATAATCAGTTGGCAATAAAATAGGAATGATCAGTAGTACAATTATAGTTAATAGGTTAAACGGAAACGTATGATAAACAGAAAATACATACATAGTAATCTAGTTACTTAATGATTACGTAACAAAAATATAAATAATAATCAATCCAAAAACCAGATCTAACTTTTACAATATTCTTACTATCATTATGATGTTATCTTTGCTCAGTATGAACTACACATTGAACTGAGTATATTAAACAGTTATTTGACATACACAATA